TTTAATAGAGTAGACAATTCTCTATCTGTTGAAATGAAATATTCAGCAGAGCATCTAGCGTAGTTGTCGAACTGTCGCCTTCAATTTTGACTTAAAACATCCTCCGTTAAATCCACTAGAATACGGTTCAGGTAAAGTTAGAGTCGCTAGAGATGAGAAAAGCAATAAGTTTAGAGAATGCATGCCAAATCTAAAGACTATACCCACTGAAAAAACGTGGAAAAATTATGGCTAATATTTTTGTAGTACTTTTGATATCTTCTGTACATAGTTTTGTTTACCTGTATTAATTATCATGTCTTTTCCATTGTCATTGGTTCAAAGTCAAAGTGAAAAAATGCTTTATTGTGCAAAATACAATCTCATTCACAAAGCAGTTTATAATTAATTGAAATAAAATAAATGAACCAAAATCTAAGTATAAATCTAAAACAGTTCAAAACAACTTAAATTAAAACCAGTAAATTTGGTAACATATAAAAATTAAAAAAACATCAAACGCTCAGGTAGAAACAAGTATACATTACAATCACAATTCAAAATTATAACTTAACAACTAAGAATACAATAAATATTTAAAAGTCAGGTCAGATCATATGCAAAAAATAAAAATAAAATAAAATAAATGTTGATAGGGTCACAAATTAGGGGAAAAAAATAAATAAATAAACAAATAAAATAACAAAAGTAAACTCAATATCAATCAGTGCCTCAAACAAATGAATCAGCATAAAATTCTGCCATGGTGTAATATGCCTTACTGAATAGTAGCTCCCTCAAAGAACTTTTAAATTTTTTTAAGAGATAGGGATTTAATGTTCGTTGGCAGTTGGTTATAGATTTTTCTGCTTTCATAAATTAATGATTGCTTTGTCAGTGTACTTGTTGGAATTGGAAGAGAAATTTTATCAGCGCCACGCATATTGTGCTGCCTAGAAATTCGCCCACTTGCACCCAAATTCTTGTGGATAAGAGTAGCAGTCTCAAGAACAAACAAGGAAGTTAAAGTTAATATTTTTTCAATAAAAATTGGACGAAATGATTGTCTCTGATTAGCCCCCACGATATAACGCACTGCCTTTTTCTGCAATACAACTATGATGTTCAACAAGTACTGACTACTCATGCCCCAGAACGGTATGCCATACCTCAAATGGGAATCAAAGAGCGCAAAATACACATCTCGTGCCACCCTGGAACCAAGAGTGTCTTTAGCAGCCTTGTTTCTTGCTAAGCTTGATGATGTGCTCATTAAAACGCAATTCGCTATCGATAAATACACCCAAAAATTCAGTGGCGGGGCTCGCATGTACTCGTTCACCGTCCAAACACAATCCATCCATGTCACATTTGAAACCCATAACATGTGTCTCACCAACATTCAAAGAAAGTTTATTACAATTGAACCAGGTCTTTATTTTCGATACATCATGGGATACATTTTGTCTCAGAATATCAACAGAATCATTGCACCAGACAACAGAGGTGTCGTCTGCAAAGAGTGTAAAATGACCAGATATATTAACCTTGACAAGATCGTTTATATATATCAGGAATAGAAGGGGACCCAGGACAGACCCTTGTGGTACTCCACTTCCGATTTTCAAAACTGAAGACCTACTGCCGGATACAACAACCGACTGCTGTCGATCCTCCAGATACGATCGAAATCACGCAAGCGAAGAGCCTCTAAATCTATACATTTCAAGTTTGAACAGAAGTATGCTGTGGTCCACGCAATCGAAGGCTTTGGTAAGATCACAGAATACCGCAGCCACCGCCTTCCCCTCATTGAGGTCAAGGTAAACCCTATTTAAAAAGTCAAAAATAGCATCGTGAGTTCCTAGGGAGCTCCAAAATCCAAATTGCCCTGATGAGATAAGACTGTATGAACGAAGAAAACACCATACTCTGTTTTTAACGATCTTTTCAATAACCTTAGATAAGGTCGAAAGCAAGGAAATTGGACGATAATTAGAAGGATCCCGACAATCTCCACCCGTATGCAGAGGAATCACTCTTGCAGATTTCAGGCGTGAAGGAAAATTACCTGCGCTCCACGAACCATCAATACCCAATGCCAAGACCTCAAATGCATCATCAGGTAAAGCTCGGAGTATTTCACAAGATATTTCATCATCACCACATGACTTTTTATTCTCTCTCATAGATTTCACACTTCAGAACAGGTGTAAAGCAAAAGGAATTTGGAACAGATAAGTGTTATAAATAGTCCAAAGGATCCCCTGCAGTAGGCATGTTGTCAGTTAAACTACGAGCTATGTTACAATAGAAAGAATTCAATGTATTGGGATCAATATTAATTTCCTGGCCATTGCATTGTTTGGATCGATTACGTACCTCACCAATAATAGTCCAGGACTCTTTTTGCTTATTTTTAGCTTTCAATAATCTGTTGCCGTAGTGAAGTTCCTTAGCTGCTTTCACTAGTCGACGATGAAGATTACGATATCTATTGCAATAAGATATAAAATTGTCATTACCGGGAAAAAACTTTTTGATATTATTGAGACAGCGCAAGTTTCCAGAGGACACCCTTAAACCCTGTGTGAGCCAAGGTTTTTTTTTTCCTTGTTTTATGTTTAATCCACCTCAACGGAAATGCTCTTTCAAAAACGCTCAGCAGTACAGAGTGAAACAATAGCAGAGGTTCTGGAGACTGCCCAATACCCAACCAGTTAACATCGCGACATTGTTGACGAAATTCAAGGAAATTCTTATTACTGAATATTCTTCCCCTTCGCCGTTGATTCCTGCTTCTGATTTTGAAGTCATTATAAATAGTAAGAACTGCCTCATGATCAGAGAGACCCGCACCGACAACTAAACAAGATTTAACATCACAATTTGAACACACATAATCAATAATACCTACTTGACGAACCATTGCAAATACGCGTGGATGGAGTAACATGCATATCATTAGACCATGAGATTCAAAAATATTGTCAAGCAAAACTGTGATAATGCTCTGCTGATCATTAAAATTTACATTGAAGTCGACAGCAATTATAACCTTGGATGAAGACAAGATTTGGGACAGTAGTCGGTCGAGTTCATCCAAAAAATCCCTAGCATTAGCAGCGGGCGAGCGGTAGACACACACTATACAGTGTCATTACTTAAGTGTGCAACATATGGGATTTTTTTTTAGTAATAGCCCAATCAAAATACAAACGAGGCCAAAAGTTGGTGCATGTCTGATAATCATATTAGGTGCACTTAGAATTGTTGCAAGTCAAACAGCATACAGGGTGGCTCAAAAAATATCAAAATTCTACTAATATTTACTTGAATAAAATAAAACTTTTGCAATTTAAGGAGAGTTTTTTTAATATGGCTATTATCATTAGTAATGTTTTAACTTATTAAAAAAAAAATTGCGACATTTTAAAGTTGTGTTGAATATCATTGCAACAAACATGAATTTTTGTGATTCCATAAAAAATTAAAAATCTAAGTTAATTTCACAAATATGTTTAAATTTGAACAAAGTTATGTAAAACTGATTTGATTTTAATTAATTTTTGAAAGTATTAAGGGTGGAAATAAAAAATAAAAAAAAATATAGAAATTATAGATTTTTTTCGAAAAAAAATAAAAAAAATCTTAGGAGGCTATGTTTTGGTATTTAGGCCTAACTTTTAATTCCAAACAACTTTTCTCGATAAAATTTTGCTGAATTTTCTAAAATAGGGGTACTTTACAGTACAGCTTTGATATTATTTGAGCTACCCTGTATGCTGTTTGACTTGCAACCATTCTAAGTGCACCTAATATGATTATCAGACATGCACCAACTTTTGGCCTTGTTTGTATTTGGGTTGTGCTATTACTAAAAAAAAATCCCCATATGTTGCACACTTAAAAAATCACACTGTATATAGGTTATGTTTATTACTGTAGATAACAGAGAATTCGAAAACTTTCTCCTGAATCAGACTATCAAATCTATGACGGGACACAAAACACTGGTCAAACCCTGAAGATTCCTTAGCAAAAATCAACGTCCCGCCATGCAAAAAACGTTCCCTACTGAAAATGGAAATTGGAACATAGCTCAGTAAATGAAAACACTCGTCGGGTCTTAACCAGTGTTCAGTAACTAAAACTAAACTAGGAAAATCAATACTTTCCAGAAACGCATAAAAGTAGTCACACTTATTTCTTAAAGACTGAACATTTAAAAGCAACACAGACAAATCAGAACCAGATTCACAACTAGTAGCACCATTAGTCAACATTTTCTCAGTAGGCAAAGTACTCATAAAAAAATATCTGGCTGTTCCGAATCATTATTCTGCACACTAGTTTCTATATTATCAGGAGAAATTATATGTATAATACCAGGCTGTTCCAGATCTTTATGCTGTCCATTCGTTTCCCTAATAGTAGAGTAGAACTAACTATTAATATCTATAGGAGGCGTGGCTGATATGTCCAAATGTATCAGGTTAGTGCAGGTATTAATATGAAAATTATTGACAAACATTTTTAAAAAATAACCTAATCTGGACATACCACCACGATTCAAGTAAGGAGAGAAATTTACAAAATGTTTCTGTAAAAAGTTGTTTGACAAGTCTAAAAAATCTATGCACCTTGAAAATTGTTTTAAGTTTTTCGTGACCCTTGACAGCTTATCGTTAACATTCTGTATTCTGTAAGAGAGGTCAGAAAAATCCTTTCTACATGGTAAGTTACAAATAATCAAATTCGTGTGAAAACATTTATTTACCAACAATGTAATATCACCCATTCCAATATTGCTGTCATTAATTCCTGCAAGAATAACTACATAATCCTTGGAAGATAAATTGTTCACATAACAATCGGCACTAGAAACCAAGTCCCTAAACCTAGCAAATGGTTTTGTTATCAACTGAATACAATAACCATTGAAATGACGAGTGAGGTATTGGAACATAGGCTCACCATATTGGTCAGTTAAAAAAACTAACTTGTTTCTATTTTTATACCTTTCGTCGGTTGTTCTTTCTTCTTTGCTGGAGGTCTGACCATAACTAAGCATCCTCAAGATATCCTCCTTTTCTTCCAACTGTTCTTCTGTTGAAGTAGCCGCATCTTTTTTGGGAACATTTGATCCATCCAAGCTCTGTCTGAGTTTAGATGTACTTGTTGCCAGCTTTAAATCTTCCACTTCAGTTGCCAGCACTTTATTTTCCTCACTTAGGGTCTCTATGTATGTTTTCATGCCATCAATTATTTTTTTTTGACAGTTTATGTCGTGTTTAGATTTTTCAAGTTCAGTGACGTTCTCCTTGAAATCGCCTTCCAGTATATTGTTTTTTCACCTAGATCCTTTATTATTTTATTGAGTTCACATATATTAGCCTTATATTTTTTCAACTGCTGCTCATATCTCTGCTCGACCTCACACGCATTGGATTCCAGGTCGAGGGATAATCTTTTGTGTATTTGAAAATGTATTTCCTTTAATTTAATGTAGCTTTTTAATTTTTCAATTTCTTTCTTGTAGTTATTAATCCTATCTTCAAAGTCGTCCCCTTCCTGTTGACAGATGCCGGAGCAATATATTTTGTAACCGTTTATTGTTGAGTGTTTCCTCCTTTCTGAACAACTAGGGTGAAATACTGCTAGGCATGTTACACAAAGGAAATAATTGAAAGGTTTATTTAGACAACACTTGAAACTTCCATCCATAGCAATAGGACACTTTTTAAATATTGCTATGCCGGTCCTGACCTTTCTCAAAGCCTATAACATGCCCGACACAAAAAATATTCAAATTTGTTTATAAAGTCTCTGGCTAAAATATCAAACAGTAGTGTTTCGTCTTCTTGCACAAAAAAATTTTCAATTTATTGTGCACTGATAAGAAATTGCAATCTTTTTCCACAAAATTTGACACCAAACACAAGTTACTGTAACTAATTTGTCCGCGTCAAACTCATTCTAGGCATTCTTGAATGTCATGTAATTCTTGTTTATTGAATCCTAATTTCTAATGGTAATTCATAGTACACATTACAATTTAATAGACAAAATGGATGAAGTCTTAAGACCTGAACGATTCGACGCTGATCAAAACTCCCCAAAAACTGCTTAGGAGTGGACTCACTGGAAATACTTTCAACAATTTTATATGCGTTGATAAGCTAGAAGATGATAGAAAACTAAAACTCTTGGTAAACTATGTAAGTCACAATAATTACGAGACTGCCGTTCCTCTTACTCAGAAGCTATCAAGTTTTTGGATTCAATTTTCAATAAACCGAAAAATGGAAAAATTGCCAGACACTGCCTTACGTCCAGGAAGTAGCAACCTGGAGAGACCGTTGATCAGTACTTACAAGCACCAAAATCATCTAAGTAAGGACTGCAGCTTCAAAGCTGTCAGTACTGAAGAAAGTCAAAATGACTATATAAGAGATTTTTCATTATAAGCTCTTCCAAAAATTGGAAAATACCACTCTGAAGATTGATGAAGCCAAGAATGAAGCTCTATCTCTAGAATCGGCACAAAAACATTCAGAGGTATATAGTATCTTAAGGTTTAGCTCAATTCAATCTGAAAGTATGAAACTACAAATGTCATTTCTGTGGATGTACCACATGACATTTTTGCACGTTTTGTTCTGCTAGAGATTCATCGTGTACTGAATGCGGTAAACGTGCGTCTGAGCAAAAGAAAAGTCAAAGCTTTTGCCTCAATTATACCTGCTTCTGGGCTTCTCTGTGCGGCACCTGAAAGGTTAACCAAATGCCTTATCAAAATTAAATTAAACAATGTCGTTGGTGATGCTTTAGTAGATAGAAAGAGCTCTGAAATAAATTTAAATATTCATTTTGCGTCGTCTATGAATGAACCTATACATTCAAGCCCGATATATATACCTATTGAAGGCCTCATCAGCTTTACAGTCTCAAATATCAGGTCATTGATGCTTTGTAGATTTAGAAATGATGGAAAATAAATACAGAAAATTACGTTTAGCTAAGCAGTTATTCCTGATTTATGTGCTGATGTCATTATACGATGTCATGATATAGGTACTTAGACAGCATTCCACCCTATAGTATTTTTTGGAGGTTCTAGGTAATAAGTCTTCTTTATCCTGATTTAATTAGATTTGAACCTCTGCCAAAATTACGTGTATCTGTATATACTCTCAATCTCTAAAAAGAGCCATTGGGATGTTGGTCCATTATTCAAAGTGGATACCTTTTGCTTTTCAGAGAAAATTTATCGACTTGTTTTTCTAAATCAGCTGTTACTTCAAATCGAAGATAACATTCCATCGCCGCCACTTTGTGTTAAGCAGGATTAGCAGGAAGGCTACCTATATGTATAGTTGCATTTTTCTCGAGAACACTAAGTAAGTGTGAATAAAATCATCTTATAATCATCCAGTTGAGAAAGAAGCTTATTCCACAGTCGGAGCGATTGAGAAATGAAGACATTTTCTGATTGGTCGTCATTTTCAGCTGATAACTGATCAATAATCTGCGTTTATGTTCAATACCAAATACTTTAGCAAAATAAAAAATGAGAATATTTTAAAATGGCAACTCGAACTATAATGGTACAGCTATGAATAATACATAGACCAGGACGAAAAAACGTAGTAGCTGATACATTCCTTCGGGCCTCGAGTATAGTATTTTTAACAAACGTCGATTGCTAATACGTCAATTTCATGTACAAATGGGAAATTCCTAACCTAATTTTATTTGTGTGTTCAAGAAGTGACATACGTTTAGTCACTAGAACGACTGGTACTTCTAAATGGGTATTAAAAATTCTATATGTGGTTCAAATAATCAGAATACTTTATTCGATTTACATCAAGCTTTATGTCATCCTGGAATTACTAATAGAATGGTCCATAGGGTAAGATCTCGCAATATGCCCTATTCTGTAGAAGTTATTCGCATTATGTCAGCGTCTTGCCCAGTCTGTGCAGAACTCAAACCTACATTTATTAAAAATCAAGGGACACTCATTAAATCTTCGGCTTTCGAGATAATATTTCTAGACTTCAAAGGCCCTCGTCCAACTGATTCAAGGGATATAATATATTCACTTACTAATCATTGCTATCACCTACGAGTATTTTCGCTTCCAATTCCCTATCCATGTTTCAAAATTAACTTTTCTCAAAAGGAATAGCTACAAGCAGATCGACACCTAATAATCCAGTCGGCGATGGTCAAACAGAACGGTTTATTGGCATAATTTGAATTTATTCTACTCCGCATGAAAGATTCCGTCATTAAAGAAATAGTATATTATGGAATGGTCATGTTATATCATGTATCCTATAACATGCTCGTGTATTAATGGCCATTACATGAGAGTTGCATACACTATTTTTTCTACTTCCAGTAATAAACGAAATACATATTTATTTCAAGAATAGGTAGTAAACTTCTCAACTTGTGGTGGCATCTATTGACAATTTCGAAAATTAAGATCTAGACATCATTTGGGCATAAATTCCGCACCCGATTTATCAATTTTTAGTTGTTTCTTTTGGTAAATACTAATAGGAACAAGGAACAATCCAAAATTCCAAAACAAGTCTGTTATTTTCATATAAACATTGTTCATGTTCAAAATAACTCGATTCTAGTGGCTGAAAAATCATGTATCATAATGAAAATTTGTATCATGAAGTTCATTATGAAACAGGTTTTAATTGTTTCATAAGCTTATTATGAAACGTCAGTAGAAAAACCAATGAATGGTACAGCATTACCTTCATGGCTAACTTCTGGAAAAATTAGTATCTAACGACATGCTTTTTCACATGTCAGACACTAAAAGTACGATCCTCTCGTTGAAGAGGTTGATAGCATTGAAGCTGACCCTCAATAGTTCGACATACAGATGGACGAGAAGCAACGGCTTTGCTAAAACATTTAGCTCCATGTGGTGATGAAATCGGAAAATAATGCTGATAACCATCTTTTAAATACGCATAGGTACTTAGAAGAAGGTAAAGATGTTTTACATGGACCTATTCCCACATAAAAAATGCGAGACATTGAAGAAGAAAATGATAATGAGACAATAAACCTAAACCAGCCCGTCCAGCGTCAATCTATTTACCGTGAGCCACAACTAGAAAAACAGATGCGTCGTGGATCAAAAACTAGGAAATCTCCCAAATATCTTGACGATTTTGTGGAAAAATAAACATGAGGAACTGGGGAGAATGTGGTACCTACTTTTGATATCTTCTGTGTATACATAGTTTTGTTTACCTACATTAATTATCATGTCTTCGTCATTCTCATAAGTTGTTCCCCATTTTTGAATGTCATATGTGTATTAATCTTGTTTAATAAAGCCTAATTTCAAACCCCCTCCCCCCCTCTAAAAAAAAAAGCTAACACATTAATGACAAAATTGATTGAAATAGGTCCGTTGACCATAATTCCTTCCAAACAAAAGTCAATCTCGATAGGTAGTTCCCCCGCTGGTTAGGATTTAGGGGCACTAAACCAGACAACTAAGAAAACGAACGTATAATAATTAATCGTGTAGCAAGTGCCAGAGCAACAAATTCATTGAATGGTACCGCCTGGGTTCTGGTTTGGATGGTGTATAGTGCATAATCGAATATTATACGCAACTGTTTGGTGCGGTGCGTCGTCGAAGAATACTTTTACTTTTGCTTTTGGGTTCGAGTGTGACCTGATTTTTTAAATTGTTTTGAGGTAAGATTTTTTGTTTTTTCAGCAATTATTACCTTATAAAAATTAAAATTTATTTTGCTTTAAAATTAAGAATTCTTCTGTAAAATGTTCGCCTTATCTTGGTTATAAGTGTTGAAAAGTTAAACGTTCAAATAGTCTATTTGCTTTTCTTCTCAAGCCAAGATAGAAATATTAGGTACCTATTGCCCAAACTACCTGATTAATTAAATATTTTCAAAAAATGGAGGAATGAACCTAATTTTCATTTTTTCAAGTACCTATAAGCTCTTGGAAGAAAGTTGGAAAATATAAAGCAAGAATTGGCTTTCAAATCTAATAACTTAATAAATTGAGGTTTGATTCAGGAGATAATCACAAATATTGAGTAACATCTTCATTGTAAATAAGAAAATAAGATGCGATCTACAATTCTACAATTTGGCTATAGACACTCTTTTCGTTAATTTCTGATTACTTTAATTTTTTATCAGTAGTTAAAATCGTACTTCAGTCTCTGCTGTTATTTACTGTCCATATTTGAATAATTTTAGCGGGACTTTTCTTCATTTACGTCAACTGTGTTGTTAACATTATTTCTTTATTAATAACAACGAAATGGTATTATTAAAAAGAAATTTAATTCCTGATCTCATTGAAGCTCGTACTTTTGTTGATACAGGTGTAAATATAGAAAGCTTACCTACCTACCGCAAAATGGTTCTTTAATTACAATACAATTATGATACTTAGACGCAATTTACCGAAACGAATAACTGGGTAAGAACTTTATTATTAGAGTGATTCAGTCTATCAGTTACCCTTCATCTTTTTGTTTATAGTAGGTAATAATTATCTTTAAGATTGGTAAAGGAATTTATACATGACGTTGAAAGAGATCTAATAGGTACCTACCTAAACTTGACCAAATTTGTCAAAGAATCAAATTTTTAGCTTCAGTAGAATAATAATTAGACAATTTAATATTAAATAACCAGTTTTATAATGAATGATGATGGTGCTATTTTTCTTATTTTACGCACTTTTCCTCGTTCCTTACGTTAATTAGGTATAACCCTGAAAGACAGATTTCAAGCCAGCAAAAATACCGCTATCCTTATGGTTATTTTCAATGAGGATAGCATTCATCGAGTATGTGAAGAATTTTAAAAGTAACATCAAAAATAAGAGCTCACTGTTGTCATAATTTCTTTGTGATTGTCTTCTCCTAGTGAGCGGTTTTCCTTGAGCTCCTGCGCTAAATTCGTTACTTCTATGTTTATTTGGTCCATTTTGATTTTGCCAGGCACATTTTCTTATTCGAACTTTCCAATTTTTTTCCAATATTGAACTCTTCGGCCATATTAATAGCTTCATCCTTTAAAATTAGGTAGGTAGTTCTTTGTTTTTGATTTTTTCAATTTTGTTTGATTTTGGATCTTTCTGCGACATAATTAATTTGAGACCGCTTCTCGATGCATAATTTTTCTAGTTTTTTTTTTCTTAAGCTATTCACGTCGTTTTTCTTTCTTTTGAAATCTTATTGTTCTATCCGAGGTTCATTGTTACCTATCCATCTTTTATAAAGCATTAGGTATCTTTTTCCTTTATTTTTCCTGTAAATTCTGGCGTTATCCATAATCATCGTTTTTAATTTTTATTGGCCACCAGCATCTCTTGGTCCTAATAATTTAAATAATGTCACTATTTCAATCTCAGATATTAATACCGAATTAAAAAACGTTGATCTATAAAAGAGACCAAAAGGGCATCTTTCCTGACTTCTGATGGAAGGCCAGCTACGTAAAGTTTATGACGTCTTTATTGGGTGAAAAAATTATATCCATGCAATTTGGCTTCAAAAAGAGCTCTTCTGACTTCTATCTACAAAAACTAATCTTCTTTCCTACTTGGAGATACTGACAAACGCTTGGAAAGAGGTAGAGAGGTACACTCACTATACACCAACTTCTCCAAAGCGTTTGACAGAGTCTTGATCAGGAAATTGGAGATACTGAACATCTCTGGCTTCCTACTCCTCTGGATAGAGAGCTACCTCACTCAAAGTGTCCAGATAGTAATGATAGATAACTTCACTTCTTCACAAATCCCAGTCTCATCAGGCGTGCCTCAAGGTTCACACCTGGAACCTTTACTTTCCAACATTTTCATCAACGACTTTACATCTTTATTCAGGCACTGCCTTTTTTTTCTATTGGCACACGATCTTAAATTGTTTTTAAAAATAGCCATCCAAAATGACTGCCTCGCACTCCAGGAAGATGTTGACAGGCTAACTCTTTGATGCCAGACTAATTGGCATGGAACTAAATGTGTTAAAATGTGAAGTAATTAAATTTCACAAATCAAAAACCTTTAACAATTATATTTACCTTATAGATGGCACTCCCTTGGATAGTGTGAAGTAGATCAAGGATTTGTGCGTCTAATCATATCGACTTCACTAGTACGCAGTACAAGGGACTTCATGAATATTAATTCCATCAAAACATTATATTTTTCCTATGTCCGCACTTTTCTGGAGTATGCTCCATCAGTATGGAGTCCAAAATACATCCGCCATATACATCGAATTGAAAGTTTACAGCGTAAATTCTTCAGATACTTGAACTACAAAGTTTTCAATAACCCAGAATTTCATTATGCAAACCTCTGCGCTGAACTAAATCTGTCAACCTTTCCTGCAGAAGAAAGCAAAGAGACTTTAAAAATGATTCCCAAAATCCTGAACTCTACCATAAACTGATAAACTGTCCATACTTCTTAACATCCCAAGTTGGTTTAGATGTCCCTTTTCGCAACACTAGCACAACTCAAACAATCTACCAGAAACTTTACAGAACCAATGGATATCATTCTTTTCTTCCTCGTACTGTCAGATTGTGCAATCAACTGAGTGAGCTTGATTACTTTGGGACTTTCTATATAAGTGTACTCACTAGTCACTAGTTTCAGTACAATTTCTTTAAGTTTATTCTCACCTTTATCTTGCTTTGATATTTATTTATTGTTTTTTCTTAGGGTCATCTAGTCTTTAATAATTGTTAATTTTCAAAAAATTTTATAATGGACTTGACTCGTCAATAAATAAATAAATATTTGCGTCTGGTAAAAAAAGGTTCCAAATTTTTTCGGATTAATTCCTTGCTTAATTCCCTAGAATTCTAGAAGAATTTTCAATCCAATACCATTTAACATGTTCTGAATTATTGCTATATGTATTTGCTTTGTGTGTTCATAAAAAATCATCCATCGTGTCGAAAACTTAAGGTGTGATTCAGCAAAATAATTTATCCATTCTCATAATTACCGATGCGGGCAAACATATAAATACTCATGCTAGTTATGAAATCATTAGACTAATGATTGTAAAACCTATTTAGTGAATACCATATGCATGATGATGATATCACAATAATTTGAATGTCTGTTGTGGAAACTTGTTCAATTAATTCCTCGTTGATGAGCTTTATCAAAAAAAAATCTTATCAACAATGGAAAAAGCTGTACTCTCACTTTTGGGCCAAGGCCAATCAGTTCTTAAATTACGGATTTCACATTATTTACGCATAACCAATTATCAAGGCTGGTATTCATTTTCTCACTAAATATTTTCGTATATGGTCCAACCAGAACTCCATACCTTGAAATCTTGAATCAATATGAATTTCGACACAATCTTTTGTAAAAACTAGTACTCAATACGACATTCAGTAATCAGTAAAGGCGTGGTATTTTGTTTTTGTACAAGTACTAACCTAACCAAGGTAATAATTTATTGCCTACTATGCAATAAACAACATAAAGATGATAATTGTATAATAATTAAACCCTATGCAATAAGGTACCTATTGTTTTGTTTGAAGTGAATGAAGAAACACCGGCTTCTAATTTCAAAGTTATTTGGTCAATGAACGGAAAAATCACCTTCAAGTCGATTTTAAAGTAAATGAAGTTACGTAATTCAACTTAATAAGCTTGTTTTGTTGTTTCTTGGAGAAAATGGGTAATTTGCATGAAAGCGTTATGATCAAAATTAATACAAAAAAGGGGTTTAGGTATATCGTTGTCATATAAAATATGTAGGTACATTTAACATTTTTGCTTATAAAATGATACAAAACTTCAAAAACCTTACATTTCGTTAGTAGTTTCTACCTAGATAGAAACTTGAGTGTCGAAAAATGCTTAAATTTAATTTCATTCAATTCGTTCAGCATCCTACTTGGCCTTCGCTAGAATATTTTCATCTCCTACTTTCATTTTCGCAATAGATGATAAACACTGTTCTGAACGGTACTATTCGGTAATACTTGCACAGGTTAAATACCTCGGCGATACGTTAATAATGTCCGCAGGAGCCAAACCAACTAACTAAATTGTTCTAATGACTCTGGTAATTATGGATAATTTATGCGACTGTTTTTTATTTACCGTGTCATTATGTAAAGAAATACCTACCTAATTTGATTCTTCAGTTTTTTGGACTTAATTTCAAAGCTCTCTAAAAGTAAAAGTATTTAGACACCAATACTATCTTAGCAATTTTCTGATATAATAACGTTTTTGATCATCAATGCTGTTACCTACACATTCAGCGAAAAAAAAAACAACGTTACGCTAAGTGATGCCACTTTTTCTCAAAGTTCTCCTTATTTACCCACTCAACGTCCGTGTTATATAATAACTGTGACTGCTTTTGATAGGCAGCTAACTAGAAAATCAATAAATCTATATTTCCCAGAAATTTTCATGCGAAGGCTAATAATAATGTTACACAGAGGCAAAGCGTTACGGAGAAGATCCAAAAGAACGTATATGAAGTCGTTTTTCTCCACTTTGTACGTATGAAAGGTACTTGCAATAAAAACGAATAAATACAAAACGAAACATTAATTTATGTTATCAACAACCAGTAGAAAATGAGTATTAAAATATTTTTGTAAGGTAGACATTAAATTTGAACCCATTTGCAGTAGAGAGTTTATAGGATTTTACTATTCTTTTCCATTATCTTGAGCTTTTGCTACTAATGGCGTTTTTATGTTTAGTTCAGCTTTTTTTTTCTTTTTATGTTGGTGTAAGACGTTAAGTATCCAATAATTATTATTGTCATTGCATAATTTATTGTAAATCACCTTTTAACACTCAGCACAAAAAAACAACAACAATTAGCTATTTTAATAGGTACCTATGACATAAAATGCGGTAATGCGGATATTTATCATGATTACTGTGAAGGTAATTCACCTTTAAAACTGTATTATTCTAAGCTTCCTATTGGCCATGAATTAGTTACCTACCTATAATTATAAAGTTCTTTTATTTTTATTTTTAGAATATAATCTAGGATGAATCTTACGATAGATGTACCAAAATGGTATGCCGGCCAAAAAATCTTCATCACCGGTGCTACCGGTTTCATGGGAAAAGTTTTAGTCGAAAAATTATTAAGATGCTGCCCCGACATTTCGACCATTTACATTATCATCAGACCTAAAAAGGGAAGAAACACTGCTCAACGTTTAGAGGATTTCTTGAACAGCCCAGTAAGATTTTGTTAATGAACCTTCCAAATTTGTTTGAAACTAACTAATGCTTTTCTTTAAAGGTTTTTGATAAACTGAGAGATCACCCAAAAAGCGAAAAAGTCTTAAGTAAACTCAAATGTCTTAACGGTGACGTCAGCTATCCTAACCTGAACCTGTCCGACTCGGACGTATTGGAACTAGAAGAAAACGTGACGACAGTATTCCATATGGCTGCCAATGTTCGATTTGATCAACCCCTAAAAAGTGCTGTTCTATTAAATACAGGGGGTACTTTGAACGTCCTCGAACTAGTTTGTAGATTTAAGAATCTTAAAGTATTTGTTCATACGTCAACTTCTTATTGCCATTGCGATCAAACTAAGTTGGAGGAGAGGTTGTATCAGGCACCACATAATCCAAGGTAACTTTTGTTTCGGGTTTCACGAGATTCTCGAAATTCGAAATTTCTCGTCTCATCTCGTCTCGATTTCGAGACGAGATCGAGACGAGAATGAATTTTTTTTTTCGAGACGAGATCGAGAAAAACAGTTCGTGATTTTTCGAGATCGAGAAATTTTTTCGAGAATTCTCAATCTTGAAAAACTGTTGGTTGGTGCTGCAATACCTTAAAATATACAATGACGCTAAAGCACACACAACACACATTGCAACTTGCAATCTATCTATTATAATAATATCGTCAAAATAACATAAAGATGTAAGATGTAGTAGTAAGGGGTAGTGCTTCCCTGCACCGCGCTAATCCCGGGCTCGGTGGTTCTCGGTGGTCCTTATTTCAGTTCCGTTTATCCATCGCAAAGCCATAAAATATCATAAATCCAACCTTTTTTCTATTGTATTATTCTTCAAAAATGTTAGTTCAAGCTAATATACAGGGTGAATTTGAAATAAGTGCGAATTTTGTTATGGTAGATAGATTACAGTCATTGGCGTAGCGAAGGCCTCTGGTTTGGGGGGGGGGGGGGGGACATTCCTAATTTTCCCAACTTTATTAAAACTTTAAAAAAGTCATATTTAGCATCGTACACGTGTTAAAAAGTGGAACTTCTTAAAAACTATTCCCTCTCATACGACTTTTAGACTTAGCGCATGAGTCGGGGTATATAAAGACGAAAGGCTACCCAAAAGACAAACGCGCATCTGTAGTGACATCACAAGGATATCGGCGCTTTATAATAATAGGCAATCCCTTCGTTTATAATCTTTGGTTTGTGTCAATCGTTCGTCGGCTGTCATTGTCATTGGCTGTCTTTCTCCGCCTCTCTACATTATATCGGGTCTTCAAAAAAAAAACCAATCGAAGATTGCTTTGATTACGAAAACGTACGTCGCATTACTGTTTCTTTATTGGTCAGGATTTTTGACATGACATTTTGACATTAAGTTCATTGACAAAATGAAAGAAAAATTTTGCTAAGACATACGTTTGAAAAACCATAGCAATCTTTGATTGTTTTTTTTTTTGAAGACCCGATATCTTTCTTCACTCTCGTCTCTCGTATGCCGAAATTTCGCCAAACGTGTCATTACGTGTAACGTGAGTCGTGACGCGTCTTTCGAATCACTTTCCATTCTCGTCCAAATCAGACCGCCGCCTAAGAAGTTTCACTCAAAAAAATCATGTGTAGTATCGTATACGTGTTAAGAAGTGAAACTTTTTAAAAAGTATTCCCTCCCTCATACAGCTTTTAGACTTAGCGTATGAGCCGGGGTGAAAACGAAGGGTCACACAAAAAACCCAAAAGGGAGTCGCGCATCTTTAGTGACGTCACAAGGGTATCGGCGCTTAACAATAATAGGCTCTCTGCTTATATTCCTTGGTTTGTGTGAATCGTTTCTCGTCTGTCATTGTCATTGGCTCGTTTTCTCCGTCTCTCTACAGCCTACATTATATCTTCCTTCTATCTCATCTCTCGTGTAACCAAATTTGTCAAAAAGTGACGTTACGTGATGCGTCTTTCAAATCACTCCCCATATTCTCGTCTAAATATCAAACCGCCGCCTAAGAAATTTCACTTCAAAAACTGATAAAAAGTTTGACATGTATACATCGTGATTTACGTAGCCGGCCTCAGACAGCCGGCAGGCCTATTTTCTATGAACAGCAATTACATAGCAACCAGCAACCGGTCGCAAGTTGTTTTTTTAGAATAGAAAATTCGCGTTTGACAGCGACAATTTCGTAATTATCTGCGGGCGCAAGTTACAGAATAAGCTGGCGTGCATTAGAAGTTGTCCAGTTTGCAGGTGGATTAGTAAAAATAGCATCTAAACCACCTGCAAAGTAATGTCAGGGGCTACGTAAATCACCCTGTATATTTCAGACCTACAATTAATATAGGTAATGTAATAAAATTAACACTGTATAAAAAACGTGTATGAGAAAAACGTTTCGAGAAACCAAAAACTATTTCTTCAACTCAAGAGCAAAGAATTCAGACTAATTCAGAGTTTTGCTGAAATGTGAATACCGAGCGAAGAATGCGGAGAACGCAAAAGGCAACATAATATAAAAAGTTTGGATTATCTAATATACTATATTGTCCATCACTCTCAAACACAACGCGCTTGCAACAACAAACTATAGATATAACTACGTCGGTCTTGAATAGAGAATAGTGCTAGTGGTGCTAGTGCCACTACTGCCACGAGTGCCACGTGCCACTGCGAAAGGCTAGTGGTGCTAGTGCAGTGCAAAGTGCAACGCAAGAGATCGCCACGACCATTGGGATTTCGTCATCCTGTTGTCCGATGATTTTGCAATTCATTACGACTCGTGACACGATCCTAATGTTAATTTTAATTAGTCCTCGAAAATGAGGTGCGCAAATTTTTGTCTACCAATTTTTCCCAACTTTAAATTTTTTATCCAAATTTTCCCAACTTTCGATATATTTCAGGAACTTTGGGGGGGGGGCGTTGCGTGGTACACCCCTGGGCTTTTTGACAAATTAAAAACTATTTTTTTGATTCCCTATTAAATTTTAAACAAAAAAGGAAACCCGACTTCTGCTTGTTCGATGCGACTTTTACGAGATAAAAAATAGAAATCAATGTAATGTCTGGAAAATCTCGTTGTTCAATATACTCCACTCTGTTCACATTACACCGGAAACTGAAGAACAATGAAGTTAAAAAAAGGTTATGTCATATTATTATATCGCAAACACTCTCCGAAAATTTGAACAGAATCGCTCAAAGCCTTTTGAATCTAGAAGCAAAAAGTCAAAATTTTCCGAAAATTTCAACACTGTATTTTCTTAACGAGACGTTTGCGGACACATGTTCCTATACAAAAAGTGATTGGCCTACTATACTCTATCTATCATAACTAAATGCGCACTTATTTCGAACTCACCCTGTATAATCAGTTTGTTGCATGCAGGTGCATTCTTCACGAACAAAGAAACAATTTTTTCTCCAAACGTCAGAAAAACGTCACTTTGTTAACCCCATGTCAGAAATTTGATTTCTATGTTGCTAGGCAAATCCAGCGAGTTAACACCTGTCGAGGTGGTAGAAATTTAATTTCTATGCTGCTTGGCAACCGCAGCGGCAGCAAAAGTACTTTTAGTGCCGCTCGTACTTTTGCTGCCGCTCAACCATTCACTTGCCCCCGAGCTTACCCTATTCGTTTGGAGAAAACATAGCGTGTTGCATACGGAGTAGAAGCACTTTTTTGTGCTTCAGCAGTATTGCAAGCCTCACTACGATCGGCTCGCAAACCTACCGCTTCAGCACAAAAAAGTAAAGCTTCTACTCCTAATAAAACAATATACTATTAAACTTTCGTACATATCTAGGTAAATTCTAAATTCATGGCTAAAAGATTAAATTAAAAAAATATAAAGGATTTGTTAAATTTTTGGAAAAATATTTTTTTTTTATGTATGGGCCAATAATCGGTGTTTTTTTTTTTTGTAGCATGTAGCTCTGTATTTTCACGTAATTTTTTTAATAGAAAACATTTTCCCCTTTCTTTTGGTGCAGACTTATGTATACCTATCTACATATAATATATTTTAATAACATTCAATTTTGTTTTCGAGACTCTCGAAATCTCGAGAATCTCGAATCGAGATCGAGAAATTGTCTTCGAGAAAAACATTGAGACGAGATTTTGTTGATTTCTCGTCTCGATGATCGAGACGAGACGAGAAATTGCCTTCGAGACGAGATTTCTCGTCTCGATGAAACCTTACTTTTGTTTATGATTTTGACTCTTTTATCTCATCGTTGCATGAATTAATCTGAATCTGTAACTCATTATATAACACTTGAATTATAGAAACAGTGGCGACAATTGGAAATAAAAAAAGATTGTAAATTGAAAGGTAGGTACTCACAAATTGAATGGGAGCTAATGAAAACTCTGCATAATTGCAAATATTTATTATTCCTAGTTCGGCGCTTTATAATGTGATGTCATAGTGGATCACCATATCAACTCCAACTCAATCAATGAGAAAATAAAATCCACCATGGGGGTCTTAAAACTTAATTGGCAGGTCTATCTATGTGTGTAGTATGTTTCATCATAAGCTAATTCAAACCGAACCGATAACCGATAGATATCTATTCAGGGCTGGTTCTAGCTCTTTGGCCGCTCTCGTGCAAGAGCTTGTTTTGCCGCCCCCAATGAGAGACTTTTTGCTTCGGGGGAAGGGAATTTTTCACAACATTCTATCCGTGGGCTCCATCAAGTCAGCCCTCCCCCACATTCAAATTTTCTAACAAATTTGCAATCACTTACTGTGCTCGAACGGTGCTTCACTGTGCCCATGATATTTTGAACTGTGCCGTTCCAATACTAAAGTTATGGGGAAAACGAGATGGGGGCTAACTTGACGCTCAGTCCCCCCAAAATTTTGGAAATCAGATCAAACAAAAATAGATTCTTAATGCAATCTGAAGTGTGCAGAACTGATGTGCTGTATCAGGTTTTTCTGATAATTTTTATATTCGATCTTCTTCCGACAAAATCTTACTGGGCGGCTAACTTGACGCTCAGTTCCCCAAAGTTTTGGAAATCAGATCAAACAAAAATGTATTCCATGCAATCAGATCAGAGGTGTGCTGAACTGTGCTGTATCAGGTTTTTCTCAAAATTTCCATATTCGATCATTTTCCTACAAATCCTACTGAGGGGCTAACTTGACGCTCAGCCCCCCAAAATTTTGGAAATCAGATGGAACAAAAATGGATTCTTATGCAATCTGATGAGTGCTGGAATCTGTTGTATCAGGTTTTTCTCAAAATTTCCATATTTGGTCATTTTCTGACAAAGTCCTACTGGGGTGGGGGGAAAGGGGTAGCTTGGCGATCAGCCCCTCAAAATGTAAAGTCAAACAAAAATGGATTCTTATCCAATGTGCACCAGTGCAAATATTTAATCGCTTGGAGTGTGCCACACTAGTGCCGCACTATTTTTGCGAACGGATTTCGGCGCTATTAAAGTGCAGCCTACAAAAAAAAAAAAATCAATCTGGTCTACACTTTAGATTGAATTGGAATCCATTTTTGTTTGATTCGATTTTCAAAATTTTGGGTGGCTGAGTGTCAATAGCCCCCCAGTAGGATTTTGTCGAAAAATGACCAAATATGGAAATTCTAAGAAAAACCACACAGTCCAGCACATTTCAGATTGAATAGCAATCCATTTTTGTTTGATCTGGTTTCCAAAACTTTGGGGGCGCTGAGCGTCAAGTTAGCCCCCAGTAAAATTTTGTCGGAAAATGACCGAGTGTGGAAATTTTGAGAAAAACCTGATACAGCACACTTCACTTCAGATTGAATAGGAATCAATTTTTGTTTGATCTGATTTCCAAAATTTTGGGGGGGTTGAGCGTCAAGTTAGCCCCCTAGTAGGATTTTGTCGAAAAATGACCGAATAAGAAAATTTTCAGAAAAGCCTGATACAGCACAATTCAGCACATTTCAAATTGCATAAGAATCTATTTTTGTTTGATCGAATTTCCAAAATGTTGAGGGGGCTGAGCGTCAAGTTAGCCCCCCCCCCAGTAGGATTTTGTCGGAAAATTACCGAATAAGGAAATTTCTAGAAAAACCTGATACAGCACACTTTCGATTGCATAAGAATCCATTTTTGTTTGACCTGATTTCCAAAATTTTTGGGGCGCTGAGCGTCAAGTTAGCCACTCATCTTGTTTTTCCTATAACTTTGGTATCGGAAAGGCACAGTTCAAAATATCATCGGCACAGGCACAGAAAGCATAAGGCACAGCAAAGCACACGTCGAGGCCTTCGAGCACAGTAAGTGGTTGAAATTTTGTTAGAAAATTCGAATGTGGGGGAGCAAGGGCGCTCGTACTACTTTTCAGGGGAGCTCGTACCACTTGACAGGTAGCACGCGCCCCAACAACTGGCCGCCTGTTCGTGCAATATAGTTCAAAGGTATTTGTCTCAATTTTTAATATACTAACATACCTAGATAGAATATGCGGCCCCTTCGGGCTGCCGCCCTCGTGCGGCGCACGAGTGTAAAATCCGGCCCTGATATCTATATAATCAAAAAAGCTAGCCACCATCCACCACAAAAGAAATGAGTGATCAAAATCCTTATGAAGCTACAACATCTACAAGATAAATTTGCACATATAGAAGAAAAACTGCCATTTATTGAAAGATTTTTGGTTGAACATAATGTAATGTCCCTTTTCAAGTCAGCTGAAATTATAGTCTAGGAGCTTTTCCGGAAGAATACGGACTACAGCATCATCATCATCATCATGAAACAACCTTTTCAAGTCCAGTGTCGGAAACAGGCCTCCTATACGTTTCCAATTTTCTCCGACTCGGGGAGTTGCGAGCCAGTTTGTCGAAATTCTCTTTAATTCATCCGTCTAGCGGGTTGAAGGTCTCCCTTGGTTTCGCATGCAAGCCTGGAAACTACCGGCACTGAGAGGTTCGAATCTTATGAGAGGTACCTACTTCGTGTCGGACAGTGATAACATTCCTAATCATAATCAAGCAAAATTTCGAATCAAATCCTCGGACAAACCACGATTCATTAAACTGCTGATTCTTCGTCTCAATAATTTGGATTTTCGGATGAAGCAAGCCAGAGAAGATATCGGTGCGTTCGTCTTCATAATATCGGCAGTAGGTATCGAAGCAACGTTTGACTCATTAGCAATGTTATCGTTGTGCTTAATTATTGCAACCTACGAGCGGCCAACTTTTGGAAACCACCTCAATAGAAACAAGCAATAAGTACTTCAAGATTCTAGTTGTTGAGAAGTTGGCATTTTTTATGTAATTGTACCAATCAATTAGAACTGAGTTATCCCATTGAAGCCACTGTTAGAAGAAGTAAAAAAAAATATATTCAACTTCATGCTTAACAACTTAACCACGAGTTCCCTATTGTACTAACACCGAATAAAATACTCTGGAAGGTAGATGAAGAAGGCCTAGGAGAGTTGATAATCTAAAAAGGGGTGAAGTATAATTCCCCCTTAGACTTAGACACATCATACAAAATTCTGTGCGTAGCATCCGGTTTTAGTCTCCCACAATCATCTCCAAATTATTTTATTTGTTGTACTTATATATTATCCTGAACTAAATTTCTCAATATTATTTGTAAATTTTCAGGCATATTCTGGATTTAGTAAAATGGATGGATGGTGATCTACTAAAAATGCTTACTCCAAAACTACTGAGCAATTCTCCTAATACTTACGCCTATACAAAATGCTTGACTGAACAGCTAGTGTCGGAATATTCGGAGAAACTGCCTATAGCGATCTGTAGGCCATCTATTGGTAAGAAATGGTTTTTATCCCAAGCTTTCAAAATTCTTTATGAATCATCCACAACATTCACAAGTTCGTCCAGCGATAGGATAAATGAGTTCTCCAATATCCAATTTCCAAACCAAAATCGAATTTACGTGGGATTTTGATTTCGCAGTTAATAGGGAAATTGCAAACCGCGATGGAAAATCAGCTGGACACTATAAATAGAGTTATCCCCGGGTAAAAACCGGGAATTGGCATTTTCTCTCGGGACAACTCTGGTTCCGCGAAAAAGCGCTTTATTTTATTCCCAAATGCAACTGGTGTTCTGTTACTATTGGTTTCCAAGTTAATTAATCTGTAAATACAGTGTATCTTACTTGGATTCTAGGAATTTACTAAAGCCATCATTAGTAAATTGCAATAACAGAATCTTTCTCTGGATTGTATAGTTTCCCGGGAAAAACAACGCAATTAAAACCTGCAGCTATAAAAAGTAACCAGCATGAACATGTAGGTAGGTATACGTGTAGGCTTGATCCTAGCTTATCTTCATGTATAGAAAACATTTTGCATTTAAAATGTTATTAGTTATACAGGATGTTTCACAAGTTATTGCGAAAATTTTCATTATTATCACAATAAATGATAAGTTTACGTTAAAATTGGTATGAATGTCCCATCAGACTAGTAGAGAGCTCCTCCAACACACCCACATTGATACTTGCTTCTTTTGTTACCTATCAGTCTTATTATGAACATTGTGAGATTTTGATTTTAATGTTCATAACTCAGAATCGCTTAAGTTCTCGAACAAAACAACTCGTGCTGGAAGGATTGCTGAAGCATTTGCCATTCCACACGGCCTAACCCAGTGAGAAGAGCCCACGCGTATTTCCGATTCCGTTTCTCAACAGGCCAACTTACTCAATTTGTTACCACAAATCCCCTCCTTACAATATCGATGTGTTTGCACCTTTGGGCAGATCAGACCACAAATTGATTTTTGAACAAAATTTGTTTGTTATACCCTCAGGCATTATGGAGCTGTAGACTGGGAAGGCCTAAAACTCTTTTTCTCGATATTTCTACTGTCTGATGTTTGGTTTAAATACAAAGATCACAACAACAGTATAATTTTTTCATAGATCACAACAAATTTCAATAAGATCCCCCCGCGGCTGCACCAGAGGTTACCGAAATAATTTTGGATATGGCACATCCCATGCCAGAAAAGCCTGGAACCTGGTATAACAAGCAGTGTGTCCGAGCGATTGCAAAAAAAGACACCGTATATCGTGCCTAGAGTATAAGCCAATGCAAACAAACTCAATCATCCTTTATGGCTGCCAGAAATGATTGCAACCGTATAACCAACGAGGCCAAGAAGTTATACAACCAACAACTGCATAATCGACTTTTGGTCTGCCCGAGTAAATCAAGTTCCTTGTGATCCTTTCCCAAGACCATAGGAAAAAATTTCACATTTTCCTTTCCACCTTCAGTTAATGACAATAATTCCATTGTTGTATCGTCGAAGGATAAAGAAGATCTCTTTGCCAAACAATTTTCATGCAATTAATTCCACGATGGAGAACAATGTCGAAGCGTCACAGCCCATATATTGGTTCTCACATGGACAACGTTGTATTTAGACCTGAAAATATTAGAAAAGTTCTTCTGCAGCTTGACACTTGGAAAACTTGCGCACAAGAATTGGCTACAGTTCTCTGCAAGCTGTTTTTACTCTCTTACAGTCCAGGCATTTTCCCGTATATCTGGTAATATGCCAGAGTGCATCTCAAAGGGCAAGAAAACTCTTCCTAGCAATAATTATTGTCCCATGTCACTTATATTCGTAATTTCGAAAGAAAATGGAAAAGGCTGTCAACCTGATACTGCATGGTTAAATACCTTGAAGCCATTAAGCTCATCGCTGACAAACAGTACGGATTTTGTTGTAACAGATGAACAAGGGATCTACTGGCATACGATAGTCGTACTTGGAACTCGACTGTCGGAAAACATGTCGATTCCAGAATTGTAGCATTGGAAATTTCCAATGTTTTTGATCAGGTGTGGCTCAAAGGTCTCCTCATTAAACTTCCATCGTATGGTCTCCCGAACGAATCTTGCTATAGGCTGGGAAGCTTTTTGAAAGGCACTGCATGTTGTGGTCGATGTTGTGTCTTCTGATACACTGCCTATTACCGTCGTTCCCCGAGGCTCAATTCTGTCCCCGATACTGTTTTTCATTTTCGTAAATGATTCGTTAAATGTGAAAAGAACCCCATATACAGCTTTGCAAAATTCTACGTGTCGACTAAAAACTCAATCTACTCTACTAACAACAACTTTACTACAAGGTTATACTATTTTCTCACTTATACTGAATCTCTACTTACACACTAAAGGCTTTATATACACACCCTGGCAAAATTAAGGGAACGGACAAAATTTACCCTAAGTTTGGCATCAATTTTCTCTTAAACCTTCCGCTCGATTTTAATGAATTTTTCACAGATTGTAGCTTGATTGTTCAGGAATACATCTGACGTATTACCGTTATTAAATGATTCGTCTTTATATCATATACAGGGATGGAAAGAAAGTCAGTAATTTTCAGAGTTTTTTGAGACTCCTGTGGAGTCACCAACTGGAAATTCAGAACAGTTTTCAACACCAAATTGTAAGAGGTAAAACTGCGAACAATATTTAACTTGAAGTGAACATTCACACACACGACTTGAAGTTGGAAAACGGCACATTTTCATATACAATTCGTATGTCGACGTGGAGAAAATTAAGGTCAATATCCACCTTTTCTTCGAAACTCTGTATTTTCAAATATTTTGGAAAATATCAGAGAGAATAAAAAATGAAAATGTTCGGAAAAGATCAGGCTACAATTTGGTGTTGAAAACTGTTCTGAATTTCCAATGGTTCACTCCACAAGGTGTCTCAAAAATCTGAAAATTACTGACTTTCCTTCCATCCCTGTATATGATATAATGACGAATCATTTAATAACGGTAATACGACTTTAATACGTCAGATGTATTCCTGAAGAATCGAGCCGAGCTACAATCTGTGAAAAATTCATCGAAATCGAGCGGGAGGTTCAAGAGAAAATTGATGTCAAACCTAGTGTAAAATTTGTCTGTTCCCCTAATTTTCCCGGTGTGTGCAGTAACAATATTTACCTAGAAATCATGAATATACCTACTCCCTTCATGCATACTTCAAATTATTATAATAATGGTAAATTAACCATCTTTATGTTATCCTTGTATATTTTGCCAATTTCTAATAAATTCTGAACAAACGGTATAAATTCGCAATTAAAGCTCTGGATATTACAAGAATGCCATTCAAAAGGCAAATAAAACAAAATAACGCAAAATATTACATCCTCTATATCCAGGTGCTCGAAATCCTGGACGGATGGTGGGTGTTAGGAGAGTTGTACACCGGCAGTATCTATGGAAACGAGCTGCTCGCATGCAGAGTCTGAATGCAACGAAAAAATAAATGTATATTTCCGATAATAAATTAATTTGTTTTTGAATTAAGCTAATGGAAACTTAATAGCTTTATTGATATTTTAATTTATGGATTTTAGTAATAGCGGCCTGGAAGGAACCTTTACCAGGTTGGGTGGACAACCTCAATGGTCCCACAGGAATCCTTATAGGAGCTGGAAAAGGTGTGATCAGAACCATGCACTGTAACGCTGAATTTATTGCTGACGTAGTTCCTGTTGATGTCAGTGTAAATAGTTTGATATTAATCGCTTGGAAAAGGGGGTTACATCTTGAAAAATTTGCGCCAGTGGATGTCTATAATGTAACTGTAAACCATGTGAGTAGGTATAGTTAAATTGAATTACTTTGCCAATTTGAGAAGAATGAATATTAAGGCCTTGATAATGTTTGCCATTACATGTGATTAAAGTTCGCTGACTTTTGATTATATTTAATCCTACAGAGGTTCGCAAAAAGCTGGGGAGAAGCATTGGCTATGGGAAGAAGACATTTTTACGATTATCCGTTCAGTGTTTGCCTATGGTATCCAGGAGGAGACATAAAAAATACATACTTAGCTCATTGTATTGCTGCATTTTTCTTGCATATTATACCAGCCTATTTGGTGGATTTTGTTATGTATTTGACAAATAACAAACCATTGTACGTAGTACCTACATCCGAAAAAAATTAAAATTCTAAACCTAAAACTTTTTTTTTAGTTTGGTTCAAACACAAAAACGTATTCAAAACGGTCTGAGCGTGCTCCAGTACTACACGACGAGGCCGTGGTACTTTTGCAACGAAAAACTTCACAGAGTTGCCGAAAATTTGAGTACCGAAGATCAGGAAACGTTTTATCTTGATAAAGGTCAAATAATGAATGATCAATTTATGAAGAATTACATCTTGGGTGCTAGAAAATATTGTGTCCATGAGGAACCTGAGACTATACCTTATGCAAGAAAAGTTTTGAAAAGGTAAGAGAATAGGTATTTACAAAAAAAAAATCCACTAAGGTGCCTCTAAAGACGAGTAAGATGCCTTATGCAAAGAAAATCAAGTTGTTCATATTCATGTTTAAAGTTTTACTTTACAAAATATTTTTTCAGGTTGTATTATCTGGATGTTGTGAAAAACTTTATTTTGGGATTCTTGCTGCTCTGGGGCTTCTATTTGCTGGTGACTAGTTTGACGGATTCGACAGATAGCTCTTCAGGAAAATTTGTAAACACGTCACAAACGGCACCGTTGGCCACTTATTTAATTAGTGATCCTTAAGGTTTCGAAAACTTTGACATGGATTTAAATTTGTATTTTTATATTTCTGAAATAATACTCTCTTTTGTATTGTATTGCCATACATTTTTTTTTTTTTTTTGCAATACATTATTTAAACGATAGCAATTTGTTTCAAATTTGATTCAATTAAATTTTTAATTTAGTAGTAAATTTAGTATTAACTATAAGAAATTTAATTGTTTATTATAAGTGAAACAATATCCCCAATATGTATATTTTCTTTTAATAATAAAATACATATATAAATTAATTAATTTCGCCCTGTAAAAACGGTTTTATCCCCATTTATTGCTTGTAATTTTATAAGGATTCGAACTGACATTTTAAGGATTCCTTTAGGGAGAGTTACTTAACGAGACCCATGTAAGGGATTTAGTATTAGAGTGTTATTTCTATGAAGTGAATTAAAATCTATAAAAATAAATTACCATGATTGTCAACATGAATATATTGGCTATTTCAGATATTATGTATTTCAAGTATATTTTTCTGATTATTATTTTGGTGTTTTTGTATTGAGTTTGAGGTAAAGAACATTTTTTTTATTCAATTTTCATTGTGGGCCTACATTTTGCTATGTTACCCCACTATGTCGCCTCCCCTTTAAGGTGGTACACTGATACAGGTAAGGGCAGATTAGAGGCTGGAGAATCGATAATGCATTTTCCTGGCAATATGTGGGTACGGGATGATTTCGAAAATAATTAGCAACTTGTTTTGTATCTGTAGACCTACAATTCCAAATGAACTCGATTTTCCAGGATTAGTCCTTAAACAACAAAACATTCAGATATCCGTGATACAGGTGGAGATATGATTTGTCATAAGAAATTTTACTTAGAAAACAATCCTTTTGCTTCAAAAATCGTGAAATTTCAAATTATTCAAAAGATTAAAAATATTTTTGCCGATATTTTTCTTTTAATAACGTTGTTGAATTACTTTGAAAAAATATTCCTTGACTCACACTTGAGTGCCAATATTTCTAAGGATAATTTTAATATTTTTTCTGTAATATTTCTAATAAAAATATAAATAAAATGTAGCTATTTGTGTAACTGATTGCAAAATGAGCGTGTTTTTTTTTTGCGATAAATGTGAAGCTTACTATGATGTGTTTGATTTGTTGTAAATGATTAAAAGAAAATTAGGTTTTAGTTATGTTTTGCTGAAATTTAAATAATAACAAATAGGTACCTTTGTCTTAGTGTTTCGTGCCAATACATTTGAACAAGGTACGTTTCATTTCTAAGTAAGTACTAAATAAATTAATGTCGTTTTTATGGTCAAAATGAATGTAAATGTGTGCATGACTAAAAATGCAATCTAATTTTAACACTGTAACAGAACACGCTGCTTATTGTAGCGTTTGTGATAAAATGAACCAGTTTTGACAATGGAAATCAATGTTAAAAGGATGATTTTTCGTGATTAAATTACATACAGTATTGTGACTAAATTGTATATTATAGAAGTGGAAGTGATAGTTTTGTGACGAGTCTGTAGCTTTTGAGGACTAACCAAGTGAGGTCCGTAGTAAACAGACGTGTCAAGCAGAGGAAATAAATGTACCTTCCTTTAAATCCGTGAAACTTAAGGTTTAAAGTCAACCCCTATTTTCTGAACCTTGTGTGCAAAAATTCCAAAAAAAATATATGTTTTATGGTTATTGATATACTTTAATCCATAATTTTTTTTAACAAATTTACCTCGCCATTTTTGAGATATCGCAAAAACTGAAAAAAAAAGTGGTTTTTCACCATTTATTTCAAAATGAATAGATGAAGTTTCCCGTTATTCTTATTACGAACTCTACTATTGCAATTCTACGCGACATATTATAGATATTTTATTCAAATTTTTTGAACGTGTAGTTTTCTCGCTACTGCAAAAATAGTTGGAAATGCGCCTGTAGCTACACTGTTTAAAAAAAAATCCGACGGATGTACGTTCAAAATTATTTGCGTTGGTCCAAATTACATCCCTGTTTATGTAAAACAGAATAATACTTCCAATTTCTGCAAAAAAAAGAAAAAACGTTCCATGACACAATTTAACCAAATGAAGATTTCTATTTATTTTTTTTGACTATCAAGTTAGGGCACACTGTAGGGGCGACAGCAATGACATCTCGCGTTGCTGTAATAAACTATAGGCCTGACTTTAAATCTTAAACTTGGAAAAATTGGTAGGAAAATATCAGCTTTTCTGACGATTAACGGGAAATAGTACATTGTGTATTTAGGTGAAAAAGAGACACATTCTCGGCCGACGGTGTAAGTTGACGAGCGAGGCGTAGCCGAGGCTGGCAAATACCGGAGGCCGAGAATGTGATTTTCCACCCAACCCAAACTAACCTAAACTAACCCAAACTAACTCGAACTAACCCGAACTAACTCAAACTAATCCATAATACTAACCCAAACTAAGTAATCTAGCTCATGGATCTTAAATCGGAAATTTCTCATTTTTTTGAACGCTATTTCTTGGTACACAATAATTCAAACCTGGCTGGCTTTCGTAAAAACTTTGTGAACTCACACTTTTTTTACAGAAAAGCCACATTTACACTTTTTTTTACGAAATTTCGTAAAAAGTTTGTGAATTCACACTTTTTTCACAGAAAAGCCAAAGGACCCTGCACAAAATCATAGGAAAGTGGCCCGCAGTGGGATTTGGCTGAAATTTACATTTGTTGTAGGTAGGTATTGAGTTTTTGATCAAATGTTCTTATTGGTACAATCCTCCAAGACCAATGATTTAATGATTGATTCCCAGATATAGTTATGTATTTAAATGCGAAAAATTGTATAATCTTAGTATTTTTCTTTTAGCACAAGTTGAATCAGGTTTTGTCCTACAGGATCGGATTTAGTAAAGCTGTATTAGCTATACTCCAAATATATAAACATAATCCAAAAAAACCGAATTAATTTATTGTGTTATACCTTTTTCATTTCTTGTCCTATTTTAATGGTTGATAGTTCGTTGGATAGATAAATGTAGCTTTCTTTTTCAGTTTCAAAAAATCGCCATTATCTTAATATCCAATATGGCGGGCTCAACCAATATACTCATATGTAGTAGGGTACATACATCTCGTAGCTTTTTAAAGAAGAAAATAACAGAGGAAAATACGAACAACAAATGTAAACATGACAACGTTTTACTCGATTGAAATAGGTCACTTTAAAAATTGTTAGGTCATGTTCCTTTAGCCATTCTGCCAGAATCATGAAACTACTGGATCACGTTTCAGTTTTTAGTTTTAGTTTTGGACAAAATAAAACGAGTTATGATTTTTTGAAAATCTATTGCCTTTTATCGCAAAAAGAAAAACAAAATTGCAATCAAAATAAAGAATTCAGTCAAAGTTGAATATGCATTTTACTATAACAAACTACAACAGACACTATACTATTTCATAATTAACAAAGTTGAAACCGATATTTCCAGGGTAGTGAAAGAGAACAAAAAAGTTAACCTTCAAAAAAGTTAAGCACACTTTAGTCCTATCATTCTGGTTATATTTCCAGAAAAATACCCGAACTAAGCTAATGAGATATCGCATCTTGCACTGGACGATTTGCGGCATTTTTAATATGTTGTAACATAGAAGTCGATGGATATTTGACATTTTGATTTTGGCGCGCAAGTCCCAAATACCACAATATGCTACAAATATGAGCACATTTTCCTAATGTCCTTGCCCCTGATTTGCAACTGCAGTAGTATCATGTTACCAATACGTCTTCTTCATTATTCTCATCAGGCTGGTTTTCATGCAAAGTGTATTGAATAAATACTTGGTATTTTTCTCTTCTTCTGAATCGAGAATATATTTTCAATCTAATAAATCCAGGCTCATTCAGTCTAAGGTCAATTTCGAATGACTCGTGATCATCTCTAAATATTCTGTCTTGAACATAAGAAGCTTATAATGTAATTTGGTAAGTTCCAAAAGTTAACTGTCTTAAGTAATCCATAGATAGAAGAAGTGGAAATTGAGGTAGATGCTCATTATTAAGTTGCTGCCATAATCCATGTCGATTGAGTAAACATTCTTTTTCCACCCGTTGTTGAACAAGATTAATAGGTCTAGACCTGCCTAGCTTAGATCTTGCTAGTTCAACTGTAGCATTTGCCATTAAAACTGGTGGATGATATCTATTAATAATAGCGCCAGCAATAAGATAAAAGTCTTTCAAGTGCTGAGCATGTTGCATATTGATAACTCTATCAAAGAATTTAAAAATTGACTTAAAATGTCCATTACGACTTTCTATTACCCATCGAGACTTTGTTACCAACCGGCTATCGTTTGCTGTTTCCGTTGAGAGCTGATTTTCTCCTGGTTGCATAAACGCTAGCATTCTGTAATTAATCCCAACTCTATTTAAAAGGGGTATTGCATCTCTATACCCTGTGTCGACGAGGAGTATGTCACCCTCCAAAAACCAGTTTCTCATACCCTGAACATCATTTTCGTATTCATTTTCCAGAATCGTGCTATCAGTATTTTGCCCATAAAGTAAACGCCCAGTACAGCGAGAATGTAGTCATCGGAAGCAACCAGTAGGGTCGGTTTTACCAAATGGCGACCTTTATGTTGAGAAAATGTCTGCCTAAGAGTCCGAAAATTGAAACTTTTGTTGATGTAGGCATAAGTAGTGTCTACTAAGCATATTGCTTTAGGATTTTCGGGTGTCGGGTTATAAAGCTCATTTGAAAATGGAGTAACGTGTCGCTCTATATACTGATGATGAGTGATTGCTTGAAATCCAATATTATCTATAAGAAATCTGATCCTCAGAGACAATCTCAATTTGCTAATTGCCAAGCTTACCGACTGTCTTGTGGTATAAACGAAAATTATCTTTAAAAATTCGTCAGATACGCCTTGTTTTAGCTTGCACAGAAATGCTAAAAGGTATTTCTTGAGTACAGATTATCTGAATCCACCTTTACCGGGAATAGGATCGCAATACCCAAACAATTCTTGAAATTGATTTTTTGAAATGGAAGTTAATAGGTATTTTAAATTCGTCATCCGCATAGGAGTTTTCATTACAAAAATCTTGGGTTTTTTTTATTTGCAACGCTACGAAGACCTTGCAGGAAGTCTTGGAGAGTTTATCCTTTCAAAAGGTATGGGCAATTTAGAGACTCTAATCCAGGCAACAAAGCATGGAGCACGAGTCTTTGTTCGTCCAAATGATGGTCGCAACATCTTACTCCCTCAGGAATATAAATATTTTGTTTAATAAATATACTAACTAAGGCTGCTAAAGATATTCTTACAAGATTTTCAAGAGCATTGCATACACAGCATTTTTGGTGGGATCTTTGTCTTATGATGTTTAATCGTATACTTGCCGAATCTTGTTCGATTAAAGCAATTTCATTTAGAATTCCTAGATTGCAATTTATACGCATCCTTGTCTCATGGCTTACCTCCAAGTTTATAGGGCCTCTTTCATTTCGTCTTGTGACAGCAATTCCACTTTTCAAAAAAAAGTGTTTTATAAAAATCAAAAAACAACTTGAAGAATAGGCTTAAACTCAACGAAATTCAATAAACAGAACACAAATTGTAAATGTGTCAAATAATAGTAGAAAAAATTTTGTGTGCTCATTTTTTTTCCAAGGCAGATTTGATTGTTATTGATATTTTTGGTTCACAGTTCACAGTGACACCTACTTTTATACTCTTATAATATAAATCACATTAAATTGAACCGTTCTAAACAAACTTCACGTTACTATTTTAACGCTTTGATCTGCCCACCATTTTACCCCGTTAAATATTTGTCCCATTTCGACAAGTGAAAAGTTGCCATATTGCATCTGTTTTTAATTTTTTATCTATTTCTTTCTTTCTTGAAAAGCTACAAGATAAGTCCTACATATGAACAAGAATATTGGCTAGAGATAATGGCCATTTTTTGTGACTGGAAAAGAAATCTACATTTATCTTCTAACAAACGAGCTATCAACCTTCAAAATATGACAAGAAATAAAAAAGTTATAACACGATACACAATCAATTTTTAATTCGGTTTTTTTCGGGTACCACTTAGCAAATACAGCTTTACTAAATACGGTCCTGTAGGACAATACATAATTCACAAAGGACTTGTGCTAAATCACAAATACTTATTAGATCATAGTTTTCAATCTCAAGTTCTCAATCGAAAGTTGACAGTCATCGGAAGAAGAACGAGGTCTCAGTTGTACTCTACCAGTCACCAGGGTTGGACGAACTTCTGGAAGTGGTCCGGGAAATTTCAGTCTAGCGGCCCATACATTGATGGATTTATGGGGCACATTCCCACATTTAGATGTAATCTAATAACAACCGTGATGAAACAATACATGTTGCATGAAAACGCAGAATGTCTAATTATTGAAGTTCATAGGCCTTAAAGATGATTGCAAGCACGGATGTATAATTTGTATTTATACAAAACATTGTTTTCAACGTGAATGTGATGAACACTTTTTTTAGAAAGTTCTAATTCATTCCCTGCATCCAACCCTGTGTCATTTACATCATCTTCATCTCCATCGTTGGATTCGGAGAGATCATACAACTCCGTCCTTTTCGAGTCAGGTCTATTATTCTCTTCCAAAATCCTTTAATTCTTCCCGCAAAATAGCCCCGTCATCATATCCTAGTAATTTACCTAGTTTATTCAAAACATAGTCTAGCACTAGTTCCGAAAAATTGTTTGGATCCAAACATTAAAACTCAGCACAAATATAGAAATATTTGTGCTGCGAATAAGATGTCTCTATTTTTGTTATTCATTGTTACATCGTATACTTGCACCTCAAATTTGAAAATAGTAGTAGCTGAAGGAGTGTCATCTGCTTACACCCCTGACATCTTCTTTTTTTCACGAGAACAAATTGCGGATAATGAGTCCTGAATTATTACCTACATCACTTTCATCTGCTTCCAGTCCTGCATTTGCCCAATTGTAAAATATTTTTAGCACTTCATACTTCTTTCGGTTGCCTTGTTCCTGAGTGCGTCATAAGTTCAATTGACCATCATATTCTTTGTGCTTTCATAATATTGAGGCCGTCCGTTTGATCTTAGACTTTGGTTTGAAGGTATCTTGATAAAGATCCTGTTTTTCTAAAGATCGGCCCATAAGCGTTTCGGCCCACCAGGAATTTCCCGGTATCCCGGTGGGTTCATCCAACCCTGCCAGTCACGTTTGAAATGTTCTCTTCTTCCGCAACGGTAACATTCGGAGCTCTTGTTCTAGTTGCCTATTGAAGGCTGAGAGTTATTAAAATGAAAGGAAGGTCATAAACGTACTCTACAATCACCCTTAAAATATCCCCTTCTTCCGCAGCGGTAACATTTAGTAAGTTCCCAGGTTAATTCTGATAACAGCCTTCCATAAGTCTCCCAGAATTTCCTTCAATTTATTGCCGTTGATCTCCTCCATTGGCTCTTTCTCTTCACAAATCAACACTCTAATCTTTGCTTTGATAATCCTATAGGCCACCTCTATTTCTAGGGCCTTGATTGGGGCTTCACTGCCATTTGATGGTTTGGCTATATGAGCAGCATTCTCTGTCTTTCCATATCTCGAATTCCTTATGGTCTAAGGCAGAATCACGCAAAACTACAATCAAACCTGTAGCCATGTCATCAGAGCTACAACCATTAGCCATTGCAACAGTCCCGAATTGACGTCTGTACATGACCCACGAAGTCTGTCCGTCGTAGGTCGTAGGGTGGTGGCTCAACTTTAATAGGTACCAGGTGCAGGCGAGGCTGAGACATTCACTGATCTTCATTCACATTCCAACTTTTCAATCTTCTTCTCAAAAGAATATTTCCAACTTCCTGAAGAAACTCGTGACGAACACTCCCAACTTCCTGACAAAGCTCTTGAAGAACACTACCAACTTCGTGACGAGCATTCCCAACTTCTTCACGTACACCTTCCCGTAGGTACCTCTTCCACTATTCTTCTATCATTTACGGTTTCCAAATAGAATTCTATATGGGTTTCTAGAACTTTTCAGAAAATCCACTTGTGAGCTCGTTTTTCGATGTCGAGTTTAGTAATAAAGTCACAATTTCACTGATTGTTCCCACTAATTAGCTCAAATTAATACACCAATTATCGTGCTAATAGTCCCAATAATTTGTTTTAGAATATCGATCCAAGTGGTAAAGTCAACACTGGATAAATGGTCGAAAAGACAACATTTGGCACGTTGGAATACGACACCCGGACAAAATCATGCAAAGGTCCTTCACTTGAGGAAGCATCAGTACAGAATGGGGATACTCAATGGACCAACTGAATGCAGACTCTATGGAGAGCAAGACGAAACAGCTTCCCACATCATATATGACTGTGTGGTCCTATCACACAAAAGATACAGACTCTTCGGAGCAATACAGATCAAGGATAGACTACCGCCTGAAAATCTTGTCCAAGGTCTATAAGGCCTGATATAGGGAAGAAAAGAACTCTAGTAGGGCAAAGAAGGAAATTGAGGAGCACAATAAGCCGACAGGTTGCAGTAGATGGAAGGCCACAGCGCCTGGATCCCCCTACAACCAACCAATCAACCAACTCACAACTAAGCTCTTATTTAGACTGACTTTCACTTAATACTACTACGCACTATTCATAGCAGACAGTGTACTCAGGATTTATCTAGAAAAACCCGGCACCCATACTTGAATAGAATTCTTCATCCGGGCTCTCAAGGCAATTTCGCAACAATATATTGTAAGGAACACATGCATAAAGTGCCTTTTTTTACTCTTGGAAATGCGGGACATGGGACTTCAGCAACCTATACCTGCTTAATGTACTTTATGCATTGGTTGTATAAATCACCATTTTTCTATCTTGTGAATATAAGGTATCTTATCATCAGTAAGGGTATGGAATAGTATTTTTCATATTTTCAATACTGCGCATGCTTAAAATAAAAAATTTTAACCCAAAAACTTTTTTTGCTAAACGAGCAATAATATTAATTTTCGATTTTAATTAAATCATAATTCTGTGTGGGACATAAATTAAAAATTGTTTTTGCCCTTATTTCTCCCTCAATTCCACCCACAGTCAGTCATTCCAACCCTCGCAAACTTCGGGGGTGATGGATGCTGGATAAAAATCGATAATGCAACTCCATCCCGACAGTTTAAAATCACGGTCGCCGGCTGGAGCCTTTCAGAGTCCTTCAGGACCTCACATAATAATTTTGTTTTCATCAAATATCATGTGGTGTTTGTGTTTTTCTTTTATCCTGGTGTTTCGAATGTTTTGAGATAGGTACTTCCAGACGGGAGTATCTGTCGGAAGGTAAGGGATAAACTATATTTGTGTTTCTGCTACAATCATTTTAACAGTTTCACTGTAAAACATAGTGACTGGTTTTAAATGTTTCATTTCTGGTAATAATGCAAAATTATTAAGTTTCCTGCATTATCAACCTAATTATTGTATAACAATTTTATCAGCTACCTTTTAATGATTGCAAAGAAACATACTTACCTACTGACAATGATAATGTAATTTGCACACATAAACGTTACGCGGGTTAATTAAAATAATTGTTATTGTTTTCGAATATTTTTGTAAATTGGTTTTAGTTATTATTGTTCACTAAAGTGTTTAGAAAAAACTTGAGCTTATTTTTCCTTTTTTTTCCAGAATCTCGTCATGAGTTTTTGACCAAAAAATTTGGGAGTAAATTTCTGGAGACATTTAATTTTTACGATGCAAGAAATTAGCAAATACATTCAAGGACTGCTTTATTTTTGGTCATGTAATTGTTCGATGTTTGGTGGTGAGCTTAGCTATTATAATCTTATTTTTATTAAGGGTTAAAATGCATTTTTTTTTAAGGCTATTTATTGTTTGTTCCTCTCATCTGGCTCCAGATACTTACTCCAAAGTTTCACAGGAAAATTCTGGATTTTGTCGTTAATTCTTGGCAATATTACATCACGGTAAGAATGCATTCTTGCTGGGTTCGTTCATAATCATAACATCTTATACCATAGAAACACATTGTAATGTCGGTTATAGTGTTAATTGAAGAAGTCAAATGTTTTATGTATAAATGTATAGAGCTTATACTAACCTGAAAATTGAATCAGGCCGAAAGCCCTAATGTTACCAAAGTTTGTTAAATTAGGGTAACTAGAAATCTATAAAACAGTAGAACATAATTCCGCAGGTAATTGAACTCAGTCATCTTCCCAAAAACACCTATAGTTTTCGACTCGCACTCAATAATAATTCTAATTTCCGATGGCCAGAACTTGACATTGACCTTACATTGTTCAGCTGTCTAGATTGTCTACGTGGTCTTGGTCTATAAAGTGTACCTGAACGAATTTTATTAGACGTGATGCGATTATTTTTAAGTGGGCGAGCTTTGCAATCACTTGCCTTTCGAATAAAGTATAGGATCTCTACAGAAAACATCGGTTTTCCCTTAGATTTTTCCTATTTTTGGTAGCTTCTAATAGTTATAGAACATCAGATAGTGCAAGATTTAGGTGCCCTATTTTCGCATACAAACTTAGAAGAGGGTATAACATATGGAAAATTCGATTTTCCTTAACAGAAATAAAATATATCTAGTACCCATATTTCCACGCAAGCCGTGTTTATAGGATTTCTTTCTAAAACCTGGCTTCAGAAAACCCAAAAGCTTGAGTGTTGCAGGTTGCAGCAGGTGGCTAAAGGGTTAAAATTAAAATGTCGTTTCCAGTGTATCTGACGTCGAAGAATTCAAAACAAAACTAACGTAAAATAATATTCTCTACAAAATTGTTCCTGATCCTCAAAATTTCAATCATATTGGATGACGCGTTCCGAAGTTATTACCTGGGAAAAACGTCGTGGGACACCCTGTATATTTTATCATAAATAAACAATTTTCTAACAATTTTTTTATTGAAAGTTTTATTTTCCAGGCTTACAGATTAGGAAAAATGCATTTATAGTTATAGCTCCGCAGTATAATAAAGTATTACCTATATTGAATAGCGCGCATTCAATTCGCTTTATGACGCTATATCTCGAAAACGGTTGATTCTTCGAAAAAAATGTATATAAGCAATCTTGTAGAGAATAGTATTTTACGTAAGTTTTGTTTTGAGTTATTCGACGTCAGAAGCACTGGAAGCAAGATTTTCGTGAAAAACCGATTTTTATGACTTTTGACCTTCGATATCTCAAAACGCACAAGCATACCTAGGCATATGAGATTTTTTTATGCTTCATAAGAACATCAAAACGAAAATCTCTGCAAAAATTCAGTTTGCTCGGACTCATTCCGCAGAGAAAGTCTAATTTCCCTGGAGTATACTACGTTAAGTTTCAATAAATTGATTTGTGCATGACATACAAATTGTTTCCTTCCTTAATAATTCAAACACATGTAAGCAGCCACCTTTCCTTAGTAATCTTACAAGGAAAAATCGAGATTTTCACCGATTTATCTACACAAGCTCATCGAAGGGATCAAAATGTACCAGGTCACTAGCTCGAAAAACATATTGACTTTGAATGGATCGACGAATGAATAAGTACGTTTTAAGTTAACATATGGAAAATTCGATACTCGTTAATTAACCTTCATTCTACTCAACATCGACAATGTAGGTACTTTTCATGCAAAAATGAGGCATATAAATCTGTTACCATGCGATGTCTAGACAATGAGAGAAATCATAATTGAGTAATTCAGAATGTGGCTGAACTCAACGAAAATAGTCTGTCTCAATCAAAATTCACATTCAATTTAAATATTACATTTTTAGACGCTTCTTTTACGTCAAAACTGTCAAGTGCAAGTAACTGGCGATCCAATAAATTCCGACGAAGTATCCTTAATAATTTCAAACCATCGTACCAGGGTAGATTGGAATTTCTTATGGCCAGTTATGTATCATGCCGTACAGGGAAAAAATCGATGGTGGTACAGTACAAAATTCGTCCTTAAAAAATCCATAAAGAACGTACCTATAGCAGGTAGCCTCAATTTCTAATTGAAAATCAATTTTGGAAAAAAGTTAAACTTTTGTAGGTTGGGTGATGCAAATGGCCATGTACATATTCATTAACCGTAATTGGGAAGAGGACAAGAAATTGCTAAACAACTACATAGATTATGTGGCGGAAATGGCTTATAAGCACATACTTATTTTATTCCCTGAAGGAACTGATTTAACACCGAAAACGAAGCAAAGCAGCGATAAGTTTGCAGACGCTAATGGCTTACCGGTATGTATTTTTATAACATCTTCATTAAAAATAGTAAAAACGTTTTTATTTAGAAATACAAGCATGTTCTTCACCCAAGATGTACCGGCTTTGTCTACCTTGTGGATGAAATGCGAAAAAATAAATGTCTGGATGCTGTTTATGATGTGACACTTATTTATCCAGACGATTGCCCTCAAACCGAAGAAGAGTTATTTGTTCAAGGAAAAATCCCGCAAAAAGTAATGGCTCATCTAGTCAGGTAATAACTTATCTTTATTAACTTTCAAGATAGATACGAACAAAATAAATGCATATGCATGGGATTGACAAATAAAATTGGAGCCCAATAATATGAGTAACGAAGCGGAAAAAGGTTTCACATCTTGGACATTATCACACTTGGGTCATTATTTCATGGGACAAAATTGATATCAAAGTCTATTGGTTTTATTGTTGGTGGTGAGTTTTTAACATTCATAATAATGATATCCATGCTCACAAAAATTTTCTCAACTCTTTTAATTCTGATGCGTTCTTAACTCTTCTATAATAATAGGGTAAATTAGAGTTTTTCATTGTTGAGATCCATTGAATAAACCTCATTGAGCTTTTCTTTTAAAATCAAAAAATATACCTACACAATCCTGCATTACCTCAGAAGTACCTACTTATTAGAAAAACTTGAAAATAGATTATTTGGTGCAAACAATTCCCAGAGAGATTCTAGGAAGATAAGATTGTAGACGTTTGATTGATATTAGTCAGCTTCAGCTAACTTCCTGAAACTATAAACTCCAAATCTTCAATCAGATATTATGTACCTACCCTACATTGATAATCTCTCTATAGAAATAATAAATATGGGCAATTCCTATTCCTGTAACTAATAGCTTCGTAATCTATCAAATGTTTGTTACCAGACAATGGAGTGCACGTGTTATGGATTTGCCTGCTTGGTATGCAAATTGTCCTGGATGAACCGGTCTCTGTTATTTAGTTTCGCGTCTAATATATTGGTCTATTGATTTGTCCATGTATTTGATGGGAGAAAGGAAGTAACGTAGAATTTTGGTTCATCTTCTGGCCACCTTTGGTGGAACGTAACCCAGAGTGAGGCTGCATTACAATATTTACCTTTAGGATATTGTAATTCTTTTGCAGCAGGGCTGGAAAAATACCGTCCTTTCCTGGGGCGTTATACGGCGTAAAGCTGTCTATCTCCTATTTTGTTATGTTTTGCGTGAGTATTCTCCCTGCAAGTCTCTGGTCTCTAACGTCGGGGCGATTAAAGTACTTTGCTATGGGGGCTGGTTCTGAGAATTTTTCACGATTGATCCTGGAAAAGTGAGTCTTCAGTAAGACCTGTCCTCTTGGCTTTTTTAGCAGACCAATGTCGATTCGTTTTTGTAAACGTTGTGCTGAGGTTAATTCATTTATCCCTTCGCAGAACTGTTTTTTTTTTTCTTTCTTAAGGCTATATTATGCTATGTTAGGGCTGTCCTGTAGTTTTCCCGTAGTTTCCAGTAGTTTTAGGCTTATTAAACGACTTTCTGGCCTTTGCTATAAGGGCGCTTAATTTCTGGTTCCACCAAGGCACGTCCCTATGGACTGCCTTTTGTTATACAGAACAGCTGTTTTCAAAGGCGTTTTTGATAGAATATATTGTGAGACCCCAATTTCAGAAACTTGGCAAGATCTTAAATTGGCGAGCGGTGACTCTAGTTTCTGAATAGAGATACAGTTTAAAATGGGTCCTATTTGCGGGTGGAGAGTAAAATACAGAAATATTGTGGTCAATTAAAATATTTTATTAAAATAAATAATGCTTGTTATAAATAACAGGCGTCGGTAATAAATAATCTTACAATAAAATTGTTAGATTTCTAATAAGCATCAATTAACTGTTAAGGAAAATTTATATGATTCCAATTAAAAAAAATTATTTACAGTTTGACTTGATTCACACTCTTGCCTTCACAATTTCTGACTGAACATAAAAACTTACATTTAACAATAATATATTTACTGCTGGCCACACCTAATTACATGGAAATCTTATTGGTCGAAGGAATTTACTTTATTTATGAAAACTTAATAATAACTCGAATATTTTCGCGCTGTTATTTCACGTCGTGCTTCTTCTCTCGGTTAATTCGACAACTCTTTCACGGCGTAGTTCTGCTCTGGGACTCTGTGCTCTATAGAATTCTACAGCTCGCTTACCATAGTAGATATCTATTTTCAAAAGCGATAGGCGGCTGAAACGGCACTCTGTGTCACTATCGACAACAGTTCGGCTACGTTCTCGGATCCTTTTATCATGCTACTAACCATTCGGAAAACGTAGTACAAATCTAGGGGAAACTCTAGGGAATTTTTATTTGGGCCGAGTTCGTTTTTGTCATCTTTTCCGTCCATCTGCTCCGAAATTTTGACAGGCACGTGATTTGTAAATTGAAACTGTCTTACCCAGTCACGTGCCTGTCAAAATTTCGGAGCAAATCGACGAAAAAGATGACAAAAACAAACTCGGCCTTGATTTTTGAGAAATGTCAATATTATTTATTGAATTGACTGTATACGTCATTAATAAGTTTGTTTTTGTTATTATTTGGTTTGCTTGTTTATACCATAACTATTTTTGCTTCCTGAAAGTTGAGTTGTTTAAGTTTAAAAATTATGCTTTGTTGCCCATTATTAATTTTAATAACAATATTGTTGAAGAAGATGAGAAGCTTGAACATATTTGTCTGGAAAATATCCAGTGATGAGTGATACCCAACCAGCAACAACAGTGACTGTTTTCAAAAAGAAGATGTTAGATTTGAAGAAATAATAGGGCAAAGCTATAATATTTATGTGGCTACAAACTATGTCAAGAGCAGAGCAATAGAGAAAGTATCAATAGCTATCAGGGTTTTCCTGTGACTCAAGACGAGAAAAATCTAATTGAAGCAGGATTTATGGAAAAAATTAATTTTCCGGGTGTGATTACTATCACACGGCCGATGGAACCCACAGTGAGTGAAATTATTAGACCACAAGAACCCTGGCTAATGACACCTAGAGAAAACACTGCTCCAGGAACTCCAGAGTTCAATTATAGCCAAAATCACATCCAAACTCGAAATTGTATCGGTGTGTTTAAACAAAGATTTGTGTGTACTTCAAAAGTGTTGAGGCATGCCCCAGAAAAAGTTGGGCGCTTTGTTATTGTTTGTGCTATTTTACATAATTGCTCGGAAGGGAGACTGAATGGTCCCCGAACCTCATATACGAAGGGATAACATTCAGGTACCGGAGGTAGCATTTGTAATGTAACATTATGCAAGCAGGAATCCAAGCAAGAAACAATTTGATTCGTCGTCATTTTATGCACTGATTTTCTAAAATGTTATAAAGATTTTAACCATAATATGTGTTTTATTCCGGGTTTTTCGCTTCTCACTCTCATGACAATGGCGATAATATTAATCTTATTAATATAATTGGAAACCGGCGTCTGCTCGAAATAAACTAATGAAAATATTAAATATTACTAAATAAATAAGAAATAGGAATGAAATGATTATTTCTCAATATAAATTCCCTAATATAAATATGGATATGGAATATCAACAACGTCAGTGTCATTCATGAAACTTCACAATGCACATGCGTCAGTAGTATTCGACACGTCTCGAGATGTAGAAATGAAATTATAAAATAAATCGCGTTTTGTCGATATTTTTGATGCACAGAGTGCCAACCATGTAGAATCTTGTCGATATAGAACTCGATGATAGAACTCTACATGACACAGAGTCCCACTCCTGACTTTCTGGACACAGGTCTCTCGATTCTCGATTACTACTTGTTTCTTGATTACTCAACCGACATTGGTCCTTCACGCAGTAGTTCTGCCGGTTTACTCGAACACTCGAACACTCTTTTCTCGAACACTGATTTTCTCCTGCCAAAGTTGCCTTTTTATATCATTGGTCCCTCCATTATCTTGAATTTCTTTATTGTTTCTGACCTCGTTTTTTGTGGTTGAATCATCCGATCAATTAGTGTATTTGGTCCCCTTTTAATTAATTATCAAGGGCGTCGCTAAGTGGTTTGTTAAGTGGGTATCATCATATAGGCTCGTGCATGATTTATTGATCCTCTTAGAAATTTTTCGGCTCCTTTAGAATGTCAATTGTTGAAAGCACTTAAAATAAAGGTCCATGAACTTTTGCTTTATTCACATTACAATGTATTAGTCAATATAGAGTATCGGCTTTCAATAATTTCTGGATATCAATGTTCAGATAATTGACGTTTATGGTTTTGCTGTCTAAGTGATGATTTCTCCTGGGATGGTTGTTTGGTAAGTCCTTGTTATTCGTGATCAATTTTCGATAGTTGGATCCTAGGTCTTTAGTTGTTTAGAATAATCAGAACCTTTAATTGTTTTCTTGGTGGTTTATTTCCGCATTAGTACAATATTGATTAGACTATGTGGGGCTGCCTCTAGTTCCTCCTCTGTCTCAATGATGTTTCGGAATTCTTCTGAGCTCATGCTGAGAGTTTTTCCATAGAAGTCCCAAGCTTTGAAATTCTCCTTTCTTCTGCTACTTGGTTTATTTAGGTTGCAGATGTTTTATTGTCTCGAGCAGCTTGAGCTGTCGCTGTCTTTCAGTCTTATGCAATGGCAATCAGAGCTGTTCCGAGTACAGGCAAAATGTACTCGGGTACAGGGTACAAGTACTTGGCTCAAAATGAACAGAGTACAATTACAAGTATTCGATATTCAAGTGCTCAGAGTACCGAGTTCATTTATGAATACATATTGTATATCGTGCATACCAAGGACATCCTTAAAATTATTCATAGACCTATCAAAATTATACCTATAAGCGCGCAACTCGACACAATGGCTTTTTATTGGCTAACTAGTACTTGGTGTCGGTTTGGCATAATGGCTATGCTGCGTTTAAACTATACGCTAGGTACCTATCTCTTGGTTCCTATTCATTGCCCGTGATCTGCCAAGGATTCAAGTACGGTTGATGTTCAACTTGACGTAGCTTGACAAGTGATTGATATTCAAGAACGCATCTTAGGTATGAAACATTCGAGAGTTTATCCTAGTTTTTATTCTAATCGGTGACTTCACCGATGAGTTCGCTGTATTTGCTCATTGAATGGAAATTGACAATGACCGACATAGAATGGTGGATCCTTGGGTAAAATTTGTTGAGAATAAAAACGAGTTTTTGATTGACAAATACGTTGCTCGTCACGCGGTCCTCCTCCTTCCCTTTTTATTTCGTGAAAATAAGAAGGACGGATTGTTATACGTAAGTCTAACATGATTTGGTACGTTTTGCCTCGTCATGCGCAATAAGCATTCTGCGTTTTCTCTCTATCTAATGAAGTTTTCGTATTATTACCTCTTTGTCTGGTAAAATAGATAGGTCTATTTATTCAGCAATTTTGAAGTTTGGTTTGGTTAGTCAAAGTCCAGAGTGTGGTCTACTCCAGAGCTTATATCCTATACCTATACCGAAGTTTTTTTTTGGCACGTAATAATTTTAAATACACGCTTTGTGAAGCAATTTACTTACCTTTTGAAAACTACTATACAGTAAGCACGTAAAGGTTGGAATAAAATCTATAAAATATACTGGGTTGATATTTTTCAAAAAAACTTGTTACAGCTAGTGGCTGTTTTTTTGATGACAATATCATGTATACAGGGTGACCCAACAACAAGTTATGGCAATGAAAACATCAATTTTTTTATCTCATTTTCAAATTCCACGTTAAATTCTGAACCTATTTTATGTATCATGTTCTATTTTCAACTGTTTCGGAAATATTGACAGTTGAAAATTGAGTTTTTTGCAACTTTGACAGGCTGTATAATCTAAAATTTTCAATCCGAAGTCCGAACTAAAGGTAGGATTTATCACCTTTCAGTTGGTAGCATATGTTGATGAACATTTTTATATGTCTTTGGGAGGTTGTGATGACAAACTGAAAAATAGCAGAGCAGGACTGAAGCATATTTTCATACCTACTTTGAATAAGATACTTTTAATAGGTACCGTTGCAACACAAATCTTACTTGGATTTGGTTTCAACGGTATATTACCCATTCAAAATGTAAAAATATGCTTCAGTCCTGCTCTGCTATTTTTCAGTTTGTCATCAAAATTCACTGTCAGAATATGAAACATGCGTAACCTCCCAAAGACATATAAAAATGTTTTTTTACTACTAACCTGAGAAATAGATATTATTCAATGTATTTTTCTAAGAAAAAATTGAATTTCTCTCCCTAGGTTAATAATGAAAATAATGAAAAAATACCTAGGTTAATAATGAAAATGACGTCATGACGCAAGGATATTGTCATGTTTCTATTGGTTCAATTTCAATTTCATACGTCAATTTGAAAAAAAAAATGCAGGTTTCTGTAGGTACATAGGAAGTTATATAAGCTGTTAATAGAGGGCAGCACTTTCAAGAGGGCGGTCACAAAAAATAATTAGAACACAGATTTTAAACACATTTTTTATTTTTTACTAGCAGTAGTAAAAAAAATTCTATATATTCCTCGGTAGAGAAAGTCATTATATACCTCAAGCATTATAAACCTCGGCGCTGCGCGCCTCGGTTTATAAAAGCTTTCGGTAATAATGACCAACTTCTCTACCTAGGTATATAATATACTATTATCAACTTATGCAGGTAATAAAAATAAAATCCGTATCATCTACCAACTGAAAGGTGATAAATCTATCTTTACCTTTGGACTTCGGATTGTGGATAGATTATACATACATACAACCTAAACGGTTAATTTTAGAATCCGATCTTAGATGCTTGTCTTAGTTTTCCGCTCACATTGTACAGAAAAGTTCCAGATTTTCATGTGCAAATCACAACGATCAACGAAACGATGCTACGCATCTGCACGCTAAACAAGGAATGCCAGAAAATTGGTCGTATCGTAACACAATGTCAGGTCTCAACTTGTCTGGAAATGTAGGTACATACATAGCAAGGTTTTTTGAGAGAGGTAGGTTGCCTGATAACTTTATGACGTCATCTGGGGTGCCTCATTATAATGCAAATCTCCATATAAGGCATCCCAGACGCGTCATCAAGTTACCCATTACCAGGCAACCTATTAATTTTAGGAACCTTGGGTACATAGGTACTTAATTTATGGCTAAATAAACATACCTATACCTACTTAGAGTGCAATAATTTTACTCAGTAACTGCAAATGTATTCGAATAGTACGAATACAATGAAAATACCCGGGTATAACATATGAATTGAAGTATAAAAGCATGTACTCGGGTATTTTAAAATTTACTCAGTACAATAAGAAGTACCGGGTATTTTTTATTTTCTTGAGCCTCTCAAATACAAGTACAAGTACACGATTCAAAAAGTATCTTGGCCTCCAAAATGTACTTAGAGTGCAAGTGAAGACTTGTAGCCGAGTACCGCACCTCTCTGATGGCAATGTTTATGTCGTGTCTACCTTGAAATCAAATAAGTCTCATCGATAAGTATAACATTTATTTTTCTTCAGATATCCAGTGCCATTGCTCCCAGATACCCAAGACGAACTGAAACAATTTCTCGAAAAACGCTGGTTAGAGAAAGAGAAAGTTATTGAAGAATTCACTAAGACAGGTCATTTTTTGCAACACGGCAAAATTCTCGAGGGCGAGTATCTCACACTACCTTGGGCGTACTTCATTCATCTTGTTTGGATGGCTGGCACAGCTGCTCTGGTATACTTGATATCCATCAGTCAGGTATTTTTTTACATGGTTATTTGTCATATGGTACTTTTATATGTGGTACCGCCTCATGTTACTGCGTATACGATAAGGAAGGCGCTGTGCAGGCTGATAAGTCGACGGAAAGTGACTGCTATTGGAAAAGATAATTAGTTTATTTTTGGTAATTTATGGCAATTATTATGAAAGCACTGTATGGTAGTCGCTGTATGTATGGTAGTCGCTGTAGCCTAATTTTCCGTAGACCCTTTAGACAGCCACACACAGTACGTCTTTTAAACAATAGATACCTGTAATTTAATTTCAAATGTTTGTTAAAACTGTATTTGGAAATAATCAGTGAAAAACTGGACATGTAATGAAATTGCTGAAGTACTTATTTATTAATTAATGCCATAACTTCTAACTTCTTTTTCAAGCTTCCAAAAAAAAATGATTAAAATTGCTGTAGGCAAGTTATACCGTTATACGTCATCTTCGCCTAGATTTGCAGATTTCCAATATTCGTTTCAGAGCTTTCGTGTAATTTCACCGTTAATTTGATACTTAAAGGCAATTGAATTAACGTAACAAGGTGTAATTTTGAAATTATTTGAGGCTCTTGTGTTTCGGTCCTGACGGTCTTTGAACAGAAATCTGGGGTGTTGAATCCTGCTAAAAGCGAATTCGATTTTAAATTGTTAGGCAATTCTTGAAATTTATGACTATTTCAACAGATCTACAGAAAATAATTAATTTTTTGAAGTGGCTCACCTAACTCTATGTAGCTCATCGAAAGCTCAATTTTATGTAAAAATTTGTATTTTTTATTCATAAGATTTTTTTTTGCCTTTACTTATTTGATTTATTTTAAAATGAATGTTTAATGTATAAAAGTTTACAAGGTACTCCAGATAATAACAATGCATTTAAGAGCATTCCTCTAAAAAATAGGAGGAATTTGCGGATTTCTGAGTCATGCTAGTGAAGCGGAATTTAGGGTTGGAAAACAAAACACAATTTCAAAAGTAAAAATGATAATGACATACCTATTAACATTTCTGCAAATAAAGTTGGCTGAAAATTAAATTTCCACAAGATCTGTTTTTTTTTTTTAATTGAAGCATTTTCATCTGGGGTATCCTGCGATTTTCCCATTTCCCAAAGTGTCTCTTTTCTTAAATGTTTTATTGAATTCATGATATTAAAATATCACTATGAAAACAGAACATTTTAACTTTTTAAATTCCAAGAAAAAAGATATTTGAAATGTTGAATATTTTTTACACAGGGTATACTATAGTTTTTATTGTCTTTAGAAATTAAAAATAATTGCTTTCAAAAAAAGACACCTACTCTAAAAATAAATGCAAGTACAAACTCATAATTTGCTGGAAAAAATATTTTTGACAAAAATAACATAAAAACTAAATAATTTAAGATTTACATTATTGTACCTAACCATTTTAGAGGGGCTTTTTTTTATTAAATAACCGTATGTATTTCACAAACTTTGAAATTTGATATTGGTAATAATTGACACAAGAAGTAGAGGTGTGTTGGCCGCATTCTCCAACCATATTTCATCAGAAGTTTTCACGACTAAAAGTCGTTCAAATATAATATAAAATAGAAATTTTCAAACAAACAGTTACAGAAGTAACAGGACAGAATTTAATATTTCATATTTGCAGAATTTTCTAAATAAGTATAGGTATGGCTATGGAAGGATTCCCTGTGGAAATAAAATAATTTCTTGGTTTAATTGGTATAATGAAAACTGCTGTATGTAAAATTATCAATGTAGGTACTAAATTCCTGAATGATCTTAAGTCAAAATTTCATGTTTATCCGGTCGTTCTTGATGTCTTTTTGCTATGTTACAGCTTATGCGACAGCTTTTTATTAATTCGAACGGATCTTATACAGGGTAAATATCTACTGAGCGTTTAAAAAAAAATGTCCCATGTATCACGCATATTTTCCTTTATCTTCCTGAAAAACGTTCCCGAATCCCAACAAATAACATTCGATTTATTTCTTCAAAGCGTAAGTTAACTGTCATTGACATATCTGAATATATTGTACAGGGTTAGCAAACAATACTAAAATACGGTTTTTGCAATTTTGCCCTAAAAACATCATATAAGGAGAGCAATGTTAGGATTCTTGGATGGACATAATATACATTGGATAACCCCAAAAAATTAGAAACAACAACTATGCTTTATTTAAATTATCTCACTCCCATTCATTAAGAATGGGAGAAAAGGATACATCTATAAGAGTTTTAAGAACAAACGGTCAACAGACGAAATTAATTAAATTAGACTCTAATCCTGAAGAATTTCAATTTCTTGTCCGTATATTTTGTTATAGTTTGCTTATCTTGTACAAATTAATTAAGTGAAAATATATAAGATAATGATAAGATAGAAGATAGGTATATGTATTATTACTATTACAAATGACATATATAATAATAAATCGTATCAAATTGCATTTATCGAATAAGTATAGAAGAATAAACTTAAATAAATAAGGCATCTTATGAAAAAAAAATATATAAAAACACTAACGAGTTTTAAATGTAGATTTAACATAATCAGAGGTAACAATTAGTAAGGCGGGCAGTTATTAAGAAACTAAAATAGACACTTGACTGTATAGACTCATATTTGAGGTTAGAGTCTATATATCGAAAAAGACGTCTAGAAATGAAAAAGAAGTGACTACAAAAGTAAAGAGAAAAATATATATTTTATGCTAGTGACAAAATGTTGTCCGCCGAAGGGAACGTTAAATAAATAAATGAACATTGAATAATAATTTCTTAGATCGTGGAGAAAATTAAAGTCAATATCCACCTTTTCTTCGAAACTCTATAATTTGAATAATAATGCAAATATCAGAGTGAATAAAAAATGTAAATGTTCGGAAAAAATCAGGCTAGAATTTGGTGTTGGAAACTGTTCTCAATTTTCAGAGGTATGCGTTACTTTGCCGCACACTATGCGGTAGAGAAACTTTACCGTAAACTTTGCAGTCTACTTCACCGCACTCTATGTGAGGCAAAGTGCTACTTTCCACTTGCAAAAAAGTGCAGTGAAGTGTACTTTCCGCACGTTTGTAGTGTAAACTTATTTAAATAATCAACTAATATAGTCACGTGAGTTATGTCAGTAATAGGCGATGAATAAACTTGCTTACTGTGCTTTTCACTTTTATATAAGTAATTTCTCGACAATGTTAAGTTAGTCAGTTGAATAAAAATTGCCAATTCTCGCAAAAATTAAGTTTTTGGGAAGACAAAATCGTCGACCAGGAATTTTACCCTTATATTATGCTGATCATGATTCTCATGTAAGTAAAGTGCAACTCTAATGTCCGATGATAATATTATTGATGATATAATCGAAAAGTTAAGTCAACTTCAATTACCTCCTTCAACTGACTCTGCTTCTAGCGAAGAAGTAATTAGATTAATAAACCAGTCTATTTCTGTACCTAATCTTAATTTACCTGAAAGTAATCTTTGTACAATGGCTAATTTTAAAGCAGCAATTTGACGGCAATCCCAATGATTTTAATAGGTACTTAGCAGTTTGTCAAAGCATTATCGATGCTTTCTACAAACCAAATGAACCTAACGATTTTCAAAACATTTAGGTACTTATTGACTTCTATTATTGGAAAATTATCGGGAAACGCTTAATTAATACTAGGTACTACTCATGTTCAAACGTGGGAAGAATTAAAAATTATCCTGAGTAAACATTTCGCTGATCAACGCGATGAAGCCTGTCTGAACAGAGATCTAGTCATGCTCAAACAACAGAGTAGCGAAAAACCTAGTGAGTTTTATGATAGAATCATGCATACCTATCTCAAATCTTTTATGTTCATATATAAATATTCATGAGAATAACGATGCCGCAGAAGCATTGAAAAGGAACCTTTATCATGAATTATCACTCAAAACATTTTCATCAGGCCTAAAAGAACCTTTGGGAACTACCATACGTTATATGCGTCCAAAAGATCTTCCTGAAGCACTACAGCAAGTTACTTCAGAATACAATACGCAATATTTCCAAAATAGTTCAAAAAATTCAAACCAAAAACCTCAGTCTTTTAATAAACCCAAATACACAAATACATTTAATTCATATAACCCAATGAATACGCAATTTTCATCAAGCCAATTCATGAGACCTTCATATCCATCTCAGCCTATATTTGTTAGGCCAGATTATAATAAGACACCTTCGAAGATTTCCCACAAACTCTCAAGTTTTCGGTTCCAAATATAGACCTACCACTAACGTCTTCAAACCGAACCCAAATCGACAACTATCAAGACCTACACCAATGTCAACAACCTCTCATAAAACGTTCAGACCAACAAATAACAATTTCCAAAATTCAGCACCCAGAAACCCTTTTCAGCCACAAAATAATCAACCAAAAAACTTTGTAGTTGAAGGGTTATACAACACGAACGCAGCTAGCAGCGATAATGATCAAGATCAATCACACAACATCGATAATATCGCCTATGCTGAACCTAACTACGAATACGTAGAGCAAGATCAAGATTTTTCATTATAATAATAAGACTAGTGAATTATCATACATTATATTTCCAGAACACAACCTGAAATTCCTAATCGACAGTGGTTCTACGAAATCATTTATTGATCCTCAATTAGCAAGTAAATTTTATCCCTCGCAGATAAAATATGATCCTTTCATAGTCTCAACCGTCTTTCAACAATTGGCACATCGATATAGTGCTGAAGTACCCGCATCAAAAATATTTAATCTTGGAAAAAATAAATGCCTGAAATTCTACTTATTTAAATTCCATATAATACATTTGACAGACTTCTCGGTTTAGAAAATATCCAAGAATTACAAGCTAACATCGACTATAATAATGGATTTCTCATAATACCCAACACAAAAATTAAATTACAGTTTCTCAAAACTCGTAAGGAAATAAATAATATAACTGTTTCAGCATGTTCTGAACAAGTTGTTAGAATTAAAACAAACATTCTACATGGTGAAATAATAATTCCCTATCAAAAACTGCACCATTGCGAAATTCCAAACTGTCTCACTGTTGCCAAGAACGGTTATGCATTAACCACTATATTAAATAATACTTGTAATCCGATAACTCTAGATGTTTCTGAGCCTTTTCAGATTGAGCAATTTGATCGTAAAGAAATTGAGATAGTAAACTTAAATAACTTTGAGGATTTTGCAAGAAATCACGAATTTGACCCGTCCTATATTCGTACAAGTCACCTAAATGAAGAAGAAAAGTGTAAAATACTAAATATTTGCAGTTAGTTCTCCGATATATTATTCTATTATGAAAACACACCTTTAAGAGTCTCAAAGAAAAAAAAATGCTGGACCAGAACATTATTCATCCCAGTATTTCTCCCTGGTCATCCCCAATTTGGGTGGTGCCAAAGAAAACCGATGCATCTGGAAAACAAAAATTCCGCGTAGTTTTCGACTACCGCAAATTAAATGAAAAAACTATAGACGACAAATATCCCTTAAAGAATATTACAGACCCACTAGATAAATTAGACAAATGCCAATATTTTACCACCCTTGATTTAACTAGTGGGTTCCACCAAATGGAAATGGATGAATGTGATATTCCTAAAACAGCTTTCAATACCGAGAATGGGCACTACGAGTTTACTCGCATGCCCTTCGGGTTGAAAAATGCCCCCGCTACGTTCCAGAGAGCCATGGACGGCATCTTGCGTGGAATACAAAATGAAAAATGTCTGGTTTATCTTGATGACATTATTGTATACTCCACTTCACTGCAGGAACATCTAGAACGCCTGAAGATTGTTTCCCAAAGAATCCGAGACTCCAATTTCAAAATTCAACTCGACAAATGCGAATTCTTGAGACACGAAGTCGCCTATTTAGAACACGTAGTGATTCCCGAGGGTGTTAAACGTAATCCAGAAAAAATCATAGCCATCAAAAACTACCTATCAATACCTTCGGCAAATAAAGGGCTTCCTAGGGCTACTAGGTTATTATAGGCGTCTCATTAACAACTTCGCAAAAATCACCAAACCCCTAACAAAATGCCTGAAGAAAGGAGCAAAAATAATTCATAACAGCGAATTTATTGATTGTTTCGAAAAGTGTAAAAACCTGTTGGTGAACGAGCCAATCCTCCAATACCCCGATATTGACAAAATCTTCAGCTTGACATTTGATGCCAGTGACGTAGCTTTGGGCGTCGTCCTATCCCAAGGGCCAATAGGTCAAGACCTTCCAGTTGCGTACGCATCACGAACATTAAACGGCTCAGAACAAAATTATTCTACCATAGAGAAAGAATGCCTTTGCATCGTGTGGGCCAGCAAATATTTTAGGCCCTACCTCTTTGGTCAGAAATTCAACAGTATTATGGATCATAAACCTCTCGAATGTCTCTCAAATATGAAAGATACAAGTTCGAAACTGATTCGTTGGAGATACAAGTTATCAAAATTCAATTACAAAATCATTTACAAAAAAGGCAAATTGAATACTAATACTGAAGCCTTAAGTCGCATCGAGTTACATGCAAAAGAAACCGACGGCTTTTCAAATTTACTATCCTATATAAATGATTATAATAGAAAATTGGGAGAAGAAAACCAGAACATCAATGATGGTCAAGAAATGGATCAGATGTCTACCGTAGTACACCCAGACCCTGAACTAGAACAAGGACCTTCCACGAGAGCAGAAGATGAAATAATGACCATGATCCAATAGTGGGCGTGCCAATTTTAGAATCAGCGGTTAACTATGGCGCGAACCAAATAATAACAAAAGTATTCCATTCTCCAGCAAAGACGAAGCGAATAATATTATTTGAAAAAAAAGAAAATTTTTAGTCCAGCACTCTGAAAATAACTTCGAAAACTAGGTACATTTTAGATTTTATGAGAGAATATGTAGCGCCCGGAAAATTATATTCGTTATACTTCGAAAATCCCGAAATGTATGAACCATTCTGTGAAGTAAATAGGAAAAATTTCAAATGGCCTTCTCTCAGACTTAAAAGATGCCTAATCAAACTACTTGATGTAGTGGAAAAACAAGATATTCCGGAAATAATCAAAAATTATCACGAATAAAGTAAGACGAATCACAGAGGAATATATGAAACAGAACAACGAATTAAGAGTAAATACTACTGGCCAAATATAAAGCAATTAATACAAACCTATATCAACGAATGCGAAATATGCCAACGTAGTACCTAAATATGGGCGTCACCCTGTTAATATGGAAATTAATATCGCTCCTACTGCAACTAAACCATTCGACATCGTGCATTGTTACACTTTAGATAAAGTGAAATTCTTAACCATCATTGACAGCTTCTCTAAATATACCCAAGCATATCCTCTCACAGCATTAAACGCAACTGAAATCGCAGACAATCTAATCACATTTTTCTCTCATCGTGGTATCCCCTCCAAAATCATAATCGACAGTGGAACTGAATTCAAAAACACAGTCATCACCGAGCTAATGCAAATCCATAAAATAAAAATCCATTTTTGTTTCCCAAATCACCCACAGTCCAACGGTGTAATAGAGAGAGTTCATTCCACCTTATCGGAGCATGTCAGATTATTGAATAATCAAGGATTCCAAAATACTCCAATCACCCAAAAAATGAAATACGCAATTTTGGAGTACAATCATTCCATTCATTCTGTTACAAAATTCGAACCCTTGGACGTAATTAGTGACCATATCAGTAACGAACTTAGACCAACTACTCTTTTCAGATTACGTTGCGGGACAGAAAGACAAAACTAAACTTTTGTATTCCAGAATCAATGAACAACTAATAAATACCAAAGAAAATAATTGGAAAAATGAACGAAACCCGTGACAAGCCTTCATTATTTGCTCCAGATCAAAAAATCTACATCCGAAAATATACACGACACAAAACTTGGTGATAAATACACACCTCCGACAGAAATTGAGACTATGGATCCTATACGCAAAACAGTGACAACAACAACTCAAGGGAAAATTCACATGGACAATATTAAACGTCCATTCGATAGAAATAAGTATAGTTATGATACTGATACTTTAGTAAAGCTAGCGCAAATCATAAACCATAATTTTTATGCATTAGGTAGTTTTTATTAAGTAATTTTAACTATCCTCTATCACCGCTTTAAAATAAATTAACTAGTAAGCATTTATCATGTATATTATATCATTTCAGCGTTTTCAGCCAGGCGCTCGGAGACCAAGAACATGTCGCTATCCGAGAACAAACTGATAACCCAGGCATAATTCCGGTTAAACTAGGGATCGCAAAAATGCAAGATTATTCATACACTTTAATACACCATTACGATTTAAATCCAATAATTACAGAAATTAACAAGGATTGAAAAGAGGCCTAATAAATGGTTTAGGCTCTATGTTCAAAGCTGTCACAGGAAATCTTGACGCTTCCGACGGAGTTCACTATGAAAATCCTATAGCTGAATTGCAAGCAAATCAAAAGAATTTACAAGATAATGTTTTGAAACAAAGTTCTCTATCTTTAACTGTCATCGAAAGATTTAATTCGACCTTAAACCAAATCAATCATAATGAGAATCTTTTAGAATCCAAAATTCAACAAATATCTGCCTTTGTACAAAAATCTGCTTACAGGAGGACATTTTTATTCTGTACCAATCAATTCGCAGAGTCGGTTTAAGAAACTTCTGCCAAAGAATAAATATTTAGTGAAAAATACTTTGCACTTTGCATACTCTCCACAAACATGCCTTGAGGTCCTCCCTGAGTCCTTCGTTTGCCCTAAAAGGACCTGCAAGAAGTCAAAAAAACCAGCCCGTGCGAGATACAACTCCTGAACTCTGACACACACCCCTCAGTTTGCAAGCAAACCGTAGTTAGCGTTCCAGAAGCGATAATTAATCGTCTAGACACTACCAATCAGTGGATACTGATATTTCCAATTAAGGAAACTATCGAAATTCAGTGTTTTGGCCAAGAAGAAGTCCAAAACGTCATAGGGACATACATTTGCCAAATTCCTATGGGATACAGAGTCAGCAAAAACTCAAAACTGGTTATCAATGAACAAAAGCTAATCAGTCCAAATCGGCATCCCATGTTGTTCCCCGATTTTCCAGAAATGTCAACAACACTACCACTTTTGAATTTAAGTCGTCACCTTCACAATTTGAAGCTGGACGACCTCCATCAGTTAAGATATGAAATCTGCGAAATTCAGCCTCATCTTAACTTCAACCAAATTACTTGAAGTCCAAGTATCTAGACCCTGCTTTTTTAAGTCGGAAATATATGTTAACCCGGTCTACGACGTGTTAACTCGTGTCACAAATCCGTCGTATCTGCGATGAGTGCGATGTCATTCATGTGTAGTATGATGCATGATGCATAAAAAAATCAATATTTAAAACTCGTTAAATTTTAAACTTTAAAATGTACTATATTATTCAATATAGTTCGAAAAACTTATAATGATCAGTCACACTTTAGAAAAAATATGCAGCAGAAGTACCCTTTTGTACATTATGCTACGGACGTTGCATATTTAGTTGATAAGGACCATGAATGATAATAAAATTATTGTTACTAAAACTTTTTCAGTTAAATTTTTGATAATAATTTTTTTTGAAAATTCCAGGAAGACCTAAAAAAGGGTCGTTCTTTAGATAAAACGAAACCAAAGATCCAAGTAATTTTAGGCAGCAAGAAGCAGCAGCGAAATACGTCACGGATATATCCTTCTGTATATATGATATGGATGTGACGTATTATAGTTTTTAGTGTGATAGGGGATATTAAAAAAAAAACATCAGTGGCATGAGTAAAGTCAAAAAAAGGGAATTCCATGTACCCAAGCTAAAATTCAAAGCTCAACAACCACCGACACTGGGTAAAAATTTATGATAAGTTTTCTTTTTTTATTTGCCTTTTAGTTTAATAGTTTTTGGAAGGCTTTGCCGTCTTTCGCCATCATGATAAAGCGCCACCTTGTATCTAATTTTAGTGATGTAAATATACTTATTAAGTTTAAGAATAATAAGGAATAAGTTGATTATCTAGACAGATAATTCTTAAATAAGTTTTAATCTTATAGGTATATATCTAGGTAGTATAGTATGTAATGACAATACTTTGACTTTTCATATCTTATAATGTGTAAAAATGAAAATTTCAATATAAGTAATTTTTCTTTCTCAATAATCATGATCCAATTATGATAAAATTAAAAGTATAATTCTCAAGCAATAATTCTTAAAAATGGTCATGAAATAGTTTCTTAAACTTGAATAATTTCCCAAGTTTTTCAAAAAGTTTGAAAGCTTCATAAAAAAATATATCATTTTCATCTGGACAACTGCGAATAAGTTCTATTTCGACATTTATAGCTCTAGTGTTATTTCACCCTCATTTTATCAGTTATTTATTTCAAAAAAGCATTATCGTTGTTTGAGAATCAATTGTGATGATTATATTTCATCAGATGTTGTTAATCAATTTGGCCCCCCAGAAACCTTATGAGAACTGTCCCTCAGTCGAATCTCGTGAAATTTTGTATATTGTTAGTTCTTGACCTATAGATTAAAAGTGTACATGGGCACAAAGTTCTAAAAATTCGCCTTTTTGAGTTACAGTCGTTTGAAGTTGCGTCATATGTGAAATTGCTCAAACCTTATACAGTCTAGTTTTTTCTGTTACTTCGTGAATTTTAGAACATCATAGTATCATTGTAGTATAATACGTTTTAAATTATACGATTCCAGAAATGGCCACTTTTAAACCATAGGCGTCTTAAGAGGGGTTAAAAATAATTATAAAATAATAGTTATTTATACACCAAGTGAGTTAAATGAATGTTTACCCATGAGAAGAAAGTTTAATTTACGAGCCCTAGCGAGGGGGTTAATTATTTTCGAATGGTGCATACAATGCTTTATTTTCTACTGAATATAATGTTCTTTCATCAATTTAACATGTACCTTTACTACCTGTACTCACCTCATGATTTACCCATAATTATTTTTAAACCCCTTTTAGAACATCTATGGTTTAAAAGTCGCCATTTCTGGAATCGAATAATTTGGAACGTATTATATTAAGCATATGTCGTTCTAAAATTCACGTAGTAACCGAAAAAACTAGACTGTATAAGTATAAAATTTGAGCAATTTCACATATGATGCAAGATGCAACTTCAAACGACTGTAACTCAAAAAAGCGAATTTTTAGAACTTTGTGCCCATAGGCCAAGAACTAACAATATACAAAATTTCACGAGATTCCATTGAGGGCCAGTTCTCATAAGGTTTCTGCGGGGTCCTTTGTCTCGTAAGTTGTTTTAGTGCACACTCTGCGTGGTGTCCAATATACATAGCAAATAAATTATAATTTGAAAATTTATAAAGACAAACGGTCTGTTAAAAATCCAAAGGCTCGGAAATACCTTTAGTTATGTTATAAATAACTATTCGTCTATACTATAATATAAATAATATTAAGATAATATAATAATTTAAGTTAATTTCAAAGTTATGTTTAGCATTATCCAGAGAGGCGTTAAAAAGTCTTTCAATGGCCTAAAGGCGATGATAAAGTGTCGCAAAGGTAAGTTGGTGGACATGTTATTACAATATGTCGCAAACGATATATTTGAAATAATTTGTATATAAAGATATATCGATGCGGCATAAAATAGAATAGATTTTATTAATGTACCTAAAATATAGTTCTAACAATTGTCAGTGTAATGTCTACTATATTTTAAGAGCAACTATTTGAGAAAAGTGTCCCAAATAGAATTTAAAAAAATATGTGTATATTCCACGAATTTATTCTACCTTTGTATAAAGATTTTTAATGTGAAAGTGGAATATTTTGTGTACCTCAAAAATCATGGATCATCAATTTTACTTTTTCAAAATTAACAAAAATACAATAAAAGTCCGTCATAACTCGTCATCCGACAACGTCTTATTATTAGGTACAGACCAGGCTGAAAATGTGTCACAAATATATCGAAAATTTTGTAAATATGCGCGATATAACTGTGGCATAAAGTAGAGTAGATTTCGGTGTTTTTAGGGTAACTCGAATAAGATGATGACTGCTTTGTTTTGAAATTAGAGCTACCAATAATATGCAAACAACTTTATTGGCTTTGTGAAAAAAGTTTTGTTTTCGTTCATATAAAAATTTAATTTAAATATCTATGTATCCTTAAAAATTAAAAACGCTTCAATAAATTGAAAATGTAATAACAATACAATTCAAAATTTGGGACTGAAGGCGAGTTTAAACAACTTCATAACTTTAATTTATGCACGAACGGGCGTAAAAGTGCACTTTTACGCCCACATTTTAGAGCGTGAAGTAGTACTTTTGCGCCCTAGGGCGCCTTTTATGCCCGCGGGCCTGAAAGTTCTAAAATTTCAAAAATAAGCAAGAATTCGACTCAATTTTTTAAACCTTTTGCATTTCTATTGCTTAGTCAAAAAAATATCAACTTTGTTCAACAAAACAAGCTTTACTTATTTCAATTAATAAGAATAATGGAATACTTAAGCAATTATAATAAAATTCAATCTACTTTCAAATTAAAATTGCTTTCAACGTTGAGTAATATCTCCAAAGGGTGGATGGCTTATTTTTTATTGCATTTTTCATTAATGTTTATGCCAGGACAGTTTCTTCTACAAAGTACTGCTGCTCATTGATAACATGTTGGGCACACCAGGAAATAAAGTCCCTATATGTTTTTTCATAGTCTTTTGGACTTTGAAGGTAATAGATCTTCCTTGGCCTCTTCAACTGCTTCAAGAATAAACTTGTGGAGGCTATTTTGCTCCATTTTCAGACGCCAGACAACACATCATAAGAAAATTATACACTTACAATACACAGAGTAAAATAATTATTTGTTTGTATTGTTCTGGGTTGCTATAATAGTTACGAGATACTTTTGTCAACAACTGCTTTCTTGATCTAAATTTGACAAAAACCTATGACTTATTATGCGGTGAACATGAAAATTTATTTTTTGAAATATTTTTGATTGATGTCATTACAAAATTAAAAATATATAATTTTTCAAATATCAAAATGAAAACATGCTCATCGTGCATAAAATCTTGTATGCACCTCGGTCAAAAAGAGCTTTAACGCCCTCAGCGTGTAAACAGCCCTCGGCTAACGCCTCAGGCTGTTACACACGCTGCGGGCGTTAAAGCTGTACTTTTTGACCTAGGTGCATAAATAACTATTAGTGCGTAATTCACAATTTAGTGCATAAACTTTAAAGTTAAATTTATTATTTTCTATGGAAGCGTTTATACATCTATTTAATTAATGCTCAATTCATAATTTAGTTCATAATGGATAACCTTAAAAGTTCCTAACTTTTAACTTTTATGCATTAAATTATGAAAAAAACTGGACCTTTCGAGTTCTGTCCGTGTCAAATTTCAAAATATCAATAGAATATTAGTAAAATTTCAAAAATTATGTATTAAATTATAGAGTTGTTTAAACTGGGGTTTTGAGTTATGTATTAAATTAGCATTAAATTATGAAAAAATTACGACTTAAATTTATCAAAAGTTGTTTAAATCCGCCTTGGATTAAACGAAATAACACTGAATACCTATTTTTCTGTAAAATTCTAATATTAAAATGACATCTTTCACATGTAGGCCAAGCAATGAAGGAAGTTTATCTCAACATAATTAGAAGTTAACATTTTTGGGGGGAGATCGGTCCATTTTCATGTGCTAAATAACATATTAAGTTTTCGACCTTGTACTTCCATAGGGTTTTTAGTTAAGGGTGGTTTTTAGCGGTAATTTGCGGTTTATGGAGAACGCTGCTGAAAACTTTTTGCTATTGGACCATCCCTTTGGTCCAATAGCAAAAAGTTTCAGACGATTGTGGTAGTTGAAGTTTTTTGCTATAAAAAACTCGGCGACAGCACCCCTTTATCTTCTATAGTTTTTTTTTCTGCAGCGTCTTGAATTGTAGCATGTTTTTGTTCAAGGTCACTGAATCAACATTTCGCCTGTTTGCGTGTATTTGATGCAGCAGCGGCCGAATGCATAATCCGATTTCAATTTTTCAAACACCACAATATTGCTAATGGAATGCACTCTCCAATGCTCTTTTGTTCGAATTTTTTGCTTGAAAATTAAGCGAGCACGGACTTGCCTAATGTGCGAGGAAGTTGTAAATTGCATCGAAAACTAACCCTTTCTTGCATTCACTGTAATTTTTAAACGGGGCCAAATATTTGGTGACAGTTTTCGACAATCGGCTGCCCATTTATTCCTCTCATAATGCCCCAGCGGATTTTTTTTTCGGTAATTACTCAATGATTTATTGGCCTGAACACGACACGTGGAATTTTTCAAAACGTCAAAAAAAATTAAAATTGTCGCACAGCGCTGAAATTTGGTACGATGGCTTTATTTATTGTTCTCATAAATATACTGCAATTCTAATTGTTGCAGCAGTCTTGTGAAGCAATTAAAATTGCAATATATTCATGAATTTGAATTTAGAAATTACAGCGAATACAAGAGAGGGGTAGTTTTCGATGCAATTTACAACTTCCTCGCACATTAGGCAAGTCCGTGCTCGCTTAATTTTCAAGCAAAAAATTCGAACAAAAAAGCATTGGAGTGTGCATTTCATTAGCAATAATGTGGTGTTTGAAAAATTGAAATCGGACTATGCATTCGGCCGCTGCTGCATCAAATGCGCGCAAACAGGTGAAACGTTCATTCAGTGACCTTGAACAAAAACATGGTACTATTCAAGACGCTGCAGAAAAAAAAAAACTATAGAAGATAGAGGGGTGCTGTCGCGGACTTTTATATAGCAGAAAACTTCAGCTACAACAATCATTTGAAACTTGTTGTTATTGGATATTGGACCATCCTTTTGAGCAGCGTTCTCCCATAAACCGCAAATTAACCCTAAAAACCACCCCTAACTGAAAACCCTATGGAAGTACAAGGTCGCAAACTAAAATGGACCGATCCCCCCAAAAAAATGTTAACTGCTAATTATGCTGAGGTAAACCCTCTTTTCAGATTCCCGTTTCTTGGACTATACTTGTATCTTCACAATATAAAAAAATCGTTACTGCAAACCAGTCCTTTTATAGCTTTATAATAATGTACCTACCTACGATATAATAATCAATTATATAATATAAAAAAGCCTAATAATAGTTATTTATGATATAAGTGCTAAAAGTGACATTTTATTTTGTGAAAAGGGAAGTTTGGGACACGACGCCGAAGGCGGAGTGTTCCATCCCTTTGAACAAAATAAAATCACTTTTAGCATGAATATCATACACTATTTTTTCTACAAACGCACTAAAAGTGATTACTTTTAGCACTAGTGCTAAAAGTAATCACTTTTAACACCAGTGTCATAAAATGGCATTTTAGACATTGACAGCATCCGTTAAAAATTACACTTTTAGTGACGTTTGTAGAAAAATGCTTTTTTCTTCAAACGTCAAAAAAACGTCACTTTGTTAACCCCGGTCAAGATGTCAGAAATTTGATTTCTATGCTGCTAGGCAAATCCAGCGGGTTAACACCTGTCGAGGTGGTAGAAATTTAATTTCTATGCTGCTAGGCAACCGCAGCGGCAGTAGAAGTACTTTTAGTGCCGCTGGAGCGGCAGCAAAAGTACTTTTAGTGCCGCTCGTACTTTTACTGCCGCTTAACCATCCACTTGTCCCCGACCTTACCCCATTCGTTTGGAGAAAAAATAGCGTGTTGCATACGGAGTAGAAGCACTTTTTTGGTTGTAAAGCTTCTACTCCTAATATAACAATATACTATTTACTTAGGTAATTGATTTGCAAATTTTTCAAAGGGAAGTACATAATATCTTTCCTAAATTCTAAGACATAACTAACAGATAAATGCGTTACGGATGTATTTCAATTTGTACATAATATGATATTAAGGTGACGCATATACTAGATTAGTCTATGTTAGTTTTAGGAAATATTTTATGCTTACATAATATTTGATTTTCGTATTTGTATATGTATATTGTTCAATTTTTAATTCGTTATTATGTCGATTTCAAACTGAGAATGTAGGTTGGGTTAGGTTAGGTCGGAAATGAATTGGCCTATTCCAACAATCCACTGCGACTCATTGGTCTATCAATTGAGGCTCATGCCTATTCATATTTCTCCAATCATGCCTATTTTCCCAATGAAGTCCAGGATAGTAATTAGAGAGATGTTGTTCAGGTCTCCCAGTGGAACCGTTGCCCTACCTAAGATACCTTGTTAGACATTTGCAGATCTCTATCCGTTACAGAGTCCCAGCCCAGGCCTGTCTTTGTAGTCCGTTGAGCTTGGTTTAGGCAGTGCGCTGTTGCCCCTTTTCCTACCAGACTACTGAACCATATGTTATCATTGGTCTGATGACCATGATATATAGGTAACCAGTATATTTGCGTAGGCCCATTCCCCATGATTTGTCATAGATCCTGCGGCAGGTTCATAGTAAGTAGCTATCTGTCTGTTTTATTTTTGCCAGATGAAAGTTCCAAATACGCTTTTATCTAGAGTAACTCCTAGATATTTGACTTCGTTTGCAAAGGGTACCACCACCCCTCGTAGGTTGAGGAGTATCAGATGGTCAAGCTTCCTTTTCCTTTTTTTTTGAGGATTTATTGTTATATCGTCAATCTCGCACCATGCAAGTATTGTTGCAGGTTGTCCACCAAGAGAGACCACAGAAGAGGAGAGAAAAACCCTCCCTGCAGGCAGTCCTAGTGTTTCACAAGACAAGATTTCTTGTCTTGCTGGGCCTATTCTTGTCTTGTCTTGCAAAGCAAGACAAGAAATGAAATTCATTCTTGTCTTGCCCGACTCTTGCAGAAAAAAATCTTGTCTTGCAAACAAGATTTCTTGCAATTTCTTGTTCTTGCATTATTTGTTTTGTGACGTCATAGCCAGAGTCTTGCTTGCAAGAGTCTTGTTGCAAGATTCTTGCTGCAAGACTCTTGCTTCATTCATTACGTTCAAAAGCGCGTCGGAGGCGTGTGTGATAGAAAAACACGACGGTTTTCTTCCACACACTTCGGTTATGAAACCGTGTTTCATCATAGTCTGTGGGGCCCTTAAGAATATGATTGGTGTCATTGTCATTGATAACGTGGTTGTCCTGTTTCCTGGTTTAAAGTCTTTTTTTTTTCGAGGAAACAGTTTCAAAAACACTTTTAAAACAGTTTCAGCTCTAACGTCACTATTTTATGCACTACAATGCTAACAGACCTTAAAAAAAATTCAACTTGATTCTTTGATGGTTGAAAACGGAAAGGCCTTCATATTGAGCTTAAAATTCAATATTGTGTGTGCAGTGTCGTCCATCATGACCAAAAATTTTCCTAGCCATACTTGCTGCAAGAACTGTTAGAAACTGACATCTGTTTGAGTGTTTCAAAACTACAATTTCAAAACGTTTTGTCGCAAAAAAATGCCTTAAACTTTACAAACTGATATGCTGACATTTTTATCTCGTTGTTAAATGCTGCAACGTTGCCAAAATAATTCAAAAATATGCAGAGAAGGAGGCTTCATTCTTTTGCAAGATTTCTTGCAAGATTGCAAGAGTCTTGCAGAATAATTTCTTGTCTTGCTTGGCAACTTCTTGTCTTGTCTTGCTTTGCAAGACAAGAAATTTAAGAGAGTCTTGTCTTGTTCTTGCAGCAAGAACAAGACAAGAACAAGAAATTTGCAAGAATCTTGTGAAACACTAGGCAGTCCTATGCTGTACTATTTTCCCCTTGTTTAATAACTGTCCTCATGCATCTTGCAAATCAAGTCACAAAAAAGAGGCTCAATTCTTCTGGAAATAGCTGATTCATAGTGTTGTTGAAGGCTCTCTCTATGTCGATTAACGCTGCTAGCGCAATCTTCTTATTGTCAAGGGACTATGGCTTATTTCTGCGACCAATCTCTAAAGAGCAAGTTCCGTTGATTTGCCACTCTGGTGGGCGTACTTATGAACACTCAATGGGTTGTGCACTAATGGTCCTTCCCTGATATGTGTGTCCAGCACTTTCTCAAGACTTTTCAGAAGGAACGATGTAAGACTCATTGGTGTGAACGGTTTAGGTTGATAGTCGATTCTAAACCTGTCTTGGGTATATACAGGGTGAGTCCGAAATGAGTGCGCATTTTTGTTATAGATAGAGTAGGTACAATAGGATAATCATTTTTTGCATGTTTACATGTGTCCGCAAACGTCTTGTTGAGAAAATACAGAGTGTTGAAATTTTCGCAAAATTTTGACTTTTTGCCTTTAAATTCAGAATGCCTTGAGCGATTTTGTTCAAATTTTCAGAGAGTGTTTGCGATGTTCTCAAGCATCTTCCTAAAAAATCCGTATGAGTTCCACTTTCCCAGGACCGGACCTAGAGCGACTCTTATTTTTTTGAAAGAAAAAATTGGCACGCCGCTGGGTTTTTTAACAAATTAAAAATTATTTTTTGATTCTTTGTTTAATTTTAAATAAAAAGGTACCCCGAGTTTTTGTTGTTCGATGCGACGTTTACGAGATAAAAAAAAAATATTAATGTATTGTTTGGAAAATCTCGTTGTTCGATACACTCCACTCTGTTAAAAAAAATAATAGTCGCTCTAGGTCCGGTCCTGGAAAAGTGGAACACAAACTGATTTTTTAGAAAGATGCTTGAGAACATCGCAAACACTCTCTGATAATTTGAACCAAATCGCTCAAGGCATTTTGAATCTAAAGGCAAAAAGTCAAAATGTTTCGAAAATTTCAACACTGTATTTTCTAAACAAGACGTTTGCCGACACATGTACCAATGCAAAGAGTGATTGTCCTACTGTATTCTATCTATTATAACAAAATGCGCACTTATTTCAGACTCATCCTGAATACTAGCTACATTCCACCTATACTAGCCTTGTCCTTGACCAGCTAGTTTGTATTTGACACCAAGCTATAAGGCTTGATCTGAATATCCTAATTTATAAAGGAAGGATATCCAGTCCGTTTTGGAGTACTTAGGCAGAGCCGGAAATATACCATCCACTGGGACTCTAACACACGACATATTAATATTAAACTCTCAGTTTATTATTTCTTATGTCATATTTTGTTATCCAAATTTATTCTCCTATTTTTATTTGTAACGATAAAAATTCGGAAGTTTAAATTTAAACATTGTCTAGAATCTATGTTTCTCATTTTGTACATTGTTTTCATTTCAAATAATTGAAAGTAGGACTTAATCATATAACTATATTGTATATACAATAAAAAACTATGTACAGGGTCTTTCCCCATATATTGACTACAGGGGTTATATGAAGACATCAAAAATTTAGTTTTTTTAGAAATTTTAACTTTTGATAAATGGTCAGTTTTTTCTTATGGAATCTATGACTTCATAGCTGAAAAGAGTCGAATTTTCTGATTTCAAATATATACAGTTTCAGTACCTTCAATTAGGCCGTTTTGAAAATTTCAGGGTTTGGATTCCGAACCCACAATTTGATAGTATTGTCCATATAAAGTAGATAGACGATACTATCGAATCGTGGGTTCGGAATCCGGGTCCAGACTCTAAACTTTAAGAAAATAATACATCGAAACACCTTGGTAGGCGGTGCATTGTTGATATAACACAGGTCTTTCTGAGGGTCTTTCAATGTAGATATGATTTTCTCGAAGTTTAGAGCCTGATATTTCCAAAACGGCTTAAATGGAAGTAGTTAATCTATATAAATTTGATAACATAAAATTCGACTCTTCTCAGCTATGAAGTCATACAGTATTCCCCATAATGTTTGCTACATATGGGGAAATTTTTTATCTGTAGGATATGGAATTTTTGCTTATGTGCGATCGATCCTGCATGTCCGATAATCCAAAAGTACATTTTGACATTGGTCACGTGATCACTGTTGTGGTGGCAAATTTGAAAATTTAGATATGGAAACGCGAAAAGTGGGGTTAGATGGCCAAATTTCAGAAAAAAACTATTTGAATAAAGTGATTAGAACGATGCTTTAGGGTTGTCTGCGAAATTTGGAGGAAAAACAACAAAAAACAGGAAATTACTTGTTTTTCGCCATAGATGTCTTATCAACTAATATTATACAGTTTTCATTATTGAAATAGTCCAAGTACCTCAATATTTGATGTATATTGGTGAAACAAACTTAAATTCTTCATTGGAATCATTCCTAGAGAATTAAATTAAAATTATTGATTAGCACATAAAACTTTTCTGTAGCAATACCCTGTGTCTGGACAGTTAAGTATAAGGTGTTTTAGAACTGTATTGAAATATTTAATAGAAAATCTCAATAAGTTGTATCAACATTAAGCTAATGGAAATCTCAGAAACTGTCAAGATACAGGGTATTGCTGCAGAAAAGTTTCATGTGCTAGTCGAATATTTTTGTTTAATCCTCTAGGAATCATTCCAATGAAGAATTTAAGTTTGTTTAACCAATACACATTAAATATTCAGGTACTTGGACTATTTCAATAATAAAAATTGTACAATAATATTTGATAAGAGATCCATCGCTAAAAACAAGTATTTTCCTGTTTTTAGTTATTTTTCCTCCAAATTTCGCAGACAGCCCTAAAACATCGTTCTAATCTTTTTTTCCAAATAACTTTTTCCGAAATTTTGCCATCTAGCCCAACTTTTCGCGTTTCCATATCTACATTTTCGAATTTGCCGCCACAGCGGTGATCACGTGACTAATGTCAAAATGTACTTTTAGGTTATCGGACATGCAGGATCGATCGCACATAAGAAAAAAGTCCATGTCCTACAAATAAAAAATTTCCTCATATGTAACGAAAATTATAAGGGACACTGTATATAGGCTGTTCCATAAAAATAACTGACCATCTGTCAAAATGTGACATTTCTTAAAAAAAAAAAAAAAGTTTTTGTCATCGGATTCGAAAATTTCAAATAAAACCCGATAACTTTTGTATTCACAATTTTTTGATATATCCTTACGTATTCCCTGTAGGGTGTGGGATCAATATATGGAGCGAGGCCCTGTACAGAATTTGTTCCTTATAATTGGTGCGGTTCCTACAACTTCAACAAGAAAACATTTAAAAAAAAGTTGAATACAAAAGTTTTGGAATTTCATATCTATTATCACAGACCTATTATCTTTTACACATGTCAAAATGAACAAATGATAAGTGGCAACTGTCATAATGACAAGCACAATCTTTGCATATACATTTTTTAAATGGATCACCCTAAAATATACCTAATTTGAGGTATCTATTTAAATGAATCTTTAACCTTAAATAGCGCAAAAACAACTGGACCAAATATCAGCATATATGATATATTTGGAATTAGAAAACAAAAATCTTTCATTCCAGCCAAAAATATACAGAGTGATCCATTTAAAAAAATATATGTGCTGTCATTAGGACAGTTAGCACTTGTCATTTGCCCGTTTTGACACGTGCAAAAGATAATAGAGATGAAACCCTACAGCTTTTGTATTTGACTTTTTATTATTATTTTTTTTTTCAAGTTATGTAGTAGCCGCACTTATTATAAGGAACAGACCCTGTACATAAATGTTTCGGTTAAATTTTTGAAATTTCTTTTTAAATTTTTTCTCGTGAAAGAAACGTGCCAATGATAAAGATACTCATTCTTATTTAGGGACAAGATGGGTGTCAATTGTATTAAGTATATACCAATTAAGTAGAATTAAGAAAAATTCTAAATGATATCGCACAATTTGTTCATAGGAAATTAAAATAAAATAAATTTACATGGTAAGTTTTAGGTATAACTATAGTTAATAATATTAATAACTTTTACGTTCTGTTAATGATCCTCTGCATATTGATTACGTTATATAAATCAATCAATTGATTGATTTGATTCAAATTCTACATACAGCAGTTTTCAAACTATCAAAAAATTTGTTAATAGATGAAACGTTTAATGAAATACAAAAATCAGCTAATGGAAAATTGGCAAGTTTTCAGTAAACTCATAAGAGCATCTATGTTTTATAGGATTGGATAATGCACCTTATGATTTGAAAAAAATAAATCATCTGAGTCATATGTTTTTCGAAGAATAGTGCAAAAATGTCATAGAAATAAAAAAAAGTTATTAAGCTGGTAAATACCATAATCATTGGTCAAAGTCAATCAAAAATTCCATGGTACCATAAGGTTATTTAGCAAAGAAGAGTCTTATAAAATTACATCATTTATAATGGAATTCTATAGATCGTACACACTCATATTAATTGTTATTATCAAGTGTTTAGGACTAAGTATTAAGTATGCATGTAATAAATGTAGTTAAAATTTTCCAATTGGTGGCAACTTATATAGTAGGTAACTATTTTTTGTTAAATTGTAGTACCAATCAGAAACAAAATTAAGAAAACATTTTTGATAATCGTTATCTGTAAAGCTCTTTTTGCCGGAGAAAAAGTAACGAATCTAATTTTTGCTATAATTTTTGAGACATCTAAGATTATCTATCGACAGTCTCTATGGAAATGCAGGTTTATATTGTTGTTTATATCTGACAATAATATCTCTTCAACGAATAAATCGGCTTCAAGTTCTCAACAATCCAGCTTGCCCGAGTGAGAATGCAGAGAAATAAAACTCTTGAAAGTATCAAAGGCCTTTGACAAAGTTTGGATTGACGATCAGGTTGCATTGTGCCTATTCATCGAACTTTGTTTGGCTCATTCAAAAATTCTTCTTCGATCAAAAATTTGATACCAACAAATAAACTGATGCTGCAGATCTGCAAAGATTTTCTTTTTTCCCTATTTTGTATAACTTCAAGGCAGATTGAATTCTACTCAATGTTGGACAAGATTCACGTGTAGAAGTGATCCATAAACTTTAGGCACTTTCCTTTTCTGGGTCAAGTTAATATGTTCATGGAAAGAAAAATATGAACAACTCAAATGCACTCGGAGCGACGCAAAAATCTAGTCGACTCTATATGGACTTCCCGATTTACAATACACAATACCATACAGTCGAGAATAGTCCTGATGAGGTCAATTCTTAGTCCAAGTCTTAGATCTTTACTTCACTTACATAAAGAAGTTGCACGTTGCACACCTTTTCAAAACAAGATCTCATCTCAAGGAAAAGTTAAAATGTTGACGTAATCTATCAAGCCATCGGTATCAAAAATGTTCCAGAATATCTTCTCATACGGCAAACAAAATTATCTCCTATAATTCTCAAAATATTGCGAGATTTAATATGAACCAAAAGAATTATGTTTCTTTGGAACCATTATAATCTAGAATATAATTTTTATAGCAACAATTAGGCTCGTTAATTTTATTTCAAAAGTGTTATCATGACAATATTTTCAAAAAAGAAAAATAAAATGTCCAGTTCAATGAACAGCTGACCCGATTGTTAAATTTAAACCTAAATTGTTTGCACGTAATCAATACCTAATGGCTGTTTTTGTGAACCATTCCAAATTTAGCAAATTGTCCATGTTAGGAAAAAGCCAAATCAGCCACAAAAAAAAAAATAGGTTTAGATTAAATATTCGATCTTTTTTCGATGTAATTGATTTAAAAGAAAAACATTTTGTGTAATGCACTTGATTGAAATAATATAATGTAAAATTAACTATTCCAAATAAATAATTACGTCCCATAAAATTGCTTTTTATTTCCAGTTTTCTATAAAGTAACCACAAATCCCACCTTAGAAAAAAAGGAGACTTAACATAATAATATAGGAAAAAAATCAATACCTAATTACTTAACATTAAAAAAAAAAATAAAAAATTTGGTTTCGATTTTGCTACAAAAAGGAAAAAATTCAAAATATAACTACCTATTACAAAAAAATCTTCTTAAAATATTAATTTGATTTAAATTAGAAAAGTAAAAATGTAGTAGGACAGCACGACGAAAAATGCGATTTTGACTATTCTATCCAGCATACAAAATCTAAAACAAATTAGTTTAATTTAATTGAAACTCAACAAACCAATCACCCAACATTTTCATATTCCTTTTTGCAGCAGGTATCATATCGTCAGTTTCATTAAAAATATTCCTTCTGGCATACAATAAACAATCTTGTAAGTAATTTGTTATGTTAACATTGTCAGCTTGAACCTAAAAAAGCATGTGTGAATAAACATAAGCCCAGAAGTAGCAGAAGTCGCTATTTTACTTGGTAAATGCTCTTTTCTATTTCATTCATTTTCGGCCTCAAATTCATAAAATATGTCATATCAAACGTCCACTCTTTTGTTGTGTAATATTCGAACAGCTCTTGACCTTTAATCAAACGACGATTTACTCGTAATAAACTGCAAAAACAATCATAAAAAATAATGAGATTAACAGAAACTATTCTTACACTGGTTCATATCTGAGACAAATTAACAACAAGTCGATAAACAATGCCGGTATAATTTGAAAGAGAAAAACATGGAAATTGTGCCACCATTTTGATTTGGTCAATATACCATTTGGGTACCAAATAATGCCGTTGAATGGTACTTTGGTGTTGATTACTTCTTTGCCGATTTCAATAATTTCCTCCCAGTTGATTTTTATGTCTTCGTGTGGTATTGAAATGTTAAATACTTGTTGTTGTCTGAAAACAAAATGGAGTAAATTAAAATGGAATTGTTTAGCGATTTAGCAAAATTGCATCCAGTTCAAAATAACAAGTTATGGCCATCGACCCAGCATACTGGACGAATAGCAATACTGGTTAACAGAGCTGCAACAGTTAAAATAAAGATAGCCTGAGGAAAAGCAAAAGCTAATCCCCAGGGTTGGATGGGCTCAGACAAACCGGCCCTGGCAATTTTTTTCAGTCAGCCCTCCCCTGGACAGCAAGAATGAAAAATGGGTTTTAAAAATTTTACTGTAAAGAAAACGAAAGAATATTTTGGAATTTTCATTTTCGATATTATTACAGATAGGCAATATCATCAATCAATATCTCATTATAATGCAAATCTCCATAAGGCACCCCAGATGCGTCATCAAGGTACCCATTACCAGGCAACCTATTAACGTTAGGAATCTTGGGCTAGGCCCAAACCTAAGATTTCAGGAAACTCAAGGATAATACACACTACTAATGCTCATCGGCTGTTTTGTAAATAGGTTGCCTGGATAACTCTATTACGTCATTTGGAGTGCCTCAACAATAATTTCAATCTTCATCATATGGCACCCCAAATTCGTCATCTAGTTACCCATTACCAGACAATGTCAAGACGATGAATGACAAGATGCCTACGACTTCACTGATGCTTTGGCATAGTGGGGGGCTTGAGATTTGAAGTACACAGGCTTAATGAGGATAGGCTCTATCTTGTAGTAGTAGTAGTGTGTATTATCCTTGCAGGAAAACTGAGGTCCAAAAGTAACCAATTTTCCAGGAACCAGAGTAATTAGTAATTAGATTACTTTCGGATCGCTTTTCTGTCGTTGCCACATCTTTATTTTTGGTTGAGGAGTGATGATTAACCCTCAGAATTGACTGAATTTGACCCATTTCACAAAATCAAAAAAATTATACTTTCTTCTTGATGTTACTAAATAGGTACCAAGGTCGTGTGTATAAATCGTGTAATTGTGAGACGAAAGCGTGTAAAAACGTGTAATTTGACCAGCGTTTCGTGTAATTTCACAAATTCAAACTGGCAGCACTGCATTCTCAACTAAACCGTCACCAGTGGTTTCGGACCTCACGCATAATATTCAGTTTAAATATTGTTTTAGATAGTTTTCATGATGTTTTTGTCAAATATATACATTTTAAAATATTATTATTAATTTGAGACGCGTCGGGCCTGCGGCTCGACCGGCCCTGAGTTATACCAGCCCACCGGGCATTTGCCCGGTTGCCCGGTTGTCCCATCCAACCCTGCTGATCCCGCTTTCAAAGATTTGCAGCGGACATTCAGGATCTACTATAATGAACAACTCTCGCTCATCATTGATGATTTCAACAGCAAATTTCCACCCGATGATGACCAATGACAGGGGCTGATACAGGCCTTTTGAAAGGGGGGGCAGTTTAAGTTAAAGTAGGGCAGATTAGGTTAGTTTGGGTTAGTTTTGGCAGCGCAGTGTGCAAGATACGGTTTTTCGAAAGAATGGCCCATAAAAATATGGGAATGGGGGAACTATTTAAGGCAGGTATTATAAAACTATTTTGACACAATAACTAAAAGTTAACTTCTGTAATGACATTACTTCTCATAGTTCCAGAAGTTAACTTTGAGTTATCTTTCAAAATAGTTTTATAATACCCGCCCTTAGGAGAATAAGGTAATTTTAAATAGGTAGGTACAGGGTGTTTTTTTATATATTGACACCCCACCTTTAACTTTACAGGTAGAAGAAAGGTGTAAATACAAAAGTTGTAGGTACAGTATTGGCTAAATTTTTAGAAACCATAGTCAAAATTTGAATGTTAGAAATGTGAAATTTTGCATGCTTCCAGCTTTTTTCAAATGGGATGCCTTTTATTTCATTCTATATTCTTGAAGAGCACAATGCCCCGATTCCAAAAATATATAATTTGTCTATATTTGATTGAACAGTGTCTCATATAATCGGCTCCAAAAATTGTAAAAATACTATCCTACTACTGATTTTGTGAACCATTCTACCTATGCAGGTGAAAGCTGGAGGTAAAATTTAAGGTACCTATGTACTTGGTTTCTCTGATAGTATTTTTAAAATTTTTAGAACCAAATATGTTGGAGACATCTCAACTAAATAGGTATAAACAAACTATATAGTTTTAGAATCGGGAAATTGTGCTCTTCAAGAATATAGAACCAAATATAGGGCATCCCATTTGGAAAAAGCTGAAAGCCTGCAACATTTCACATTTGTGACATTCAATTTTTGTTTCTGACCATGGATTCTAAAAATTTAGCCAATACTGCACAACTTTTGTATTTACACCTTTCATCTACTTGTGAAAGTGAAGGCTGTAGGTGGGGTGTCAATAAATAAAGAAACACCCTGTACTTGAACAATAACTTATTATATAAAGTTAGAATTTTTGAGATTATCCACTTTTTGTCAATTTGCCTTTCAACAGGAATTAGTAATGTTACTTTACCAAACTAGTAAGATAATGTGACAAGTTATTCAAGTACAAACGAGTGGATTGTTGCGGAATTTATGGATGGACCTCTGTGGGACGAGCGCAGCGAGTTCCGCAGTCATCTATTCATTAATATGTTGTTCAAATACGCTACTAACCTGAATCACTCAAATGTCAATTATTCTCATTAGTTCAAAAACTACAAGTTTCAGGTGAGTGTCTTCTTTCAATAGCTCAACAGTATATTGGCGAGTAGATGGCTGCGGAACTCGCTGCGCTCGTCCCACAGAGGTCCACCCATAAGTTCCGCAATAATCCAGTTATTTGTACTTGAACTAATAACCTATTATATAAAGTCAAAATTTGTAAGATTATGATTATTCACTTTTTGTCAATTTGCTTTTCAACAGGAATTAGTAATGTTACTTTATCAAACTAGTAACCTAATGTGACAAGTTATTCAAATACAAATGAGTGAATTGTTGCGGAATTTATGGGTGGACCTCTGCGAGACGTGCGCAGCGAGTTTCGCAGCCATCTATTCATCAATATGTTGTTTAATTACGATACTAAACTGACTCACTCAAATGTGCGTTATTCTCATTACTTTAAAAAATTACACGTTTCAGGTGAATGTCTTACTTGAACAGTTCAACAGTATATTGGTGATTAGATTATATTGGTGAGTAGATGGCTGCGAAACTCGCTGCGCTCGTCCCACAGAGGTCCACACATAAGTTCCGCAACAATCCACTTATTTGTACTTGAACAATAACTTATTATATAAAGTCAGAATTTGTAAGATTATCCACTTTTTGTCAATTGGCTTTTCAACAGGAATTAGTAATGTTACTTTGCGTTATGGGTGGACCCAGCCATCTATTCACCAATATGTTGTTCAGGTACAATACTAACCTGATTCACTCAGTTGAGAATTTTTCTCATTAGTTCAAAAACTACACGTTCCACGACATTTCTCCATGGAAAACTGTCATTTTAGAGAATACTTAGCGTTAAGGCTTCCCTAAAATAGTTGGTGGAAACGGCCATTATTTGAACAGTTCAACAGTATATTGGTGAGTGGATGGCTGCGGAACTCGCTGCGCTCGTCCCGCAGAGGTCTACCCATAAGTTCCGCAATAATCCACTTATTTGTTCAGGGTATTTTTTTATATATTGACACCCCACCTACAGCCTTTACCTTCACAGGTAGAAGAAAAGTGTAAATACAAAAGTTGTACAGTTTTCGCTGAATTTTTAGAAACAATGGTCAGAAACAAAATTTGAATGTCAGAAATGTGAAATTTTGCATGCTTCCAGCTTTTTTCAAAAGGAATACCCTATATTTCATTCTATATTCTTGTATATTCTTGAAGAGCACAATACCCCGATTTATATTTGATTGAACAGTCTCTCATATATTCGGCTCCAAAAATTGTAAGAGTAGGTACTATCTTACTACTGATTTTGTGAACCATTCTACTTGTACAGGTGAAAGCTGCAGATAAAATTTGAGGTATCTACTTGGTATCTCTGATAGTATTTTTTTAATTTTTAGAACCAAATATATTGAAAAGCAAGTTAAGCCAACAGCAAAAACTTTCTAAATAATCAAGACGCCGAGCCACATATCAGAAATATACAGAAGAAAATGAGAAGCCTCAATGTCAAGAGAGTCAATGGCTAAGACATAGTCAATAATAAAATGATCAAACAGATGCCAAGGGAAGGTGCGTGATGGTTCTAACCAACATCGCCAACACCATCTTGAGAATAGACAACTTCATAGTAGTACTAGAAACATAATGAAGAAGAAGAATTATGCTAAGTAAAGCAGGAAAGTCCACATGGAACTATGGTCTCATCAGCCTTTTGTCACTTCTGGACAAGGCATCAGAAAGCGGCATCAACTTCAGAACTCAACAGGAAACTGGTGTTTATTTCGGAAGAATAAATTTAACTGGAGGCGATGGTAGACCGATTCACAAGAATATTTAGGAAAGAAACTGCGCAAACGACAGGTAGAAACTTCTCTGTGAAGATTGGACGCAAATGGCAAGGGAGACTTTTAGCATGTGTCGGAGAGAAACTCTAGTAAGAAGTGGAACTGATTTCAGAATTTTGCTTCAATCACCGAAGGGAAAGAAAAAAAGAAAGAAAGAAAGAAAGAAAGAAAGAAAGAAAGAAAGAAAGAAAGAAAGAAAGAAAGAAAGAAAGAAAGAAAGAAAGAAAGAAAGAAAGAAAGAAAGAAAGAAAGAAAGAAAGAAAGAAAGAAAGAAAGAAAGAAATAATTTTTCATGCGCCGGGAACTCAACTACTATGACGTAGGACTAACCATGGATTGAGGTTGACGTGGAGATTCCACATTTGAATGGCCCGAAACAATAGGGCAAGAGCAGTCATGATGGATAGTCTCAATCCGTTGATGAAAGCGATGATGAAATCCATAACAAGATGGCAGTTTTAACTTATGGTTCAACCTTCAGCCAAGACCTATCGGAAGCAACTCAAGGCCACAGAAACATTCAAGAAATAATTCATTACCACTATTAGTATATTACATAAAATTCTTGGATATTGTTCTCTCTGATGAAACAAACGCGACCGTCGGTCGTCGATGAAATAGCGTCTTTCCTTTAATTCAAATATTCCTGTGCAGAGATCTCTAAATCTTGTCTCCTGCCCACTACACACCTTTTGATAGAAATTCTGATTGACTCGAGAAAGTTTCCTAACAATGTATCAGAAACAATTTTTATAGAGGTGCGTATTTCCAGTTAAATATTTACTTGTTTGTTAAATAATCCCACGCACACACCATAATGCCATTAATAGTACTATCAGCTGGAATCAAATTGGCACTGGCCCTACTATCTATATAGACACTTCTAATAACACCTTTTCCGGCTCCGACAAATATTCCCATCGGACTCTGGAGAGTGGTAAAGAATCCAGGGATTGGTTCTTTATGAGTAGGTATTACTGAAACAAAAAAATAATAATAATTCCCTATTTCAATGAAATAGTCCGAGGAAAATTCTTACCAACAGATGGCCTCATGATAACAGCTGGCAATTGGCCCATGTGATCCTTAACCAGGCCTTCGGCTAATGCTTTGGAAAAGGTGTAGGTGTTGGGGCAATCTGCAAGTATCCTACAAGTTTCAAAAATATACATAGTTTCATTTCTAATAAAGTTAAAAATGCTCACTCTTGCTCCATATCTACGGTCAATGGGTTTTCCTTTGAACGAATGGCGTCAATTATTTCGTGAGGATTGGCTGGAGGATCGTAGCATTTTTCATAGAGTATTTTTTCTTTAGGAAAAGCAAAGGCTGTAGATATGTGAACGAATAACTAAAATTTGCAATAGAAAAAGAGAATTGATTCCTGCTCGCTGCTCGGATATTTTTCTTCCATATTCATTTCATTTTTCATTGAGAATAGAGTTGTTCCACTTCTACATGAGCACATCTTGCAACTGTTCTAAATTTTCTGGGATGATATTAATTGATTCAACGCTTTTTAGATTCAATTATAAACAATTAATTTTAATTTTGATTGGCTACTCGGTTGGCAGTATTCTTAATCCTATAATTGTGTTTTGAAAAACTTATTTTTTTCCTTTGGCTTGGAATCTATTTAAATAGGTACATCCTCCCGACGCCTTCCCCCTATCCATTGGGTGATAAATAATAATTCAAACGCGCTAATTGTTGGTTAAAGTAAATATACAAAAAATTATCAAGCATTAAGGTATGTACTGGTGAACAATTAATATTGATTAGTTTTTTAACTGGGCTACTCTGTCCGTCATTTGCGACAGAATTTTTATCAATAATTTCAAGAAAGTTTTAAAATATTAATGGAAAGCCTTACCTTCAAATTCCTACACTTCTTGGCCAAATCCAACATGTACTTGGTACCCACAGTATTGACTTCTACAGAATACTTCAGTGTTTCGTCAAATCTTGTTGTTGCAGCTGAATGGAAAATGTAGTCAGTTTCGTTTTGTAATAGAAGTCTGTCGCTTTCCGCGATTCCTAAGTTGGCTTCCAATAAGTTCCCTTGTATGATAATGCATTTCTTAATCGAGTCGGGTCTTTCGATTTTTAAAGTTGAAAAAAACTAGAAGGAAAAACCTATAAGTATTAGTTACCTAATCCTAGAACAACACTGCTTTGAAACTTCGAAGAAACTTCACTCACTAAATGATTAAACATATCAATCAATCTATCCTGTGGTGTTTTATTCTTCTTTTGCCTCACCAACAAGTATAAAATTTTTACTTCAGTAACGCGAAGCAATTTTTCAATAAGGACTCTTCCTAAAAAGCCACTGCCTCCAGAAATGAATACCGTTTTATCTTTAAAAAGTTCACTTATCCTGTCGATTTCGCCCGGCATGATGGAAACTTGATTTACTAACAAACCTCAGTTAACTCTGTTTAATCAAATGGGTATTGCTTTTTTCGAGAAAAACATTTTGTAGTTTAATTTAATACTAATTATCTCGTTCTTTTTTTTGACCAGTGCAATAGTTGCCCAACTTACAAAAATATAAACTAATGAGCCTTATTTACACATTTCCAAATTGGTTCGATTAATTTAATTTCCGATCTTTGATATAAGTACCTAGGTATCTAATGAGGATGATAAAAAACATATATTTATAAAATAATACTTACGTGATTATCACAACTTTAGCTCAGGTTGAAAATTTTGTATTTTTTCAAAAACTTATATGTACCTACCTAAATTATTTATAGAAGTACTAGCTGACCCGGCAAACTTCGTACCGCCTCTGAATTATTAAATACCTAGGTATTAAATGTTGTGTTAACGTATCTAGTAACTGAATTGAATTCAGTTTTTTTCGATGGTGAGTTTGGCCTTGGTTGAAGAAAATTAATTTTTACTCTCTGGATCAGAAATCACCTAAAATCAAAATTTTACATCATCTCTTTCAGAGCTGGGCAGTAGCTAGCTACCAAGTAGTTAAGCTACTAGCTTAGCTACTTTTTTGGTAGCTAATAGCTTATTCAAGCTACTTTGAAAAAAAAGTAGCTTGTAGCTGTAGCTTTTGGTAATGTGTTTCAAGTATTCATAAGCTACTGTGAAAAATAACTAGCTACTAAAACAAGCTACTTAAGCTACTTTTGGTAGATAGTTAATAGTTATTTAGGTATTAATGGCGGAAAGTGTCATTTACCGCCCGAGGTTGTGGTTAACGATACTCAACGCCCAAAATACTTATTACGTTTTATGCGCAGCGGACTCTTCTAGTTCAAAAAATATAAAATAACTATACCTATAATATAATGGCATCCATTCGATATTGTTTTCAAAAATAAACAGTTTTCCCCTTATAAAGGCACGTTTCCACTAACCTATCGCCCGCGTTTGAATTTACCGCTCGATAAAAGTAACTTATACCTTATGGGCCAAATTACAGTATATCTGCATCTGCAAATATGGCCGACATATTTATCGGAAAAAGTGTTTGGGCGCAACTGATTTACCATATTAAAATGCTAAAGTTGTCAAAGTGATCGCAAGGACTTGCGGGATTGTTTCACCATGCGCAAATTTGCAGGCGACTTGCAAATGCGTTCTGCATCTGTGATACGAAAAGTCAGACTTGCAGGTTCTGCATTTGTATCTTGGTGTTGCAGAGCTTCTGTAATTCCGGGCTAATTGCTCGAGCTACAATTATCATTTTCCGGAAAATTCTTATCCTGCCTTGCTTAGACTAATTTCTAGTTATCTCTGTCTATGTTTTATGTGTCCTATTTTATTCTCGCATTCGCAGATCACTGTAATCAAAGTGAACCTAATAAATTAATGTTTTTGACAAAAATATGGATACTACTTCTTAGAGAAGGTTAATATGTTATTTTCGTATGATGATATTATGAAATTAAATAAGGTAAGGCATGTACATTGATAAAAGTAGCTTAAATAGTAGCTTTCACTAATTCAAAATGTAGTTAAGTTACTAATAGCTTAGCTACTTTTTCAAAGAGGTAGTTGAGCTACTGAGTAACTTAGCTACTTACAATATAAAGTAGCTTGTAGCTAGCTACTTTTCCCAAGTAGCTTGCCCAGCTCTGATCTCTTTTTAGGCACCTTGTGGGCATTATTCTTGTAAAGTGTACCACCAAATAAATAAATTCAGGCACAGGAATGTTCAAAGAACGTGAAGAAAATAAAAAAAATCATCTGAATTGTCAATAACCACTTATTCACAAATTAATAATAATTCACATAATTAACACAGGATCAAATGTAAACAAAATAATGTCGGCCTGCACTGCCATATTGAATCACGTGATTTGGATTGCCTAATAATAAGATAACACAAATTTGTACACTCCCTTTTCGGGATCGAAAACTAAATGAAGGTTTCTATCATGTATCTTAGATAGCGTCATATACGGAATGCTATTACAGTGCAAATGGTATTACAACAGTGACTAAATAAGCCTTATCTACAGTGGCGATAATAGAGCTCCCGCCGGAATTTTGTGCCTTACCTCTTGCTACTTTTAAATATGAATATATAGGATTTAAATGGACATCCATCATGAAAAATGGAAAATAACGTATTTGATGACTATTATGAGGTACATTTTTACACGTTTTCCATATGCTTCCGACTTTTGTCTCAAAACTGCTCCCGATTGATCAAAAAGCGATCCGAAACGGATTCACGTGTTCGACTTGAGCAATAAACGCTCTCAAATCTCGCACGGAGCGCTATTCCTTGCTCCGTCAAATTCGAGTTTTGTGTTCGATAGATCAGTGATTGATCGAAACAAAACAATTAAAGTACGTTCGCCTATAGATTTCAAATAGGGTGCCCTCGCTTGAATCATAATCGCTTTCGGAGCATTTCCGCAGAGATCTGTACGTCGCCGCCCAAATAGAGAGCGCTCTGGGAGCAGTAAAGCCGAACATGCTATAAGATAATACTGTGACGTCGGTTACAAACAAAAATAAGTTGGGCTATGTAGTGGTGAGAAGCAAAAAAAAATTAAAAATTTTTGGGGTGGACCACCCTTATCACTTAGGGGTATAAAACATAGCCTAAAACCTATTCTCAGACCTACCGAATATACATATAAAATTTCATAAAAATCGGTAAAGCCGTTTCGGAGGACGAAGGTAACTAAAACTGCGACAGAATTTTATATATTAGATTGAAATCATCTGTTAAGTAGCAAAATCATAATTGAGTTACTATATACCTACTCTAAGATGTATAGTGTATATAAAGTAATATCCAAAACGGAGGATGGCATTTTACCTGCTCTGTTACAAAACGGATGGGATTCTGGTACCATTCGTACTTCTGAGCCAGTCTTGCGTACAACCATATACCACCAAGCTAGACAGCTAAAAAGGTATTCTATATCCCTGAAGCGAGGCAAAGAACTTTAGAACTCCCGCAGAATCTGTGGAAAGACTTGGGGCACAAATCCACTGGATTTGCACCATGGTCATCAGACCAATGGAAACATACGGATCTGTAGTATACCGGACAAGAAGGTAACGAAAAAGCGGATCAACTAGCATAAGGATCTGAACCTAACTTTATTCGACCGGAACCATCAGTCCTGAGGATAGCCCTAAGAACGGTTAACCACGCAATCTCGATTTGGGCCAATATAGAGGCCAAACAATACTGGGGGAGGTTACCCATGCAAAATCCTTCGTACGTCCCTAAATGGAGAAAAGTGGCAGACACACTAGGAATGGTCAGGAACACCCTCAAAGCCCTGGTGGGTCTGTACACTGCACACTGCAAACTTCAGCATGACATGCACAGAATCGGAATAGCACAAGATGTTGGGTGTTGCCTGTACATGGAAGAGGACGAAACTGCAGAACATGTCCTATGCACGTGTCCGGTAATCACCAGAATCAGGGAAATATAAACTTGGAATGAGACACAACAGACCTTAGCTCGCAGTGGAAGGACCGACATTGGATTGGACTCACAGAAAGCCTGAAATCTAATATCCATAACTCAGAAGCTTCCAATATCTATCCATCTGTTTCAAATCATGGACGTGCCGTCAAGAAGCCGATCGCTACAAGAAAATGGCCATCGCCTGAGTCGCAGTCTCTATTTTTAGGTCTGAAAAAGCCTCGAAATTAATTTCCAGGTGAAAAATACCAGATGGCAGCTTGCAGCGACACTCTTGCGGGTTATTACGGCTATTACAAGTACTTCCTAGTAAGAATAAGAGCCCCGCATGTATTTACTGTACGCAACTACTCCATATTCCAAATAAATAATAAAGTACATCATACAATAGATTGGTTTTTATTTCTACTTTATTGTGAAGTAACAAGAAGTACCACCTCAGAAAAAAGAGACTAAATACAATAGACTAAAACGAATATAACTATTTTAATATAGAAATGAAAATAAAAAATAATTTTATCTTGTTCCTTAAATAGGTACCTAATAAAAATCCAAAGAAAAAAATAATTGAAAAGATATCACAAAAGAAACTTACAAAATTGAGCAAAATATTAGATACTGAAATATTAAATAGATCTAAATAAGAAAGTATAAGTGTAGTAGAATACCAAGACAAAAAAGCCAATTTTAACTATTCTATCCAGTACGAAGAATCTAAAAATAAAGCCAAATTATTTCATTAAATTTATGCACAAATCAATTTACTGACATTTTCATGTTCCTTTTTGCAGCAGGTATCATATCGTCCGTTTCATTAAAAATATGCCTTCTGGCATACATTAAACAATCTTTTAGATAATTTGCTATGTTAACATTTTCAGCTTCAACCTAAAAAAACATGTTTAAATAAACATAAACTCTGAAGCAGCAAGAAATCTCTATAATACTTGATAATTTTTTTTCTCAATTTCATTCATTCTTCTTCTCAAACTCATAAAATATTTCATATCAATCTTCCAAGCTTTTGTTGTGTAATATTCAAACATCTCTTGACCTTTGAGCAAACGACGGTTTATTCCTAGCAAACTGAAACAAAAGCAATAATTAATAAATAACAATTTGAATGGAAACTATTCTTACACTGGCTTATATCCAAGACAAATCAACAAAAAGTCAAGAAATAATGCGGGTATAATTTGAAAAAGGAATATATTGAAATTGTGCCACCATCTTGATTTAGTCAATATACCATTTGGGTACCAAATGATACCGTTGAATGGTACTTTGGTGTTGATTACTTCTTTGCCGATTTCAATAATTTCTTCCCAGTTGATCTTTATGTCTTCGTGGGGTATTGAAATGTTGAATACTTGCTGTTGTCTAAAAAAAAAATGAAGGAAAATGAAAATGGGCTTGACTTATAAAAAAAGGACCTGCCAAGATGTTTTTCAAAAACCAAACTAAAAACAGGGGCAGTATAATCCCGAAGGGTAAGCGCGCACTAACGATTTGTTGTGCGATAATTTTGTCGCAGTCGCGGCGCCGTGAAATAGGACTGGTTCTATTTTTTATCCGCAACGATTATATTATCGCAGAATGCGTGTATGTCGTTAAAATATTAATGTTCCATTTTAGCGACTAAACAGTCGCGCGACAATAATTAGCTAGTGCGCGCTTACCCTAAGTGCAGTTTAAAATGTAGAGAGTTACACTCAATCAACAGGTTCTGATCCTGTAGGAATGCAACCTAGAGTTTCTATGTGCCGCTTTAACTCCAAATACAATGTGGAATAAGCATGAAGCTGAAATCTATTGATAGTATGATAAATACGCGTTACGCCTTCTTGCTCAGCTCCGAAAAATAGCTCTCGATGAAGCCCTATGAAGTTTCTAATGAATTGGTAGAGTAAACTCTTTTCAAAAAATAACGTCTCTTCTATTTCCTATCATCCTGCTTTCACTCCTGAATGTAGGCCTTTTCCCTATTTTTCAATTTTTGTTTGCCTATATAGCGAAGCCTCATTCCTTAGAGCAGGTAAAGGTAAAGAGGAGTAGTTACATGGAGTTGGAAAATGAAGCCGTTTTTTTTCCAGGTAATTTGGCACCAAAAAAATGGCAGTATAGGCAATTGACGTTTTCAATTAAAAGAGGATGGACAATAAAGTATGAAAACAATCATTTTCCCGCCAAAATTTGCTTGCTTGTCAATGCCAGTATGTATTGAGTGTTTTGAAAGAAAATGTGGGAAAAGTCACTACTTTATTTGCCGAACTTCGCTATGGAGAAAGCGGTGGATTATTTTGGAAGCAAACAGCTCCCGCAAACTAAACTTGAACGTGGATTACTGTGTATACTTGATAGGCCGTGGATTTTCCTTTTTTTGCGAGTATTCTTTCTGATTTTATGTATCCAAAATTTGAGAAATGTAGGATTTGATGGAAACTTATGGAAAGACACCTCCGCCGGTAAATAGGAATTATTTTTACAAAAAGGCGCACTACACAATCATTATTGTTAGGAAAAAACATTGAAAATACCGAAGAAATAATAGTTTCCAGTTTCTACATGTACAAAAGTCTTGTCAACAAACCACTGTCAGCGGCTGTCAACCGTTGTTTTCATACTCTTTTGGCGTCTGACAGTTAGACGCCAGAGAGAGAGGGTTTTAAATTGAAAAGGTCAATTCAATGCTATACCTGTATTTTGGTGCCAAACACCTGCCAAAAACTTGGCTTCACTTTAGTTTCATAAGCAGAATGGCGCGTTCCTACTCCTTATGTCCGAGGACAGCGCTTTACCTGCTCTAAGCCTCATTCAGTTATTTCCAGCATCACTTTGGAGGTCTGCCAACATTTATTTCCTAACCTCCTGTCCTGATAACGACGGACAGGAAGCAGACACTGAACCGACTTAACAATGAACCCATCAAAGATATACTAATAGCACAAATATTAAAACTGAGAGAGAAACAATCGAAAATGGAACAGGAATGAATGCCAATGGAAAAAAAGGTCAGTGTTACGTAAATCCAGCGAATAGGGAAGCTGACAAACTGGCAACTCTCGCTAGGGAAGAAGAACCAGTCGCAGAGAACCTGGGGGAATATAGCCAGGCAAGTATATAGAGTCCAACGTATGTAACTGAAAGAAACAAAAGGACGTTGGAGAAGTGGCAAACAGCATGGGAAAACGAGTGTAAATGCAGGGTTTTTCGCAAACATTGGAAGAACGGTTAGATACGAGAGAATCGACCTCAGCTTCAAGGCGACAAAACTGCTCTAAGGCCACGGCAACTTTAAGCAATACGTTCACCGGTTTAAGCTTCGCCAGACGGAGGGGACTTGTACATGCGATCCAAACCGGATGGAGGACACCTAGCATGTAAGGAAAATCTGCAACCTCGACGAAAGGTTAAAGATTAGAAACCAAATCGTAGCCGAATATGACGAGCTCCGGCTAACCCTGAGAAACGACAACAAAATAATGACAGAACAGATCATAAAAATAAACAAAACGGCAGAGGCGGCAGTAAAAGACCCGTACATGAGAGAGGCAGAACAGGACCAATCGACAAATGGAATAATACAAAACGAAAGTCAAAACAGGATATAGAAAGCAAAACACATAGAACAAAAGCAGTGCCAGAGAAAGAGTGAAAGAGCCACCCCAAGAAAGGGGAACATAAAATCGCAAAATGCGATGGTAATAAAATGTAATGATTATATTGTCAACAGGTCTATAAATGAAACCACTCTGTAAATCAAAAACCCATTAAAACTAAAACACGATTCACCAACAATCAGCAGTTTTAACAGGTCAACGCGTAAACTAATGTTTACACGAAATTGATATAAAAACCGATGCAGCCCATGGTATCGTTACCCATTTGGATCTTTCTCTCCTCAGGGTCTCCTTACCGAAAGGAGCAGTAGCTACACTTCTCTTCAGGGTCGCCTTACCCCAGAGAGTCTTGGAGCAATCCTCTTCAAGGTCGCCTTACCCCAGAGAGTCTTGCCCTTAAGGGCATCGCCGCCTATACGTTCGGGAACCAGTTGCATCCCCGTAGTATATGTACGTAGAGCCCCGAACGTGAGAATCATGTGGCGCACCTTTGGTGATGTACCCACTAGCAGACAATATACGTTAAGTCCTATTTTGTAGTTGTGTGTTTTCCTGAAGAGCAACCCCTAACCTGAGGTCCTACCCAAATTAGCCGCGAGGCGCGTGACCTATGGTGGAGGTGCCGTTCGAAGAACCTGTGATGCAGAATTTCCCTATTTAGCATCGAAGTACCTAAACGAGAGCACATTGCCCAAACGAAATTATGGACTGTCGCCATTGTATCAGGAATTATGTTTGAATGTACTGATAGTTGTTCATAAAAGTGACATTCACCGATGTGTCAAGGACACTGACATATAGCCGTATCTCAGCCGATGATACGTCGTTACCTGAACTGAGTAGAGTACCTACACGAAAAAAAAAAACTTTCCATTGGACATGGAAAGAAGGCTTCGCAGCAAGAATAGGAGGGCACGTGACATAAGCAAGAAATATTGTTCGTCCTTCAAATCCGCAACCCTAAACTAGGAACGGTTGAATTTTCTAAAAAGCGCAGTAAGTTGAAAACCGTTGCTCAACTTGTAGGCTAAAGATCTCGAAACGGCAGCAATTTGAAAAACGGAAAAATACCCCAGTCAAAAGGCAGGGAAGAGTTCCCGATTATGCACAACATATCCAGGGTCTTCCGCTCTGGATTCAGTGGAACCAAAGAAGCCAGTGAAGAAGCCTTGCGGCCTACTTTCGAATACTAATGGTCGGGATGACAGATCCAAATCCAAAGACGAAGGTGGTCACAAGCACTTCCATAAGCAGCTTTTAGGAGCAACAGGTGGTAAAAGTGATTCTTCACTAATAAATATGTCAACTGGTCTATAAATAAAACCAAACAAAAACTCCTTAAAACTAGAACACGATTCATCAACAATCAGCAGTTTAAGCAGGTCAACGCGTAAACGAATATTGACACGAAATGAATATGAAAGCCGATGCAGCCCATGGTATCGGTACCCATTGGGTCCTCCTCTCCTCAGGGTCTCCTTACCCAAAGGAGCAGTAGCTACACTTCTCTTCAGGGTCGCCTTACCCCAGAGAGTCTTGCCCTTCAGGGCATCGCCGCCTAAACGTGCGGGAGCCAGTTGCATCCCCGTATAGGTATGTACGTAGAGCCCCGAACATGAGAATCATATGGCGCACCGATGTAGTACCCACTAGCAGACAATATACTTTAAGCTCCTTTTTGTAGTTGTGTGTTTTCCTGAAGAGCAAGCCCTAACCTGAGGTCCTACCCACATTAGCCGCGAGGAGTGTGACAGTATGGTAATATCGAAAAACAAAATGAAGGAAAAAATAAAATAAAATAAAAAAGGGCACTTCTATTTCCGCTAATTTAACCATGGTTGGAGATGGGTTGTAGGGCTCTCGTTACTGAGACAGGGTTCCACTGACAGTGGTTTCTCTACTTAGTGGGTTCGCACACCGATTTAGGTAGACGCTGACACCGCTAAACACCGACGCTGAAAAGCAGATGGCAAAATGATTTTCTGGTGGAATGTGTTTGCAAATAATCTTGACTACAAACACTGAACTTCTTGGTTGATCAAGCCATAGCAATAGAAATTTCAACCTTTGTTTTTGGAGAAGAAAATATGCATATATCGAATGACCATCATTGTCACTTTTTTTCACTGGGGGCTAACATGAAAACTGCCTCAATTGGCTTACTTATTTGAAAAGTAAACCAAAACTCATCGGGGGGTGGGTATAATAGAGAAAAGAAGAAACGCTGTTTCCTTCAAACTTTTTTTTTTTCAAATTTTCTGTTATAGCAAAGGCTCATGCCTTAGAGATTCTCTATAACTTGCACCTGCCAATTGCATCGCGATTGCAGCTTTAGCCTAAATATTTACTTGGTTGTTAAATAATCCCACGAAGACACCAAAATACCATTGATAGCGCTGTCAGCTGGTACCAAATTGGCACTGGCCTTACTATCCATAAAGACGCTTCTAATAACGCCTTTTCCTCCTCCAACAAATATTCCCATCGGACTCTGGAGGTTGTTGAAGAATCCAGGGATTGGTTCTTTATAAGTAGGTATTACTGAAACAGAAAAAAAAGTATTTTCCTATTTCAATATAGAAAAGTTCGAGGAAGACTCTCACCAACAGATGGCCTCACAATGATAACTGGCAATTTGCCCATTTGTTCCTTCACCAAGCCTTCGGCTAAGGATTTGGAAAATGTGTAGGTGTTGGGGCAATCTGCTAGCATCCTACAAACATAATATAAGTATAATTTTGATTCCTTTAAAATTCAAAATCCTTACGCCTGTTCCATATCTACAGTAAAAGGATTTTCCTTCGAGCAAATAGCCTTAACTATTTCATGTGGATCGGCTGGAGGGTCGTAGCATTTTTCGTAGAGTATTTGCTCTTTGGGAAAAGCGAAAGCAGTAGATATGTGGACGAATAACTGAAATTTATAAGAAGATAATATTGAATGCAGATCAATGCAAAAACTCTACTACCTACAAAATTAGATAACCTGTTCTAGAATTTTTCTTTTGAATGCCCTAATATCATTTTCATTTTACTAAAGGTAGGTACTGCAACTGCATATGAAAAGGAAAGTAAAAGTTGCTACAAACGAGCTTGTTACGGAGCAAGTACAGATTATCTTCCGGCAGCTATAATAAAATATTCGCTATATATTTAGGTATCTTGACTAACTAGAGCTTTATGGTATGGCAAATATCACATGGTGACTTATTTTATAATTTACATATTGCATCAATATAAATCCTACTTGTATTTTTCAATTTGTTAGAATTAGAATACCTGAGAATATATTAATTAGGGATTCTCCTAAACTGCACTGAAGATGTGCCAAGAACACCAAAAACCGCGTATATAGTTAGTTGAATCCGCAGGGAAAACTGGAAACTGGTCCGCCATGATTTGCATCGCCCTTATGAAGGGGGTGTGACCCAAAAATAAAAGTTTTAGAAAATTAAATCTAAGAACAAATTTTCAAACCGCACTAGGTAGGCTACGACTAACCGTTGCGAAAATACCGTGGGTAGAAAGTTCCCATTCCAGCACTGTGACGTCATATGCACAAACTGAGTCTGCCGGCCGGCGCTGGGCGCTCGTTTGCTCATGCTTGCGTCATATATTATCGACATTATCGTATTGTTTTTGCGTTCTAACCCCTATCGCTGCGTCAGTTTAACTAGGTTTTGTAATTTTAGTGTGTGTTTATGACGTCACGCAATGAATAGACAAAACTTTATTTAGGCGTATCTACCTTATTATTTTGAATAGCGATGCGACATTTTCACAAGAGTTCTTAGAATTTTTTTCTTTATTTTCAGAAGACAAGTTGTATTTTAAGGGCACACCCCCTTTAAATTAGGTGCATTTCCTCCAGTGATGTGCACGTTGTTTCATTTTCTTTGATAACATCGATCAGGTGTAACTAGTGATGGCGCGAGAGGAGATGAGACGAGAATACGCTTTCTCTCGTCTTGTCTCGAAGGTTCAAGGGAAAATGAGTCTCTCGTCTGAGAGGCCCTCGATACAAGACGAGGGACACATTTATAGGATTTTTTTTTTCAAATGTAAGGAATCGCACCTTGATGTTAGGTACCTAACTTCGGAAAATTCCTGTATATTTAAATAAATAATTTATTTTTTCAGAAATGTATTATAGTCACTAAGAACATTTAAACTCGCTTACTCTTTGAAATTATTAAGTATAGAGCTATTGGGAACATTTTGCATATAATTTATACAGAAATTTATGTAAACACCATAAAATAAACCATTCTTTATTCAGTTATGGGAATTTATAATAATAAATTTATCTTTCTTGAGAGAGCGAGAGAGAATTCGAGAAATTCTCGACGAGAAACAGCATTCTCTCGTCAAGTCTCGAAGTAACTTTTCCAGAAAAAAAATTGGACTCTCGTCTTGGCGGCATCACTGCTGGGTGTTACATATTACGCCTGATTGAAATATACTGTTATAATTAATATAATTCATAAACTAATTATTGTTGATAAAGTCTACCAGATAATTATCGAGTTATTACTGCCAAATAAATAATATTGATTAGTTTTTTTAACGTGCATATTTTTTCTGTCATTTGCGTCAGATGTTTTATTAATTATATCGATGCACTTTTAATTGATACAAATTCTTACCTTTAAATTTTTACACTCATTAGCCAAATCCAACATGTATTTGGTGCCCACAGTGTTGATTTGTACAGAATACTTCAACGTTTCGTCGAATCTTGTAGTTGCCGCTGAATGAAAAATGTAGTCAATTTTGTTTTGTAATAAAATTCTATCGCTCTCTATGATTCCTAAGTTGGTTTCCAATACGTCTCCTTGTATAATGATGCATTTCTTGAAGACATCGGGGTTCTTGTTTTTTAGGGTCGAAAACAGCTTAAAAAATACCAAGTCTCATTTAATACATCTCAAAAAATAGAAATACTGTAAGCAAGCAAAAATAATGGCAATTTTACTCAATGTTATGATTATCGTTGATAAGGATTGCGATGAAAATGCGTGGAAATTTACTCCCGAACCAATTTACTTGTAACCATTTTCTAGAGAGAATTAAAGTATAAAGGCCATCGAATTTCCTCGAAAAAAATATATAGGTATTATAAAACACATCGAAAAGTGAAAGATATCTCACAAAAACGAAAGGTAGATACAAATGGTCAATTAGAACTTTGGAAATCTTGATCCCGCTGAAGAAAAAGACTATTTGCTGTAGATAATAACTTAGCAAAAACTGCCTTGACTATAAAGTCTTCTACCTTCGAAGAGCTGAGCTGTTACGATAAGACCGAAACCTTTGCAGAATATCTATAGAGGGTACTTTGAATTCTCACCTAACAAGGATCACAGTTTTCTAGAAGCTCCATTCACAAAGTTTATTCCAAACTAACAGTGTGTGTTCAATTTCAGTGGCATGCAGACGTTTCAATTAAAATTGATGAAAAATTTTCTGCCTCGACTAGGATTTGAACCCAGGATCCTCGCATATCCAGTACAACACTCTACCAAGACCTGTTTCATTTCTACCTTGTCGGTCAAGTCTATCATTAATTTTAAGTTGTTAGTTGTGAAGATGTGACCAAGGTCTTGGTAGCTTAGTTGGTAGAGCTTTGCACTGGATATGCGAGGGTCCTGGGTTCAAGCCCTAGTCGAGGCAAGAAAATTTTTCATCAATTTCAATTGAAACGTCTTCATGCCATTAAAATTGAACACACTGTAATAGTTATTTACATTACAAGTGCGTTTATGAACATGATTACAATAACGATCACACGAGTTTTGTAGTCATGTTTAAACGCACGTGTGATGTACGTTTTATCTACAAAGCGAAAAATGAGAATCTTTTTCCAATTATTTTCGTTTATAAGCAGTTGTCTACCTTCATTTTATAGGTTTAACTTTGACATTTGTCAAATCACCAAAAAAAGTTATAGATTCAAAATCTAGTCCATAACACCACTAGTTGTGTTATGAGTCTCATGACATAACTCAAATACTAGAAAAATGGTTATGTAAAAATGTCATAACCGAACACTTGTAGATAAATTATATAATAGACGATAAAACTTCTAAAAAAAAGTATTCCAAATATTTTAAAGCAAGAAATCAAGAGTCATGAAAAATCATTAATCACTGAGGACTGAGGAGCCGATGTAGATCAACGACAAGCATCAGGCTGAGTGGCTGAGCTTAGCCGCTGGCACCGCCTGAATGTAGAGGGTGATCTATTATAAATGTCACCCACTTGTAACTTTTTTATTTGACATTTTTGATAAAAGTGTTAAATACAAAAGTTTCAAGAAATTGTCGAAAGTTTTTAACTGAGTCAGTTTTAGGCATACAGGATGCGTCAAAAAAGTGCAGCAGTGTGAAGTTATATATTTTTTAAATGGAACACCCTGTATGTTGTGCGCTTATTTGTTAGTCCCTTTTAACCTGATTTCAAGTATAATATGGTTTGATATGTCTATCTTCAATAGTTATAGGGAAAAACATGAAAACCAACAGTTTGTTGTTCAAATTTTATTCATTAATATAAGGTGAAATATTATAATAAATCCAGATGTCTAAGTTATTATTATTATTTGAAAAAAAATAACATCAGAGAGCTAGGAAGGGATTTTTGCGTTTTTTCCTTTTACTATTGGAGATAAACCGAGAGATAAACGTATCAAACCGTATATTGTTGAAATTAGTTTAAACGGGACTAACAAATAAGCGCACAATATACAGGGTGTTCCATTTTAAAAAAATTTACTTCACACTGCTGCACTGACTTACTTAAAAAAATTTGACAATTTCTTGAAACTTTTGTATTTGACACTTCTGTCAAATGAAAAAGTTATCAGGGGGTGACATTTATGATAGATTACCCTGTACCCAATGGTCCATATGAGCTGCCTACATATTATACGGAGTGGAGGTACATGTCCACCAGGATAATATAGAAATAAATCAATACATAACTGCAAGATTTCTAAGTCTGCAATTCAATAGAAGTCTAGCACCATATTTTGGTCTTCAAAGGAAAAGCCTGCTCATAGTTTTTGGGAGCCAGATCTTGTCTTTCTAGAAAATTGGTATAAAATCAATTGATTTGAAGAACAAACTTGGTAAGTATCAAACGAAACGTTAATTACATCATAGCCTGAAAGTGCCAACCATCCTTCCAAGTTTTTGGACAATAATAATCGACGACCCAACATTTTGTTACTATCACGGAAGATGAAAAGTAGATTTTGTTGCGGAAGAATCATAAAAATGTATTTAATTAGACCAGCGTTCAAGAATGCCTCATTGACCTCATCAGTAGGTACAAGGATCATTGAAAAAACAAATAAAAATTAGATTTATTTTAATTTATGTACAGAAAAGTGCGTTAATGCATTAGGTATTTATATAATAAATTATTCAAATAAAAATAGTGAACGTTTAAATAATTGATTGTTATTATCACATATTAATACTTTTTTTTAATACTTTTGAATAAGGTTAATACCTAGTTATTATTAATGATTTACTAGTTTAATATAAAATAATTATGTACTTTGATTATCGAGAAATACTTATAAAACCGCTGATAAGGGCATCAATATTATGTCATGTTAAACTATAGACTACATTATCTATACACATACGACTGGAATTGAAAGGTACGGCCAAATATTTAATTAATGCTTTCAATACATAATGAAAAATTTACTTACCACATGATTGAATATATCAATCAGTCTATCCTTTGGTGATTTATTCTTCTTCTGCCGAATCAACAAATACAGAGTTTTCACTTCAGTGACGCGAAGTAATTTTTCAATAAGAATTTTTCCCAAAAAGCCACTTGCTCCAGAAATGAATACATTTTTATCTTTGAAAAGTTCACTTATTCTGTCGATTTCGCCCGGCATGATGAATTCTAAAAAGAAATCAAGTATTAAGGTACTTTTAATTTTTTATAAAATAATAATAAATTTCAAAGGTAATCTCTGATGAGCCCAAGAAACTAAAAGGAATAGTAACCTAGATTAAGGCAAGCCCTTGAAAAATTCAGCCCTGAAATCAGATGTAAAAACTCAGCCACATTGACTGCGTGACAAATGCTGAAGTGTCTGAGAACAGAGGGAACCATAGTTTCATCATTGCATGGACTCAATGGAATGGTATACTCAGACAAAGATGCAGCTTTCGTATACTTTTACTATGGAACAGGAAGGACCTCTAAATGATCATCCAGATGAACATGACAATCACGAAGACGAGCTTGATCAATCCGTAATAACGCATCATTTGATGCAATAATCACCGCAGCAGCACATGGAATCGACAAAACACCTTGCAGGTGGATTCACAACATGCTTAAATACGGGCGAGTTGAAGTCAACATATATGAAGACACTCTAGAAGCTGACGTTACTCAACGATGCCCCCCAAGGCGGCATTCTATCACAACTTCTATGGAACCTAGTGGTGGATGAGTTGCTCGTGCGTCTTAACTCTTAGGAATTCTACGCCCAAGGGTATGCAGACAATGTAGCGATAGTCGTTCAAGGATAACATCCCACAATCATAGCAGAAGTTATGCAAACAGCCCTGATAGCTGTACAACGCTGGTGCGAAGAAGTAAACATCATGGTCAATGCCAGAAAGACCGCGCTAGTACTTTTCACTAGACAAAGAATCAGGGGCGAATCCTGAATGAAAATAGTTGACGAAGTGAAAAACCTAGATCTAATCCTGTATGCTAAGTTAACATGGAACTCACATCTAGGGAGTAACCTCAACAAAGGAGAAATGTGTCTATAGTTAGATGCAGAAATCTGTTGGGCAAAACATGGGGTCCGATATTAAGGATCATGCTATGGCTGTATGTCACCGTTATCAGGCCCATAGTTGTATACGGAGCTGCAATATGGTGAACAAAAGCACAACAATTAACAACGATCAATAAACTGAACAGCCTTCAGAGACTGGCTGTGCATCACCGAGGCTGTGAGAAGCACACTAGGCTACTACGGCCACATAAGGGTTATCAATTTGATGGGCGATAACATAGTGGAAATGCCAACGGATCAAATGGTGGTAACCCATAACTTTGAAAAACCATTGAAAGTCATATGCGACCCAAGCATATGGCAGGCAGGAACGCCTCACATGATAAGAAGAGGCCTGGGGCCTTATTCTGTAAGGAACAACCGTTCGATTCGGTAGAATTTCTTCGATTGTGACTTCATTTTCGGTTTAGTTTTCGCTCGTTTTCGCGCTACCAAACCGAAAATGACGTCACAATCGAAAAAATTCTACCGAATCGAACGCTTCGTTCCTTACAGAATAAGGCTCCTGGTCTGGTATACAGACGACTCCAGAACAGCGCGTGGATGAACTGGCGCTGGTGTAGGTGTATGGAGAAAGACCAAGATCAGGACAAACCATCTCTTTGGAACGTAACGCCACAGTTTACCAGGCAGAAATTCATGCAATCCAAGCATGCACAGGATATGCTCAGGCTAGGTTATAACAACCAAAACTTAAGCATTCTCTAAGACAGTCAGGCTGCTAGCAAGTGTCTCTCTCACTCACTCAAGTCTCAAGGACTATAAATTCAGCCTTCAAAAGCTTTGAAGTCACATCGATTTACTTCGAAGATAACGATGAAATGTCTACACGACCTGGAAGCTCTGCCGACTGTCATTAAGGATAAAGCTCTTATGGGTTCCTGGAGATTCGGGGATAGAAGGCAAGAAAAAGGCTGACTAACTGGCCGGAGCGGGCGCAGCTGCACCCTAGACAAGACCTTGTTTTAGTTTTGTGTATGGATAGACTTATATAATGACTAAAATAATGCTGATCTAGTATTACATAGGGTGCCTTCAAGACTTTTTTAGGCTCGCAATGTTAGAAAAAAAAAATACCTTGATGCTGCTATACTTTTTGGTATTGCTCTTCCTGACTCGCACGCCTCATCATCCGGAGAACATTTGCTGCTGATTTTCCATTTCGCAAAAATAATTAAAAACGCCGTCTGAGTAAACAGATTTATTATAAGTAATGATATAAAAACTATGGTCAGCAAATATACAAATCTAATTGTGATTATACAGGGTGTCCCAATAGAAAGTGACCGATTTTAAATGCTTATAACTTTTAAACCAGGTGTGCTAGCTACCTGCGATTTGCGCCATTCGACTTTTCTTGGCCTAAAGTTTTTTTTCAGTTAGTTGCAAATTTTTTTCACACCTATACAGGGCAAGTAAAGAAAATGCCGTTTTTCAACATCGAAATTCTCCACTATTTTTAATGTAACACCCTGTATGTTGCAACGCCAAAATTAAGAGTCGTGACCAAGGTATTCATTTGCCAATAAACGTCGGCCTTTTTTGAACCTAAAAAAAATGCATTTATTTTTGGGACAGATTTCTATTTCAATTTTTTAGGGTTAAAACTTCAAGTTCCATGCCCGATGTTTATTGGTACATCAATACCTTGTACACGACTCTTAATTTTGCCGTTGCAACATACATGGTGTTTCAATAAAAGTAGTGGAGAATTTCGATGTTGAAAAACGGCATTTTTTTACTCGTCCTGTATAGGTGAAAAAAAATTTGCAACTAACTGAAAAAAACTTTAAGCCAAGAGAAGTTGAATGGTGCAAATCGCAGGTAGCTAGCACACCTGGGGGCGGATTACGAACTCTCGATTCGAACCGAAACCGCCATGGATTTCGAACGCACTCCATGCAAATGCATCAGAATGCGTTCGAAATCCATGGCGGTTTCGGTTCGAATCGAGAGTTCGTAATCCGCCCCCTGGTTTAGGAGTTATAAGCACTTACAATCGGTCACTTTCTATTGGGATAGCCTGTATTATTTCAATGAAAACGTCATTTTTGGCATTGATTTGAACGAGATTGTGTGGCCTCCTCTAGAATATTCTCATTTGCTTGATATGCTTATGGTAGCCAAATTGTAACGACTTCTTTGGAATATAGCTAGGCTTTTCCTTGCATTATTCTCAATCTTTCAGTTGATGCGTCCTTTGTAGGTGAGAACCATTTCTTCTGCGTTCATGAGATGGCGCCATGGCGCCTGTGGTTTTTCTCCAGTGTTCGAAATCCGGGTTCGTCTATCTATTTTATATGGACGATACTATCGAATCGTGGGTTCGGAATCCAGGCCCTGGACTGGCAGAACCCTTATTTGGGATATCGAAGTAAGCTATAAAGACGGCAGTTGAAAGTTGATCATCAACTTGGCCGTCCATACCTGGATCAAGACACTCGAAAGGGATAATTGGAAACCCCTCAAAGATCTAACTGCTGAAGTATTGTCACTAACGCGTATTCAGATAAGACGGGTGGTAGGACTACTAACATAGGTCACTATACAGCGTAACAACTCAGAACAGTAGAGCACATTACCAACGGACTACACTGGAGAAGAACCACAGGCGCCATCTTATGCACGCAGAAGAAATGGTTCTCATCTACAAAGGACGCATCAACTGAAAGATTGAGAATAAGAATAATGCAAGGAAAAGCCAAGCTATATTCCATAGGGAATAATCATATTTTTCAAAGTATTTTTTTTCTTATTGCTTATGTTTTCAAATATAAAATGTATATGTTTTTTTTTGTTTTATGTCCTCATTGAAATAAAAAAATTATTTTGAATTTCAAATTATTTTCGTTGGCGCGAAAACGATTAGCTTCAAGATGGTGGCATTTGTGACGTCAACTGTCTGTAAACACAACGTTAAGGTCTGTTCTCACAAGAGCCTTTGACACTTTGCAAACTGTCGGAAAGAATCGCTCAGCTTGAACCTGCGACTGCAATGAAACTTGAAAGCGGTTATTTATGAGGTATTTCCGTATTTAGTGCCATATTGTGACATCTTGTAATTCAAATAGTTCATCATGGTTGATACAGGATTTACAAAAGCGCAGTCTGACAATCTTCCCTTAATATACCCGTTTATGGTGGTTCGTGGCGTGACGTGAGCTGATCGTGGACCAATCGTTCCACGATTCAAGAGTGAACCACGAAAGTGTGGACCGTGGATTTACTATCAGTGTAAACTACCCTTAACCTCAAATTACGAACAGTTGACGTCACTGGAAGCGACCATGTTAAACGTAACTTTTCCGCGCGAAACTTTTCAATTTAAAACTAATAATTGCCATATGACTATAATATCCATAAATTTAATACAAAACTGCTCATATTCAATATTTTACACAAAAATGTGCACCATAAAACAAAATAAGCCATATTTATTTCTTATGAAAATTCCCTATTAGGCAAATGAGAATATTCTAGGTCCTTATTCTCGAAACTGGGGAGCAACTTTTTCATGAGAACAGAGGTTCTATCTTTGTCGCTCATATTCATATTTCCATAACACTGACAAAGACCAAACCTTCGTTCTCATGAGAACGCTGTTCCCCGGTTTCGAGAATAAGGTCTCAGTCAGAGGGTTAATTTAATTTTGACACTATCCCGTTTATATCAATGCCAAAAATGACGTTTTCATTGAACTAATATAATCACAATGAGATTTGTATATTTGCTGACCATAGTTCTTATATCATTACTTATAATAAATCTGTTTGCTCAGACGGCGTTTTTAATTCTTTTTGCAAAATGGAAAATCAGCAGCAAATGTTCTCCGGATGATGAGGCGTGCGAGTCAGGAAGAGCAATACCAAAAAGTTTAGCAGCATCAAGGTATTTCTTTTTCTAACATTGCGAGCCTGAAACAAGTCTTGAAGGCACCCTATGTAATACTAGATCAGCATTATTTTAGTCATTATATAAGTTTATCCATACACAAAACCTAATAATTCTTTTTTAGAGACTGTCGATAAAACTAAGGCTTACCACTAGTGGAATTTTAGAGAAGAGTACCCATTGCAATGTAATAATCTTATTGTATTTATTAAACTACCATTTCTTTTAATTTTAAATCAACTTTTCCTTTTGGTTGCTACATAGCATCCCAAGTAAGTAAAAAAACAACTATTGCAATTAAATACCATAAACGCCTCTTACTAAGTTTGAATGTTTATTGTAACCTGCCATGATGGTATAGGTACCTGAAGATATTGTAATAATTTAAGATAAAGTAGGTAAAGAATTGCCTATACCTATAGGAGGCAATGTAATTAGATATCATAATTTATTTTCTACAGATTATGGAAATACATACATAAACCTTTAGCCTAAGTGTTATTAAGACTTTCACTTTTGGATGAAAATATGTGGATAGTACAGAGACTGTCCTAGATTGAGCTACAATTTTTTTTTTTAGGTGAACAATAATTCTTGATAGCAGCAACTATATTTATAATTTTGCTATATAGATAGCTGGTATCTGTGTTACATCGCAAACCTTATGGAAAGTTTATACTTAACTGTGTAAAATCAAATGTGACCAACTGTTTCCTCAATTAGTAACTTACAGTTTTTTTATATTAAATAATGTTGCATTCCATTCGTTGAGTAATAAATTCTCTTACTTTACCGACCAAGTGTAACTAACGAATTTTTTCGCGGTAAACTTGTTAACCGATAGGTACTCAATATATATTTTCTTTATTTACTAAGATAGTAGGTAGGTATATGACAGCGATTTTTTCTCATATTTTTCTGTAGACGACAATCAATACAAATTTTTATTATTCCAAAATAACACTATTTATCATCTCTAATTTGTGTAATTCCCTATTCTCTGAGGAGAAAGTATAGAAAACGAATGAACAGTAAAAAGATAGGTGAAGACAAGACAATATTCGAAATCGAAATATTTGAAATTTGGACCACAAAAAAGCTAACATTCGAATGTCTTGTCTACACTTTCCTCAAAACTTTCAGACCATTTTGAGAATTTTTCCAAAAGGGCTAAAATACCAAGCCCTGAAAATATATTAGTAACTGCTTAAATATTCAGCTTGTTCTATAATAATCTAATACAAATTGTAAAAGATTAGAAGAGCCACAAAATTTGCTACTTAGAAGGTTGCCGGCATAACTTAATCTTTCAAAAGTTTGAACACATTAAGTTTTCCAGAGGCTTATTTTAGGGCTTGATTCAAAATGACATGAAAGAGTCGAGGAAAAAAAAACAATAATAAATGAATACAATTACAAACCTACCAAAATAAATCACCTATAAAAACCCAAACAAAAAGTATCACTCTCATCAAACCGTATTGGAGCGTTAACAACCGCAAACTAAAGAACTATCGCCTAGACTTTCATTGAAGAAATATCGGGTTCTAATAATGCTCAATATAGAAAGACGACAAACTAGTTAACTAGTTGTACTTGATCCGTAGTGCACCATCATCATGAATCGATTTTAATGGTAGGTAAGTGTTGGTCCATAAATTTTCAATTAGGTATTTAGTGTCTATCGCGTTATTGCATTCACATTAAACTAATAAAGGGCCTTCTAGCCTAAATTGGAAATTACTGTTTTTATACAGGACCGAGATAATTCTTGTAGTTAGGTACCAGGTACCTACATTTTTAATTTCCCTGAAAAGCTTTCAAATGTTATCGCAGATATATTTTCTAATATCTATCTTATTGATTGCAATAATTATTACATCAATTAATATATTTCTTCACGATTAGCACCCAATTATCATTGACCGGTCGGTGGCAATTTTGTAAAAGTGGAACCCGTTTGAACTCGAGTTTAAATACGGAAAATTCATCGTTTACCCAATTGGCAATTATCGTTAAGAAAACGTATCTTAGCTTCAATTGGCTTTGAAGATATTCATTTAAGAATTTTTTTCTTTGACTGAGTGACTTGATTTAACTTTTAATGAAATCATACCTTTATTTTTTTCAAATATTTATATGTACCTACACGGTTGTTCCGTATATTTAGACACCATATAGCTCGCTTAATGCTTGTGAAGCAATATAGAAAAAAAATGTTAATTATAAATGCACGCAAAAAATGTACGCGGCAGACACAACTTGTATTTTTTTAAATGGAACACCCTGTATATTTTTGGCTAAAATGAAAGATTTTTTCTGCTGATTCCAAATATACCATATATGTTGATATGTATTTGGTTCAGCTGTTTTTGCGCTATTTAAGTTTAAAATTACATTAAGTATGCCTCACCATTGACATAAGGAACCGGGGACAGACCTAATTTAGGATAGTGTAAATGCATTTTTAAACTTAACTAGCGTTAAAACAGCTGAACCAAATATCAACATATATGGTACATATATTTGGAATCAGAAGAAAAAAATCTATCATTCTAGCCAAAAATATACAGGGAGCTACATTTAAATAATACAAGTTGTGTCTGCCACATCTTTTGCGTGCATCTTGTATACATTGTGTCCAAAATAAGGAAGGCCTGTATGGAGATCTGGGAAACAGTAAGAGATACGAGGTCGCTTCAATTGGAAAACAGCTGCGCAATTTTGTGCTCATAGAAATGGCGGTCTGATATTTTTAAAATTCCGAGTGCTACGGGGGAGATATCCGGAATAAACCGAAATTCGCCCAAAATGATTTTATTTCTTTCTGAGCTTATTTTAAGAGATATTTCAAAATAAATGGGACTTCATTGTTGCCACTTTTTCTCCTCTACATGATGCCGCCATGAATATTAAAATCTGACGTTTCGTCTTCTGGCCACCTACAACTTTATTTTTTTAAAAACGAACCTGGATTTCTTATTCCATATTTTAAGAGCTTCTGATGTCCCAAAGCCAATGACATATTGCACTTATTCGAAAAAATTATATTATTGGCACTTTCCATAAGAACTAAATGTGTTAGAGAGAGACAGAGAAGAGAATTTTAATAGGAAATTACTGAAAAGTAAAAAAATATATTTTTTTCAAATAAATGCGGTACGTCATAGGTTTTGGGACATTAGAAGCTCTTAAAATCTGGAATAAAAAATCCAGGGTCGTATTTTAAAAAAAAACAAGTTGATGATGGTGGCCCAAAGAAGAAACGTCAAATTTTAAATTTGATGGTGGCATCTTGTAGAGAAGAAAAAGTAGCAACGATGAAGTGCCATTTATTTTGAAATATCTCTTCAAATAAGGTCAGGAATAAATAAAATCATTTTGGGCAAATTTCGGTTTATTCCGAATATCTCCGTTAGCATCCGGAATTTTTGTAATATCAAAACGCCATTTTAATGAGCACAAAATTGCGCATCTTTTTTCTAATCTAAGCGACCTCGTATCTCTTACGGTTTCCCAGATCCCCATACTGGCCCTCCTTATCTGGGACACATTGTATATAAAAGTTATATTTTCTAGCGGTTCTCGTAAATCCCTATTCACTTTATTTCTTCTTCTTCTTCTTCTTCTTCTTCTTCTTCTTCTTCTTCTTCTTCTTCTCAGTTTCTTATGGCCCCTTGTCGTCTCGCAACAGTCAGCCAGAATTCCAACAATTGTATCCTCAAGACAGCAGGATTCCACTTTTTTGGCGGATACTTTAGTTTTCAAAATAGGATCAGATGGGTAATTTTAGCTGTGGCGTCTTCAGCTGGAAAATTGGAGCGCCAGGAAAATGGGACATTCGTTGAGTACCTTAGTAGAAAACATTTTTCTATTAGTTTTCAATTTCAATTACGTATTACGCCTAAAGTCCAAAAAATACCATTTTAAAGTCACGTGATTTTTCTCTATCCTTGTTGAATACATCTCTAACAGCGGTGATAGTAAAATTGACAAAAAAATTGGTGTCTAATTCTTGTTCATAAAATTCTTACCTGAAATAGAATCCATCACTGTCATCAATTAGTTTGTCAAAGTTATTTTCGATAATGATACAACGAACAAACACAGCTAATAATTTTGACTATATTAACCTTTTTCCAACTCGAAAAGAAGCAAATAGAAAACGGGTACCCAATTCAAGTTCAGAATGTATTACAAAGGGGCAGCAGAAACGACAAAAGTGAGTCTCGCAACAATTGCAAGTATTAAAATTCCCATCTGATTGGTCAATACTACTTCAGAAACGCGTTTGTAAAATGCTAGTGGGAACATATCTTAAAATTCAATAGTAATTAACCACCAGTAGCTTTTTGTAGGCGATATCAACGAAATAATCAATGAATATACGTTTTTTTCCACCAATATCACGTGACTCTAAAATGGTATTTGTCGGACTTTATCATGCAATTCAAAGCTCAATTCGCAAAAATGAACAAAGACTAAAAGCGTGCACATCACCAAAAGCGTCAAACATCCACCGCATCTGTTTAAATACTTATATCGGGTCTTCAAAAAAAAAGCCAATCAAAGATTGCTATGGTTTTTTGAACGTATGTTTTAGCAATATTTTTCGTTAATTTTGTCAATGAATTTTAATGTCAAAATGACATGTCAAAAATCCGATCCATAAAGAAACAATAATGCGACGTACGTTTTCGTAACCAAAGCAATCTTTGATTGGTTTTTTTTTGAAGACCCGATATGATGCTTCTTAATAAAATCCATCACCACAGCAGCCTCCCTACTAGGATTCGCCAAAATTTCTTCCATCTGAATCGGACTCTCCTTTATTCCAATTGAACTTGTATACAGCCTGTCTGTCAGATCTCTGTTAAGCTCACAGTTCAATAGTACGTGATTCAGATCATCCACTTCTCCACATTTACAATTCTCACTGTCCTGCATACCAAGTTTATGAAGGTGTTTTGGTATGGGGCAATGTGCCGTTCTCATTCTGCAAAAAACACTAGCTTTATGTCTATCTATTTTCTCCATTTTACTGAACCATGGTATTCATAGAGGCTCCTTCACTAATTTGTGATACTGGTTCCAATAATTTCTGCCCTTATTGGAATATTCCACAGCCCATTCCCCCCATGTTTCTTCCTTAGTTATTCTGGCCATATCCTCATAGTGTAATGTTTTATTTACAAAGACGTTAGGCCTTCGGCCCCTTCCTGCAAGGACATCTGCCTTATCACTTCCTGTTATGCCTGAGTGACTAGGCACCCATATCATTTTAATTTCCAGACCCCCATCCTGCATTTCTAGAATTTTTTTCCTAGTTCTTAACGTGCTTCTATCTGAGGCTCTATGAATACCAGCTCTGACTATTTTCTCGATGGCACTCTTGGAATCCGATATCAGGACAACCTTTCTTTTATCATTCTCCAAGATATTCAATGCTGCATAGATGGCCAGCACCTCTGCTGAGCAAATATTAGTTGAATCCTGACATTTTCCTATTATTGAAAATTTATTTGTGTTATTGAAAACTCCAATTCCGCACTGTGCTGTTATAGGGTCCAAAGATACATCTTTGTAGATATGTTGATAATCTATATATTCCTCCAAAATTTCCTGCAGTTTTACTTGAGCATTTAGGCTATCCTTTTGTATTTTCGAATCAACCCATTCTATTTTTCGCATTTGAGCTTTCATATCTTCTTCATAACATGGCAGATTATCCGATTTTTCTAATATTTCTATATGGGCAAGCACAAAATCCGTTCCCCCCATAATCGCCAGAGCGCCCTTGGCCCGCTAATAAGGAGGGTCCTGGTTGTATAACGCATAGAAGTTGATTATCTTCTTGTTAACCTCATCCCCTTTTAAAGCCATTTTCCTGAGCATCAATCTTGTACTAAGAAGATTTCTTCGTTTAGCCAGTGGTATTTAAGCCGCTTCGGATAACAGCGCCATTATGGGTGTACTCTTCATACAGCCAGTCACCCCTCTCAGAGCTTGGTATTGGATGCGATCCAATCTGTTCATATTTATCTTACTCATGTGATATGGCTTGACATCCATAATCAAAGTGGGATCTAACTAGTCCTTTATATATATTCAGCAAAATATTCGGGTCTGCGCCCCACCATGTTCCTTGTGATTGCTCTCATAATATTGATACCTTTTTGCGCCTTATCCAGTCAATCTATCCATCGCAGTTTGCACCTTCCTAATTCCTTCTTTCACCTTTTTCCCAGTCGCAAACAAACCAATGTCGTCCGCATACTGAAGTGTACTTACTCCGCCTGAGACTACTTCCTGAATCTGATTGGTGTATATGTTGAAAAGCAAAGGGCTCAAGGGGACCCCTGTGGTAGCCCCATATTAGCTTTTTGAGGCCCTATTAAGTTACCATCAATCGGCTCCCTTATATATATGTACATATTCCTATCTGAGTAGAGATTGTAGGTAAATGTAATCACAAATCCATTCATTGACTTTGGCCTCTTTCAACTTGGCTGCATGGATATCTATAAAGGAACATACTACCACGCTGTATATATGGCAGTGGTCAAAATGACCAGATTGTCAGTGGTTCCTTTGCCTTTTCTAAACTCATTCTGGAAAGCACTGAAGTAGTTTTTTCTTTGCAGGAAATGATCTAATCGCGTCTTGAGAATGTTTTCCATTACTTTGCCCAAACAGGAAGTCATAACAATTGGTCTATAGGATTTGTAGTCTTCAGGAGGTTTATTGATCGGAATCACAATTTGATTTCTCCAATCCTGCGGAATATCTGCTTCCTGTTTCAAGATCTTGTTAAGGAATTGCAACAGTGATTCTCTCATAAAAGGTGGTATTCTTGACAACATCGGATAGGTAATTCCATCGCATCCTGGAGTGGTGTCCTTTTTTGTTTGAAGAGCGATCTCTAACTCTTCTTCTCCTATTTCAAAGCAATCTCCTTCCTTCCGCCTATTCGCCGCCAATTCAGGGTTATTACCGACAAACGGAGGAGCCAGTATGTCTAATAGATCACTAACCCAGTCTATCTTGTCTATGTGTTTGTCTTCATCTACTATATTGTTTGAAATTTTTTTAATAAACCTCCAGACATATCAAATTGATGATCCTCTACTTAATGTTTCTGTGAACCTCCTAAAACCATCTTTCTTTTTTTTTTCTTTAGGATACGCCTCGGGATACGCCTTGTCCTGGCAACAAGTTGCTTATATTTCAGAAAATTGTCTAAAGTCATGCTCCTTAGGTAATTTCCCATAGCCTCTTGTTTTTCCTCTGTTAATTTGTTACAGTCTTCATCCCACCAGTTTGGCTTTGGAGTATACCTATTTATTTTTACTTGATCCTAAAACTCTTGGGATAGCTTCCCCAGCAGAGTTATCTATTTTGTCTATGGATGCTTGATAATTCTCAATTCTCAGAAAATAAGTTTAAAAAATTGTATAAATACAACCTGAACCTAGGCCCACTCAGTAGTTTTAATTAAGATACAGCATACAGCACTCTTTCCGGAATGAGAAGTGATGATATTTTGCGAAAATGAATTTTTGCAAGAGTTGAAGGTTATTGAATGATCATCAAAAAAATTCCATTATTATTATTTTTATGTTGTAGCAATAATTAAGAATGGCATAATTATGCAAAAAGCAAAAAAACAACACCACTTGATGGTTTGGTTAGGCTTTTTCGAAATAATTTAGAATCAAATTTGCATTTTATATAACAAGTTTAGTAGGTACCTAACCGTTTTTTTTTCAGCTTTTTTATAGGTAACCTCCAGACATCATATAAATAAAATTGTGGCAATCTAAATTTATATTTTTGTTGTTCTTTTTCTAAATTTAATATTGAAACTTTTGGTAGCTTTCTTACACTTCAGGGCTGGGATTCTATAACGAATAGAGACATTTTCGCTATCTCTATTGACGTTTCCTCTCTATTGATTTCGAAAAGAAAGAAGAAGACGGTGCCCTAGCGATAGAGATAACGATCCCTATCCGTTACAGAATCCAGCCTCAGCACCTTTTCAACAATAATGTATACTCATACTCCCACATAACAAAATTGCATCCTTAGAACGTATAAAGAATGTTCTTTTTTTAGGAGGAATGTGCCTAGTATGTTCGCCAAAACCATTGCGAATGTCCTGAGAATGTTCTGAGAAAAGATTGTAGAAATACTGTTTGCAATACCCAAGAACTTCCTGGGAAATCCATTAGGATATTCCTAGAATATACCTATGAGATTCTCAGTACATCCTGAAAAGAATATTCCTGTTTGATTCTAAAAATATGCTCGAAATGTATATTCTCACATTCAAAGAATGTTTCTATGACATTATAGTTATGTTCTCAAAAGAATATTATACCAATATGCTTGAAATATTCTTAGAATATATCTACATATATCATTCTCAATATGCATCCTAGACATAATATTCTTGTTTGATTCTAAGGATATACTTGGAATGTTAATTTTCGCATCCAAATAATGCTCGTTTCAGCCCTTTTATATTAAAGGCAGTGAAAGATTTGTTGTTGGAAAACTTCTCTAGAAAACACAAGTATTTAACCAAAGCTCCGGTTTCGAGCTTGTTATGCTCTCGTCGAAGCACGCCAACTGAGAGAAACAGGTTTCAAGGTGATTCAAATGCGAGGCAAGATGTAGATCTTTAATAGCGTGTGGCTCCCTCTCTTGGAAGTCATACAAAGCAAAAGAAAAAGAATATACCTATCATATTCTTAGTAGGTTCTAAATAGAGCATTATTATTTAATTGTACAATAAAGATTTTTGAGTAGGTACTTTAGATAATTAGGTGAACAATATGAAAATATTCTTATCATGGTTACCTACCTACATAAACTTCTATATTTCTTAATACTTGATAGAGATATTAGCTTAAAGAACATTTTTTAGGGTACATTATAATAATGTTCGTATGAGAATATTCAAATAATGTTATATAAAGTAGGTTCTTAGCACAATCTTTCAGGTAGGTGCATAGAAGCAACATTCCTAGTACATAAATAGAACGTTCAAAAATTAATATTTCAATCGAAACAATCTTAGAATATTCATTAAACATTCCTAAAAGAACATTCCAAAAAGCACTTTGAGGGAATATTCTGAGAATATGAATGTTCTTTCACTGTTATGTGGGACTTAAGGATAAAGGCTTCTCTTTCTCTTCTTAGTCTGTTCAATTTTGTCATAGCCTTTGCGAAAACCTGTCTGTATTGGAAAATTGGAAACTGACAAAGTTGTTGGATAGTCTATTGGTAATGATTTTTGTGAAACTTGATGGAAACCTAGATCAAATATATTCAATGTATTGGCTTTTTCATTGAAAACAATAAGTTCTCATTGGGAACCGTTTCATTTTGAATTTTGATGGAAACTATTGAAAATAATATTCTGTGGATCTCATCCTCCCATCTTTCTAGAAAATTGACGATTCTATAACTGTGGTATACCTTATTGTTGCATCTATGGCTTCCAACTTTTCCAATTTTCCTACTTCGAGTTATTTTTCTCTTCCATAATAGGTGTTCTTTTTTCCAGACATAGTTTATTTAGGCCTACAAATTTAAATAAAATCAATTAAACAAGTAATTTTTATTTCTAAAAATAACATGATAATAAATAAAATGTCTAGTAATAATAATATTTGCAACACATTATCACATATTGATCATTGCCATTCGCCATTTGTTCCTAAAGGTAAACTCGCTTTAATAAATACATAAATGGGGGTAATTAACTTTTAACTTTGTCCTATTTTTTTTTTTAATTTTTGGTACCTATAATTTTTGTTTGCAACTAAGTAGGTACATACGTTAATTATTATTTTTACTGATGCAAGATATTGCTCAATATGCAAAATTGATAGTAATCATTAATTAAAGTGTTTTTTTTGCGTGTTTACATTATTTATTTGATAATTTTGAAATTGAAATTAATGATATTGAATTATTTGCACCTTTAAAAAAAAGGCGCAAATAATACTTTTTTTTTTAAAGGATTTTGAATCCGGTACCTTCACTGCTATACATGCTTCAATTTACATGTATATTTATTATCAATAAATACTTAAACAGGATCAAAATCGCAATATTTCAAATAACAAAAACAAAAATTAAATACCAATGCAGATTTTTTACTAACATGGATAACTTTGACGCATTTGGTTCTAAGGCTGGATATTCATTATATTTCAGAAAGATTGCAGCCTAGCCTTGTACTTCATATTTCAAGTGTAAACCTTGTCTTAGTATCACAATCAATTACGAATTATCTCGTATTATCCACAAACACTGATATGCCAGAGCGTCTTAAATCAAAGCAGTTCTAATTGGTATTGCAGCCAACACTAATAATTAAGAATGGAAGCTTTAAGGTTTACAGGTTCTACCCAAGTTTTAGAATACCTGGAAGTTCCAGTACCCAAAATTACATTACCCGATCAGGTGCTGATTAAAGTTGCTTTCGCTGGAGTATGTGGTACTGATCTTCATATAATCGCGGTAAGTATATAAATAATGTCTCCAATGTTAGGTAGATAACTTATTAGGATATCCTACTGAAACTCGAATAACGTTAAAAATTTATCAGAGGTTCGATAATAATTATGTAAAAATATAACAATTTCTTTTTGTCTGGAACAAGATAAAATTTGTATGTAATGCCATTATGAATAAAAATTTGATAATTTCCAGGGTGAATTTCCATTCTCTAATAAAGGAACTAAAATTTTGGGACATGAATTTTCCGGAACCGTAGTCGATGTAGGTTCTTCAGTGAAAAACATCCAAAAGGGAGATAGAGTTGCAGTAGATCCCAACGAGTTAGTTAATTTAGCTTCAGTATACTTTCCAGATTTGATTGAAACGTCAATTTTTTAGAGGTTGCAGATGTTGTGACTTTTGCCACTCTGGCAATCCTCACTATTGTAACATAGGAGGTATCCAAAACACCGTTGGAATTCATAGAGATGGAGGTTGGGCCACATATGCCATGGTACCCACAAATCTTGTCCAGAAATTACCAAATTCGATTACATTGGAACAAGGTTAATTGTTCTCATTCTACTAAAGATATATACTCATGAATAGTTAATATTTTTAGCTGCTCTAGCTGAGCCACTTGCTTGTTTATCCCATGGATGGGATATGTTGTCTCCAGTACCTGTAGGTTCTAGGATTCTTATAACTGGAGCAGGAATTATTGGAAACCTTTGGGTTTCGCTGCTCCATTTACAAGGTCATAAAAATGTTACTGTTTCAGAGCCTAATGTGACTAGACTTAATTTCGTCAAAAAATTAGGTAAGGTTACTTTAGTAGGAAACTGATAATTTAATACATATTGCCTTTAGACACTGGATATAATCTAATCACTCCGGACCAATTAACCAAGAATAGAGCAACCGATCCAAATTATGCTTTTGAAGTAGTGATCGATTGTAGCGGATTTTGTCCGGCGATCCAGCAGGGCTTAAGCCTCTTAACTAAGGGTGGCAAACTTTGTTGTTTTGGAATACCTCCTCCAGATCAAACAATCACGTAAGTATAAGGATTAATCTATCTAATTTAAGCTGTTATTTTTTAAAACAAAGAATCGAGTGGAAGCTTTTGCATGTTTTTTTTTATCATTTAAAAGGTGTAACTGTAAGCCATTTTATTAAAATTACCTGTTCATGTAAATTAGGTGTACCAAACAGGTAATTTTATTCAAATTAATAAAGCTTGAACCTAAATATTTCGCAAACGTTTAAACCAAACATTAAGATTATGTAAGTTCGTAGTTTTGAAATGAGGACAGAAAAAAATTCTTCTATCCTAGCAGAAAATGTAGGTATATAGGGTTTCATGCAAAAAAATCAAAGTTGTACGTTGTGTCTGATAACCCTGAAAGGTGACACACCGAAATAAAATCCCTACAACTTTTTACCTTCTATCATTGTTATTAAAAATAAAAGCCTCTAGACGAGGGCAAAATATAATTGGTCTGTGGCTGTGGACATCGGATTGTGAATAGGATATACCTGATACTTATACAACTCACTGTACATTATTCCCATATGACACGAGAGGCTTAATAAGTGATAAGCCTTTTGGGATTATCGCGCTTGGTGGTATTTATAACAAAATCTATTATAGAAATTTTTTTAAATTTCAAATTATTAAAGTTTAGTTCGTTGTGTAACCTTTTGAATACCACTCGATGTTTCAGGATTACCTAATACTTTTACCTGACACTCAACGCGTTACCAGCAACACCACTCCTCCTTCGGAGTCGTGGTGTTGCTGCGTAACGCGTTTCGTGGCAGGTAAAAGTATTATCCGGTAATCCTGAAATCTCTTGTGGTATTACATTTGATTATACAACTCACTGTACATTATTCCCATATGACACGAGAGACGAGAGGCTTAAAAAGTGATAAGCCTTTTGGGATTATCGCGCTTGGTGGCATTAATAGCAAATTCTATTAAGTATAGAAATATTTTTCAATTTCAAAGTATTAAAGTTTAGTCCGTTGTATAACCTTTCGAATACCACTCGCTGTTTCAGGATTACCTAATACTTTTACCTGACACTCAACGCGTTACCAGCAACACCACTCCTCCTTCGGAGTCGTGGTGTTGCTGCGTAACGCGTTTTGTGACAGGTAAAAGTATTATCCGGTAATCCTGAAACCTCTTGTAGGTATTACATTCGACAACTTACCTATTTAATTTGTTTTAGTGTTGCTCCATTTGATCTTTATGCCAGAGAAATTACCATTTTTGCAGTGAACGTTAATCCGTTTAGTATGGTTAAGTCAATTGGATTTATTGAAGCCATGGGATCAAGATATATCGCATACGAGAAATTAGGAATTCAGGTGTTTGAACTCAAAGACTACCGAAAGGCTTTAGACCTACTCAAGAGTGGAAGTATTGCTAAGGCTATGTTTAAGTTGTAAAATTTGCTGTAAATAAATGGAATTTTTGTAGAACACACTTTATGTATGTTTCTATTATCGGCCAAAATAATAATTTGGATCAGCAGTTTGTCAAGAATACAAATTTAAGCTGTTGCTATACGCAAGAGATGTCGCTACAAATGTTTCAACAATTAGCAATTGATAATAATTATACAATTGTCATACTGTAGAAAATCTGGCCTTTTTAAACAATGATTCCTGATGACAGAAGGAACTCATTTTCGTTTACTTATATTTTCGTAAAATAGCAGAATAGGTAACTTACTGATTTGTGAAAAACTGGCGTATCATATTGCCACGACAGAAAAAAAGAAAATATACTTTATTATCCAGATACAAGATCAATTGACAAAACATGCTAACTCTAAAAACTAACATTAACTTGACACACAAATTTGAAAATAAAAAAGTACAGATGCGGTGAAACCATAGACTTGGTAAAACAATTAGGTAGGTAGGTACATAAAACTATAAACAATTTAAATTATAGACTAAAGCCAAAATATGTTACATTTACACAGATAGTGCGGTTAATCGAATCCTGCATGTCCTTAATTGCCTCAGGGCCCAAGTAGATTATTGTATACCCTTCCCGCTTCCGCTCTTATGAACAAGTGAGCGCCTTGTATTTCATCATTACGAAATTTGTAGACCAAAACCAGAAGTACAGACACGTTAGAGTTAAGACTCTCTCTGAAACAAATAATGGCTTGCACGGTTCCCTCAAACTGTATTCACACGCGTACCTCAGATCCTTTTTCTGCAAGATGAGAACAGCATTCACCGGTGATTTAGTCGTGAGCCATACCGCAAATAGTGACTCCACAAGTGCAAAATAAACCGCCCGCGCAACAGAATTACCCAGCTTGCGCTTAGCCAGCCTTATGGCGTAACACCCAGATCATAGAGGTTATGACAGACATGAGAATGTGTGCCTTGAATAGAAGATTCTCGTCACTAGGCAGACCCATCAAGAAACGGCACTCATCTTGCAGAAAATAATCATTCTTGAGATAGAGGTTCTCCACACCGCACCTAAATCCTAGGATACTATTCTTGCTAACATTGAATACTACAGCCTGTTACTACCGATCCGTTTTTGCGAGAAAACGGTAATAGGGGAAGGTGTTTTGCTGTCATAAAGTGACGTCATCGTTCTATAACACGGTTATTGTTTTTGATACCCAAGTCGAGAGTTGAGTAACTGAAAAATTCTAACCTTAGATTCACTTTGTGATTGTTTTGATGTGTAAAAGTGAGTTTTTTCTGAGATTTTTTTGTTATTGGAGGATATCAAAAAATGGCAGATCTTGCATTATGGTCTATAAGCTGTCTCTCATGATTTTCTCGCAATATACATTTCAAGGGACTACTATACTTGGCTCGATAAGACTTAGAAATTAGAATATACAGGGGTGTTTTCAAACATAATATCGTCAATTAGTAATAAAAGACTGAATAAATGACTTCATTTTCTTTATATTTATCACAAAATATAAACTAACCTCTCTTTACTGTAAATTTTTTATAACCGTTCCCTTTTAACGAAAAACGGTTTTATCCTAGAAATCTGCCAATGGTAGGGATATATTTTTGAAGTGGGAGTGTTACCGTGTATAACCGCACCGGTTATAAACGGTTGTTACTGGGATCTCGCTAAAAAATGCCTTATGTGTTTTGTGTGTAATAGTACTTTTACCAAGATTTTTACTGTGTGAAACTTTTCCTGGTTTGTGCCCCTTTACAATTCTCTATATGTTTGTAGGATACCTACCTATTTCTGTATATTTTTTTAGGTTGGAATTTTTCTTCACTTTTCCTTCATTTTTTTTGTTATTTTATGTACTGTTGTTTAAGGTTAAGTTTAAGAGTATGTTATATTTGATCTTGTGTTAATTTTTTTCAGTTTTTCAGTGTAATTGTTAAGGTATTTATTAAGTATAAAAATTGTAACTTGAAAATACAATACATATCTATTTATATGGTTTTATTTTTCACTATAAAGATACACATAAATACATATTTATGTACCTTTATGTATAAGGTTTTCTCCTATATTTTTGCAACCTATCTGAACAGGTTAATTGAATAGGTATCAAAAAGGTGAAAATACAACATTTGTATTCATATCTTTTTGATAGGTACCTATTCAATCAACCAGTTCTGCAAAAATATATGGGAAAACCCTGTACGTCCCAAACACATTCTCCTCCCACAATATTCAAGTTGTATAAGTCAGCATGATTGAGTGATTGACATTCAAATCACCAACTAGAATAATCTATGGAGCAATAGAGGCAATTGCGATAACAGCGCATCCAGGCTCTGGCGATGAAGATGGCGATTTTCACTAGATACAAACATCAACCATGAAACCACTAAAACTCTGAGGCGAGGAGACCAAAAACTGCAGCTCAGTAAAAAGATTATACTTTTGGATACCAAGCTGATCTGAAATCAGCACGTGATACATCGAAACAGGAAAATGTATACGGTCTTATGGGCCTGCTGTACAACCCAGAGTGACCCTATGGATCTACAATTTACGTGATACGTAGAAAAATTCATAACAAGACTACAAAAATCTACAGAGTGGTTTCAGGAGTCATGATGACTGCACCAGCCGATGCACTCAGAGGCCTACCATTGGGACCTGAAGGAGAAATTTACTAAAACCACAGCCTACAGTCTCAAAAATCAGGAAGATTGATGAGGAACAGGTGGATAAACTTCACTGAATTTCCTCTATGAACAACCAACCTTTCAGTTCCAGAGCTTGATACTCGGACATCTGGCATGCCATATTAACAATACAGAATCAAATATGTGGTCACTGGTCAATAACTGGACCAAACTTAAAACACTCCTTATCAATGGGTGAAACGCCCACAATATTTCAAGCCGAGGTACTGGCCATACAGATTTGTCATCTGTGCCTAAGAGAGCCTTAAAAAAGGCCTTTTAAGAGAGCACATTCACATACTGTCATTATTGTCCGACAGTCAAGCGGCTCTAAAGGCTCTGGGACCCATCAACTGAAATTCGCAGCTAGTTTGGGAGGGTATAAATATCATTACTTAAGCAACTGGATGGGAGGAGCAAAACTAACACTGATGTGAATGCCAGAACACCAGGGCATAGACGGCAACGCGGAGGCAGACCACCTCGCAAAGCAAGGCGCTAACATCTTATTTTCAAGGCCCGGAGCCTTTTTGTGGACTAATGAAAAGCCACGTCTCCGAAAAAATGAACAGATGGGAAAAGGACCAAACGCTGACTCGATCATTGGAGATCCTTGATCCATTCCAGGTAAAAAGGTTCATATCCAGCTCAGCGAAAAGATCTAAACAACTTCTTGACATGAAGAACAGACAGACAGACGGAGATGAAATATCACCTACAAACATTATACAAATCATACAACGACCACTGTAGATCTTGCAAACAAGCCAAAGAAACTAGAGAACATTTATTTAATCTGTGAATACCCTGCTCATTTCTGCAAAAGGCTGAAATACCTTGAAGGGGTACGGCTTATACCCACTGGGAGAATCTAAGGGAGAATACTACAAATCTTGGATACCTATCAATTAAAAGCAGATGAGTAAGAGTAACCGCACAAAATATCTGGAAAGGTAGCAGTACTTGAGCGGCTGGAACAAGCTGTAAAGCCTCCAAATGCAATCTACATTAAAGTAAGTAACTCCTTAATTAGAACATTCACATGACCCACTCACGAACCGTGTAATTTTCTTCAATACCTATTCTTGTACTATTATTGATGATTTCGGATGCCTATAGTTAGGTACCTATATAAGTACATAGGTACTTTTAGAATTATCAAGCTCCTTAGGTTGTTTAATTCACTAAAAAATTCTCTGAATAAACGAAAGGGCAAATAAAAATAAAAAAATAAAAGTTCAACTTTTTTTATTTATAAATAAATCAAAATAGAAATAACTTATTTCAATAGTACAAATCGATGTTTAAATTATACAGTACGTTTCCTATTTATAATAAATTAAGTAGAAAAAAACCTAAATTTAAAAATACCCTACATGTACGTACAAACAATCGGAAGGTTTGTTGGAGATGTAACAATCAATGTGATTATACCGGATTTATTGTTTTAGTTTAATAGAAAGGGTAGGTACCTACTTAATAATTTTTAGCTTTTCAATGTTGAACAAGATCGGCATGAAATAGCTGTCAGGGTCCAAGAAAACATCTCCAGAGTACCTTCCCACCTACCTAATCAGAGTTTAAATATTGAGATAGATACTTTATTACAATAAAATTGTAGGGAGGTACTTACATTACCCTCAGTAAACAAAAACAATAAATTTGCTTAAAAGTCAGTCTTAATTTTTTTCCCTAAAATAATGTTTATATTAATGTGATTATTCTAATAAGACTTTAAGATCTAGTTCTTAAGAAATAAATAGCTTACACAAAGAAGAGAGCAAACATTGTCAATTTTCAGATTTATGTAAAAAGAAAAAGTACGTTTCAGACGTTTTTACTTCTTTAAGTAGGTATGCCATATTGACAAAAAAGTGTGGAAATAGTGCGTTCCAATTACAGGAATAGGAAAAAGATGGATTTACAATGAGGTTCAAAAAACTCATCCAAAATAGTAGGTAAAAATAGAATCCACTTACATAATAATTAATTATAAATTTCCTTTGATACTTTGTACCCGAAAAAGTACCCAAAGTACGCAATAATAATTTGCTTTTGGTAAAATTCCGTTTTTGTAGGAAAATTTAAATACGCTAAATAATATAATTACTTCACAAGAAATACTATTAAGTGCTAGTAACAGGTCTTGACTAAGTACTAAGACAACAATATCTACAACAGTAATAAACGACGGTACTTTTGTAGATATTTCTGCTTTATTATCACAAAAAATTTTAGTACCAAACCGGAGCCTAATAAGAAACTTAATTTTACACAGCCATATTTAAAAAAAAAGAAACATCTCATCTAAAATTCATCATTTGAAATTTGGGTACTAGCACTCGAAAACGACCCCCTTGCATCTCCTAGACAACCGTCGGGTACTGTAATGAAGTTACATTTTTTATAATTTGACCACCCACTCCCCATTTTCTTCAAAATACTTTTTCTCTCAGTTTCCCCTTTACAGGTAACAACAACTTCTGGTATAATTAAACCATTGGCTAATAATGGTTGGGAGTTTTCGTTTAAGTTACGATTAGCATTATCAATACCTTCAGCATAGCTTCTGTTTCTTGTAATACTCGTTTGTCTTTGTGTTGGCAAAGTAGTAAATTTATTTTGTTTATTGGAGGGTGGTACTAGGCCAAGCAACCTACCTATCTCCCTTTTTACCCGTTTATTTCTATAACCGAACAAAAAGGGAGATATTACATTGGAAAACACTAATAAAACTAATGACAAATAATTGAAAATTTGACCGGAACTTATTTTAATACAACCCGAAGTTAGAACCAAAGTTAATCCGTATGGAACGTAACATATAAGTACCATAAAAATTACAATAACACTTATTTTGGCAGCTCTAGTTTCCTCTCTATATCTAAACACTGAGGCATTAGAAATTTTATGTTTTAGGTTTATAATAAAATTATTTCTATCACTACTAGTCCGTTTTACTACATTATTTTCTGGAATTGTAGTACTTAATCTAGAATGTTCCAAGACAGAAAAATTTGGCGCTGAATGTACTTTGGGAAGACGTTGCTGCTCCACTTGCACAAACTCTATAGGAGTTGGTAATGAAGATGAAGTACTTTTTCGCATCCTCTCACTATTTTGATGAGCAGCAGTGTATATACAACAATAAATTATACAAATAGCTAAAAACGGAGCTAATATTACAAAGAAAAAGTAGCTAAAAGCGTACAAGGTATTTAAGGTACGACTGGTCGAAGTTTCCTCAATATCACTACGTTTAGAACAAAAGTGCCATAAGCTGCCATCTGAGTAAGTTACAGTGCTTAAAATAGCACAGGTAAGTGCTGCCACCCAACTGCTAGCAATAAATATTGTTGCTCTAACTTTGTTCACGTAAAAATGGTACCTTAGCGAGTGTATCACACCAAAATATTGATTAATCCCTATCAACAGGATACTAAATATTGAAGCGGTGCAAACAAAACTGGTACTGGCTTGAGCGAAGTAGCACAGAAGCTCTCCATTATTGGTTGCTATGGGTGACATTATGGTGGTACTATTAATTTCGGTTTCTAAAATTTTTTTAGTAGTTTCAAAAAATTGCAAAGATTTGTTGTTGGAATAAATTTCTTCTTTGATAAGTACATCTTCTTCGATACTCTGGATGGTGTGGTTGGTTTTTAGCTGAGTTGAAACGGAACCTTGATCTACTATGAGTAGTGGTATCAGTAAGAGGCTGGAGAGGAGATTGGTTACCAGTAGATTTATGACGAATCTGGAAAAAAAAAAAACAAAAAAATATTTATTAAATGTGAGATTGTCGCAGAACTTTTTTCTATTTCTGTTTGTTTCGTTAATCAAAATACCATCTTAGAACAACTTGTCACGCAGTCTACAAGACTGTTGCTCATACAACTTTATTCAGGCAAAAAATGGCAGTAAAGATGCAACATCGGTTCTAGGCCAAAATCAGTCATTTTTACGTGTAAATCTCCATAAAAAAATCTAATGTCCATTCTGCGACTTTTTGTACCATTTTGGAGTGGGGGTAAAATTTCAATGAACTTCTAGGATTATGCCCCGCCCCCTTTCCAGTGCCCGTGCCTTTCATCGATAGCTGGTCAGCTGCTGCTGCTTCAGGGCCATTGACCGGCTCATCGAACACAGCACATCGTGACTTGTATACAGACGTATACAGACCAGTCTAGAGACAGGTCTGTATACAGCTATACAGGTCTAGAGACAGGTCTGTATACAGCTATACAAGTCTAGAGACATCTCTGTATACAGCTATAAAGGTCTAGAGACAGGTCTGTATACAGCTAGACAGGTCTAGAAACAGGTCTGTATACAGCTATACAGGTCTAGAAACTTGTCTGACACAGCTATTGAACTGACCCGTATTACGGGCTCCCAATTTCTGGCGCTTCGTTCTCCGGGCCCCATTTACATAACCTAAAACCCATAACCTAAAAGTTTGGCTCTCGCCTCGTGCAACTTACATCTGCAACTAGACAAAGCACGAGGTGGATTTTATTCTCAGTTACGTACATCATCAGTACGAGGCACCTTGAATGAGGTACCAAGTCACGAGGTGCTATGTGTGTTCGATGAGCCGCTCGGAGCCAGGTAAGGTCAATGACCCTGAAGCAGCGCAGGTGACCAGCTATCGATGAAAGACACGGGCACTGGAAAGGGGGCGGGACATAATCCTAGAAATTCATTGAAATTTTACCCCCACTCCAAAATGGTACAAAAAGTCGCAGAATGGACCTTAGATTTTGTTATGGAGATTAACATGTAAAAATGACTGATTTTGGCCTAGAACCGGTGTTGCACCTTTACTAACGGCTAGATTTACAAGAGCTTCTAAATCAATTTAAGTTTAAAAAATCTTTTTGGTAAATCAAGTTCTTGATCTAGCTAAGATGACTTGTTTGCTCATCATTACCAAATTAATTACTTTATCCATTGACTGGATATTACATGGCACAACGGAACGGAGACAAGAAGGGGTAACTGAAACAGAGAAATAAAAAGAGAAGAGAGAGGGTTGGTTGGTGGCTGAAATCTAGAAACGTGATTTCGTGTAAAGGGTTGCCGACTAGCTTCCAATGCGGAGAGGGGTGTAGGTTAATTAAATAACTAAATATAGAGCGCCACCTGCTTTTTCCCTGCAGTACACGAAATCAACCGATATAACGAAAGCAGGAAACTTCTACGGACCTATAGCAGCACAACCTGAAATATAAACGTAAACAAGAAGGAAGGACAAAAGTGAAACGCTTTGCTATAATCAGGTACGGGTTTTAATTAGAACAAGAAACGTGAAACCAGAACAGGTTGACTCTAGAGCAGGTTCGGAGTGAGTTTTTCGAACGCCCTGGAACACTGAAAATTATTTACACTGGAACCAGAACAGAACAAGAAAAGAAATCGTCTAACCATATGTTCTTACAATAGTATTTATAATAATTATTATTAATTATACTCAACTACAACATAAAAAAAAAATAAAGAGTAATAACAATTAACAACAATAATACCTGAAATATTAATTAATAAATAAGCTCACTTAATGCAGTACCTTCGTAAATGGCCATTTAACCCCAGTGTACAAGTATTTTCCTGTATTCAGTGCAGCATGTATTTATGGGATATTAGAGAAATATAGATCATTAATTAAACTTAAAGAAACAATATATAGCCTGAGGGGCAAATTTAATATTATGGAATAATATAGAAGGTATAGATAAATACCGAGATAAATACTTAAAATTGAAGTACCTAACAGTACATAACCTGAATGGTAAATTTCATATAACAAAGGTAATAATTAATTGAAACTGAAATAACAACATCTAATCTGAAGGATAATTTAATATTGTTGTAGAACTGCGTTGTTGTGGTGATTTACTCCAACAAGGGGTTGGTAAGGTTTGATATTAAGACAATACAACACACTTATCAAACCTGAGTAGTCCCTAAACTCTTGGGGAGAACCTGACAGGTGGGATCAATATCTTCCAGTGTTTCCAATGGCCTGGGACTGGATCAGGGCCGCAACAAGAAGCAACCTGGCCCTGGGCACTGAAGTTCAGTAACTAGGAGTCACTAAGGCTTCCAATGGTCTAGAGGAGGCTGAAGATTGTAGTTACTATTTGAAATATACAGTAAGCTGAACGTATAACTCTTTACTGAAAGTCAGGGACTAAAGCGTGACGAATAAAAGGTGACATCTAAAGGTAACGATTAAAGTGTAACTTCTAGGGGTGATGAATAAAGGCCTGAAACAAATGGACATTATGAGACAGGGCGTGGAGCAATATAGGTAGGTATGTCCGATATTCGAAATTTAACCGTATAATTAACAGAAAACTATGCTTTTACATAGGAAATAGAGAAACACAGAGAAGATTAATAAGAAAAACCACTTACCAAAATTACTTTGGCCTTTAGGAACAAACAATTGACCACGTTGCTCTTTTTCGACTCACAAAAAAATCTGCACAAGGCGATTGGGTGCTAAAATAACGGATTAGCCACCCTAGATCTATGAGCGAAAACTAGACAACTCAGAAAATCGGCAAAATGTGCCTGAGGAATTTTCCCGAACACTTAATCGTGGAAAGTCCTCGACCTGAATGACCTCTGCTTGTCCCTGCAATGTCCTTTAAAAAGGTTCTGTCAAAACTCCAAGGTGGAAGGTACTGGGGAATTTTGATGGTAGTTGGGGCATGGGACTTATTCAAATTAAATTAGTACCGGTCATTTTGACTCTATTTGGAGCGCTGTCAATCTAGGCAATCTACTCGGATCAGACAATCAGCTGTTCTAGTGTAAATATTGTGATTTTGTTTGTTAATAACTTAATTGTCTATTTATTTTAACCCTACTAACAGGAAATCAATTCCATTAATAAACCTCTAACTCAACGATTCTGGGAAGAATGAAAAGTTTGATGAAAAGTGTGGCTACAACTATTGGATAGAAAACAGTGGCTTGAGGAAGGTATGCTATTCAGAGAGGTGAATAAGCTTATTTCCTTTTATTTTGGTGCGGGAAAAATCATCCCGTAACATGGATTCTAATTCGTTCACTAGTTTCACGAGAAAACAACACAGAAGCTAATTTGTGTTTTACCTGATACTACTAGCCCAGGGGCAATAATTAAGTGATTATTGTAAATTTATTACCTGTTGCAAACTGTGACAAAAAAGCTGAGCAAACAAAGTTTAAAACTATTGGGATTAATTACCTTAGATAGTGATATATTTTTTTGTGAGTTAATGGACTGTTACATCTCTGATATTTTTTGTCGAGTGTAACAGGTTTAAATAGTGCAATGCTCTTACCTATTAGGTATGGTGCGTAAGCTCCTTTTCCTAGCAAAAATGAAGAGCAAAGAGACGTTGGCAGTTACGGCTATAATGGATGACGTCACAAGGGCGACAGTAACCAACCAGTGATAATCTGACTCCATTTGTATCCTGGAACAAAAATGCATAATTAGTAACCAGTAATTGAATAGTTTAATTTGAAAATATATACAGATATTTTTGTAAATTGCGCTGGTTTTTGTAGAGGGGGTTGTCTTTTCATTTGTCTCACAGTAATTTATTACTTCCATAATAATGGACATTGATAATAGTAGGAAACTATTTCAAAAATTAAAAGGTTTTTTGCATGCACAAACATTTCTACGAACAAATTTGATAATTTCACCAATAAATTACCATATAGGTACAACACCGACATTAGGTGATTATAGAATATCAATAAACATATGGTAAGGTCATGGTAACAGATGTGTTTTAACTGTTTCTAAAAATCGTTGTTTTAGACGATAATATTTAAAAAGGCAATATTGAAAAAAAAATAAAAATATTAACATTAGGTACTCAATCAAATTATAAAGTTCTTTAAGTACTATCAATAAGTAATAAAATTCAGCCTGATATCGCGCCGCGCAAACCACTAATTTACAAAAAAAAATTCAATTAGCAAATGAGAATTGGATTTTTTATTTTTAGCGCTTTCGTAAGCGCTTCCTGTGAACACCTGGTAAGAATTTCAATCTCCCAAACTACCCACTATGCATAAAGGTAATTTAAAATTGTACACAATATACGCCTAATACTTTGTGGTTTTCGAATTTTTAATTAATTTCGGAAATTCTCCAATAATAAATGATTGACTTATCGTGTGGTGTTCGGAGCAAACTTTCTGAGTCAGAAGAAAATTTTAACTTATAAAAACGCACATAGGCTCATAGTTATTTAGGAAATACAATGATCCATGACCAGTCATTTACCTCAAATCTGGGATATACTATTTATCTGGGAAAAAAAAAACTCCTGTCGCCAGAGACCTCCACAGGACGTGGCACTGAGAAATGAAAAAACTTCCAGAAATATCGAGAACGTTGATCACTATAATAGGGACAATCAAAACATATAAAAGAAACGCCTTCGGATGGAATTTCTAAACGGATCTCATGGAAATTATTTCGAATACCTATACATACAATAATTACTCAAGAATTTTAAAAATACAATAATAAACACCAAAATAACAAACGCTATTGTGCTAAATGAAAAAGCATATAGGCTCTATAATTAGAATCAAATAATTTTCTACGTGAAAAACTAGATGGAAAATCCTGACAACACAATGCAAACTAAAAGCGCCCATTGTTTATAAATAAAGCATTTTCTTTTTTGGCTCTCTGATAGGTTTTGGCGTACCTATACTTATTTTTACTACGGCAATGCCCTCCTTCACCAGGTTTTCAAATTGGGAGGAGTTGATTAATAACAACAGTTTTTCAGCATTTTGTGTCCTTTCTAACTAACTAATTTGAATTCGGAGATTATATTTCATATTGCCTATGTAGTTTAATAATTAGATGCCTAGCATACAAAGACAAAGATTTAGCGGCATGTTCCATTTTCTCTCAGTGGTAAATTACAGCCACTAGACAGAATGGATTTAGGTTAATCGTGTTTTATATAGTTGCTTGTGCAACCAGTCTGAAATTGCTGGCTACTGACTGGAAATTGGTTCTTATTTAGCCGGAAATTTTGAACTAGTGAAACTTTACAAATGAAGATTAAATATTAATTTGTAGTTGCACGAGTTAATTACAATGCAAAGCGTTCTCAAAATTATCAAACTTTACAGAAAAGTCTTTTATAGTTTACTTTCATTTCAAATTTTTCATGACAAATATCACATTCAAATTTAAACACATTTGAATTTGTGACAAAACAACAATTGAAGTTTTGCAAAATTGAACTTATCAAAACAGGAAGAAAAAAAACGAACAAGTAGCATTGTAACTAGCCTGTCTGCTTTAGCCACTCTAATATTTTGGTGCCCTGTACAATATTGTACAACAGATCTTTTACTGGGTGGTGTTTTATTATTGTTCCCGGAACTACGTTTGGTTGCCCGAAAATGCTGTGTCTTCTGCGATCCAGTACCTTGTAGTTTTCCAAGATGTATCTGGCTAGTTTTAGGTTCCTTATTGCAACGTCTACAGTTAAGGTCTCAATCATACAAGTTCATCCTGTGCAGGTATATCTTTACCGGTAGGTGGTCTGTCATAAAGCCCGTTAAAAGTCGCGGAGTATCATGCATCCGTTTTCCGACGTCCCATGTCCGAAAAACCTTCTATTTTGACATATTATGTATAAAAATATGTCAGCACTTTACTAAGTTGGCAATTCCCTATTGTGTGTTTGGCCATAACAGGGAGGCGTATGTCAAGATGGTCCATCATGTTGTATGTCCAGTACAGCATGTTCGGTCTCAAGTCCCATAATAATTTTCCATGCAGTCGTCTAGCTACAATGAGAGATGCTACCGCTCTTCTGGCGATTCGTTCTCTAACTGTAGATTGAATTTACCCCGTGAGATGATAACTATGACGTCAGCATAGCCGAGGCATCGTGTCCTCCGTCCGTGAAAACCTTAACCAGATCTTCCGACACTAGATTCCACAGGAGATATTAGATATTACCCCCATCCTGTGGCCATCCGCCAGTGTCTCCTCTGCGACGTTGGTTTCTACCATGGACCTCTAACCAAGGATAGACACCACAAGTCATTCATAAAATTACACCGCCAACAATCAGAAACAAGATCTTGGGAAAAATTATTTTTCTTGTTTTGGCAACATCGCTTTCGAGCAATTATTGACTGTGTGTATGATACTCAAACAGCGTTGCCGGTTTGATTTGTAAAGTGGCTTCTTCGAGGATAGTTACTGTGTTTCTTTAAATTTCCAAGTTCGAAAAAAGACAAAATAATCAAAGAAAACAGTTTCTCGGTCATTTCATGTACAGTGAGGAAAACCATATATTTAAAATATTATTTCTTTAAATCTTAACTTAAAAAAAAAAAAGTTTACTGAATAAAAGTAAATGTTGCAACCATGTAATGCTCTGTGGAATTGATGAGAATGAGAGCGCGCTGCAACAGAAAGGTACCGAAGCGAAGGGTAGGTAGAGAATACGCAACTAGACTAGAGAACAAGCTGGGCTGGTCCCTTAGACGCGTGTCTGTAATTATTCATTATTGAAGGAGCGATCACAGGTCAGTTGAATAATTGTTATTTTTGTTTTGAGAGTTCAATTTATACAAGTATTATTTTTTTTCCCATTCTTATGTTTTTTTGTATGTTTATAACATTTTTTTTTATAGCATGTGCATGTATGTATTTAACAAAAATCGTTTCATGCTGTAAACAACACAGATAAAGAAGTAAATTAAAACCTAAGAATTTATGTGCTGTCTTTTTGTGCTGAGATTTTGATTTTGTGTATTCAGAATGTGCATTAGGGCCTTGTTGAATTTACTAACATTTTCCTACCCTGACGAGCGAATATCCTACCAAACAAAGGAAAGAGATATTGGCTCAAAATAACAACTATAGCTGGGTAGCATCCCGTATGGGACCTCAGTACCCTCCGGCAGACTGGCTAACTAACTAAAAACTCTTCAGTATTGATTTACCTATTAGATATTCAAATCTGTTCAGAAAATCATACGAACTGTGATAACAATTTTTATATAGGTACGTCCCGATAATATTATTTTCTGTCGATATGGCAATAGCGCAGTATTGTTTGTAAATACCAGGGTACATCTATGATTTCGATTAAGAAGAGGTTTTGATGTCTATCCTTGGTTAGAGGTCAATGGTTTCTACCATTCTATTTTCCTTTAGTATGGAGTTGATCCACACACAGCAGGTGACCTCAACTCCACTGTGCTTGAGAGATCTTATCTGGTTATTGAGGCGAGGGAAGTGTTGTCAAAATAGATGCCAACATCACTTCCCGATATGACTTACTAACTTTGTTCATTTCTAGCGATGAAAATCGTTTGAAATTTATAAAATGACTAAACGACTCAATACTAGCGTAACAAGAATAGAGAATGAAGAAGAAAACTTTAATGGATGTAAAACGAAAAAACATAAACTCAAGTTATTTAATTTATACAAGTAATTCTTCCCAATGAGTACCCATATGGCCGAATGTAAGGCTACTATCTAATCGCCTTGTTGTTTCGAAAAATCAATGCTATAGTACCATAATAGTTATTTAAGTATCAAGGGTACTAAGTAGATGATTATGCCCTGAGGGTTCGTAAGTCGCCCGAGGGTATATATATCTATTAGTACCCGTGGTGCATACAAATTTTTATGTCATACCAGTTGGTTGTGAATAGTAAATACCTGGGAAAAAAGTGTCACTTCCCAAATTGTCATCGGTGTGCAAACATCATCATTTTTTGACAAAAATAATATGTTTATAAGCGTGAATTTATATTTTGTTGATAAAGAATAAGTTAATTGAAAACTGTTTTTTGCGTCTTTATGCTCGCGCGGGCCACAATGTGTACTTTATGCCCGCACGGGCATAAAGTAATGAATTATGTAGATGGTATCTAAGGTATAACAACACAATAATGTATTGGTATGACATAAAAAATATCATATCACATGATCTATGTGCTGATCCTATAATAGGACATAATATTTTAATGCAAAAAGTTATGGTCTAACTGGAGCTCTCGTTGAATCGATATCTTTGTTTATCTGAGGACTGTCACCCTATCATCACTAAATCTAGACGACACGACGTTCTTCAGATGAAGGCACATTCAACATTTACGAAATATCCGCAAAGGCCATTGAGAAATCTCCATAGACATATTTCTGTAAAGGGTTTCACTATAAAAGTAGCGAATAGTGGTTTTCCTTTTCCATGATGAGTCCTAACTAGAGGTTAGGTCTTCGCTTGTTCTCAAACCATGTGAATGTTGATGGATATCATTGAAGATAATGAAAAACTCAATGAAAGATCATGATCCTAGGACTTGAGAATAAAAGCTGCAACTCCATTGAGTGGAAGCTTTGTGCTTTAGTGAATGATCCTATGATGATATTGTTCATCCAATGGGATGGAACATTGGCTCT